ATTTTCAAATTGTGGAATACTTTCTGGCAAACAATTATAGTAGTAGGCATCAACTTTTCAACGAGAATGTGTCCAAATAGAAGTCACATTTCAGCTCATCTGATTTAGTATAACTCATTTTTCATTCATTTTTGCTGGCAAAATAAAGAAACATTTCTGGATGCGTGAGTGTTGAGATATTTGTTTACGAGTTATAATTATCCGCAAATACCGAACAGAAACGAACGTGTCTTATCCAAATTCGAATATTAGCTAAGTACCAAGAAAATTTTTCAGGATGTAATTTACTTTTGAAATACAAGTACTTTCACTTCTACTGCAAAAATTACTTTGTGCTAAGAGTTTTCTAAAACAAGTACAAAAGTGCGAAGTATTCTATTTACCATCCAGTGTCTGACTGCGACGTTCGACACATAACTACAAGATATTGTGTTCGAACCTCGGCGCCATTATGCATAGAATGATCTTGGACAAGTCACTAACGACTACCTGTCTCAGACTACCCATTCGATAGTACACTGACCACGTTATTGACATACACTAAAAGGCCCCTGTGGTTAGTATTTGGTTAGTTAGTATTAATGGGGAGCTTAAGTGATTAAGCGAGGGGAACTCATAGTCAGGCCAGCCTTCTGTCTAAAGCTACAGCTACTAAAAGTTGTAGGGAAATATCGAGCTAACGAAACTGTCCTTGGACAACACCATATACTGAAAGGCAGTCGAAAGGCAAGGGTATTCTTCTTCTTCTTCTTGTAGCTTTTAAATGCGCCAATGATATGTTAGGCAGCTGCTTGGCATACCAGCAAGATGGAGGGAGATATCATACACATCGTTTCAGTCAATATTGCTGTATTGATCATTTTCCAGCATTTATCCTTAAAGGTCGCTGGTAGGAGAGGAACTTTTTCTTTCTTTTTCTTTCTAAAACGAAATGAAAGGAAGGCAACCACTTTCCTTTCCAAAAAGAAAGGAAAGTTGAAAAACTTTCTATTGCTTTTTTTCGTCTCCTAGAAGATAGAGTTATGTTTCTTATTCACTTCCATTTTAAAAAAATCAGGAGAAGTCGAAAAGAAAGTCGAAAGAAAGCAAAGAAAGTGAAAAGAAAGCAAAGAAAATGAAAAGAAAGCTGTATTTATTTGTTTTTCAAAGATTTTGCCCTTGCTGATGGAGAAATTATCTACAAACTTACTCTTTTAAACTGGCCCGTAATAGTTCTACAGAAAAAATAAAAATGATTGAATTCCGAGTAGATCAATAGGCTAATTTTATCCTTTAATAAGAATAAAACATCGATACTAGTCAGGTACCGAAAATGTAAAATTACAGTAGAATTTTATTTTATTTTTTACATATGGTCAGATAGAGTGTGTCTAGCTGATCAAGAATATATCTTGTCATCTTTTTATTTAATCTGCTTTTAGTAGAAAATTTTCAATTTTTTCATTTGTTTTAAATCCAATACAGTTTGGTTTATATTCAGGATAAAAAACGGCTATTCTGATATCACATGATCATAACTCAATTATCACAAGGCAGGGACATAGCCAGAGGGTGGATTCTGGGAATCAATCCACCCATCCAGAAAGATTCCAACATCTAGGGGCAAGGGACCAGACTTACGCATTTTCACATTCCAAAAGGGGCCTTCTTCCTATGGCGTTCCCGTCTCCTAAGAAATTCTGACTGCCTGCCTGTGACAAGGCTGAAGAGTCAGAACATCAGACAAGCATCTTGTAATGCTATCTAGTTTTTTCTACAAGGAGGTACAACTGAATTTCATGTTTCATTAAAGCCACTAGAGCTTGTACTTTAAAAGGACAAATTAGGTTTTTCTATATTTTACTTTGTTGCTGAGAAAATTCATTTTTATTGAATTGTATATGAGAGTGGGTCTTCTCTTAACCTATACGTGGTTGATATCTATACATTTGCCATTCTCGTATTTTACTCAAGTAAGGATATATTGGAAATTAGCACAAAAAATGGAATTGATGTATAGGTGTTTCAAATATTTTTGAAAATTTTTCTTTTTTCTTCAAAACATTACCCCCTGGTATCCCTCAGGGTTAGGCCAAAAAGTCAACTTGCTCAAAACGACATTATTACTCAATACTTAATCTTTCCTATTGGGATCTATATCCACGCTGTCCACTGACAGTCTTCTTTACATAGTGAAAGTACCATTGTGAAGATAGTGACTTTTCCACTCTAACCCTGAGTAGGATATAAGGGAAATATTTTGAAAATAACAAAAATTTTCAGGAAATTTTGAAACCCCTTTAGGTTGATATAGTTTTTTTCTGCCGATTCTGAATATATGAATTGTTTCAGTATGAGAACGGTAAATTCAGAGATATCAGCCACATATAGGCTAAGAAAAGACCAATTCCGCCATAAAATTCTAAAGCAATGAACTTTCTCATCAACAAATTAAAGTCTAGAAAAACCCAATTCGTCCTTTTAAAGTACAAGCTCTAGTGGCTTTAATCAAACATGAAATTCAGTTGTACCTCCTTGTAGAAAAAATTAGATAGCATTACAAGCTGCATGTCTGAAGTTCTGACCCCTCCACACTTGTGGTACCTGAATTATGATCATGCTAAATCAGGATAACCTCATACATAACTACCATAGATTTCTTTTTTATGCTGAATATAAAACAAATGAAAAAAATTGAAAATTCGTCAGTCAGCGAATAATTTTGTTATGAGAAACCGTATGTCTCCCAAAAATTGAAAATTTTCCACCAAAAGCTCATTCGGCAAAATGATTAAAAGATATATTCTTGATCAGCCTGACACACTCTATCTAGCCATATAAAAAAAAAGGCGAAAAAAAATTCTACTGTAATTTTGCATTTTCGGTATCTTACTAGTACCGGTGTTTTATTCTCATTGAAGATTAAAATTAGTCTATGGATCTACCAGGAACCGAATTATTTTTCTGTGGAAATATCACGGGTCAATTTGAAAAACTAAGTTTGTACAGAATTTTCCCATCAACAGGAGCAAAATCCTTGAAAAACAAATAAATACAACTTTCTTTTCTCTTTTTTTCCTTTCGTTCGACTTTATTTTCGACTTTTCCTAATCTTTTTAAATGGAACTGAACGAGAAACATAATTCTATCTTCTAGAAGACGAAAAAAGGAAATGAAGGTTTTTAACTTTCCTTTCCTTTCTTTTTTTTGGAAATGGAAGTTGAAAGTCAGAAAGCTTTCCTTTACAAAAAGAAAGCAAAGCGCCACCCCAGGTCGCTGCTAATCCAAATTCATCCAATTTATGTCCACTAGATTACAGTTTATGGAATGAACTGGACCACATGATGAACTGGGTTAAAATTACCACAAAACCAACTTTAGTATTGTAGATTTATGTTATTTTCTTAACGTGAGTTCAGTTCTTTATTAACATAAGAACACAATCAGAATGAATAGAGAGAAAGACAAAGACGAAAGACAAGACTACTGACAGCAGAAATATATATATATATAAATATAGGATAGTATCCCGTATTATCAAATACGCAATAGAAAATATTACTGCGTAATAGAAATATTACTGCGCAATACGACGAATAGATTAAGGTCGCTATCCATACAATTTGACCCTGAGAGAGAGATAGAAACGAATGTAGAGTAGATAGAATAAAGGAAACGAAAGAAAGAACGAAACACAAAACACAAAGAAAGGAAAAACAACTCACACGCATACATATAATGCTAAGGAAAAGCACACAATCTACAAGTATATGAATTACAACGAGCTGGGAAAACATTTCAACAGAAAAAATTTTCAATTTTGCACTAGCTTTCACTGCAAGATTACCTTTCATTAAAAATAATTGAAGAAATTGTACTCCTTAAATAAAATATAGCAATATATATATGGAATCTCAAGACTTTTCTTTCTGCTCAAAGACGTTTTTACTCGGATGAAGTATAAGGGAGCATAGCGAAAACTAAGAAGAGTACAATTTATTTTGCGTTACCAAATATTATTCAAAATCATAATGCAATTTCAAATCTGATCCTTAATGAAATTCATCTACATTTGTTTGACTTTTGTTTTTATTGAAAAATATTATTTATAGAATTTCCATGTCTAATTTCTTAGTGCATCTTCAAATACGGAATATTTTGGTACAATAATTGCACTTGTAAAAATGTAAATCCATTTTAGATTTCTAACAATCAATTAATTTTATTAATGTGCTGAAATTAAGGTGAAAATTTAATAATTTGAGTTTAAAACACTTTCAGGGTTTTTCAATAGTCGATTAATTGTCGTTTATTTCATTCTATAAGTTGCAGTGTCGTGAAAAAGATTTCAAACTAGTTATGCATTCTAATTTACAAAATCGATGAAGTAGGACATATCTAGCGTTATGTGAAAGCAAGTTGCTTGTCGGTCACAGTTCACTAATATTGATGTTGATCACTAAACAGATCTGCTAGTATTCGTTTGGCCCGACTATTGGAATCTCAATAGCTAACATTAAGAAGTGAGGTCAGCTTTCAGCATAAAAACGTAGGAATTTATCGAAAAAAAAAGAAATTTTCCTGTCGGAATATTGCTTCCATTTTTCAGCGATGTTTGATCTTTCTGCATGATACGGTGGCTTGCCAGCATCTTTTCTGAGGGCTTCTGCTGTATTCATTCTCCTGAATCATTGGCACCAGAGTAGATAGAAGACGTTTCTTGAATAACTCGGAACGAAATAAAGCTATAGGATTACGTCGGATCATTTTAAAACTATTACAATTCTATCCAAACGCAACGAAAATCCAGTGATCTGGATCCCGATTATAAAATAATATTGGATACGGCTAAGTTCTGACCGGATTCTATCAATTTTCGGCGGATTCCGACGAAACCCGATGAAATCTGGATCAAAATCCTGGTTACTGGATTCTTTGGTCTGGGAAATCAGACAAATTAAATCAATTGTGAATTACAGTGTATCAGTTGCATGAAAACAAAAAATATTAAAGTCTTATATTTACTCAATTAATTTGGTCTGTATTTCACCGGTTTTGTGATACTTATCGAAATAAGGAATATTCTATTGGTAAAAAGAAGCATGAACGAAATGAATTTTCTAATTGAAATTCAATAAGTTTTTCATACCTTGAAGAGGGTTATTCTAAACAAGATTGCTCGAATGCGTGACGCTTGCCGTTTAGCCGATATATCAAACATCATGAATTCAGTAAAACTTACAAAAAACTGTAATAGCCCAAGTACTAAATAATTGTTTCAGTAGAAACGATTTTTACACAATTATTTCATTCTCATATCAAATAGGTACATACGAAATAAGACGAGAATTTTCTTATTAACATTTTGCTTGACTTCAGGCCATGTTTGAAAGTGATTGACTTCATTAATATTAATGTGGCAAATACTTTCAAAAAGAGAAGAAAATAAAATAATTTTTATTTCTAAAATAAAAATAACAAGACTTACTTTTGATATTTAAAAAAGTTGTATTGATCGATTTCAATACCCAATGGGCAACGTTTATTCAATACATCAAAATCCAAATGACAATAACCAGTTGCATGTTGAAAAAACTCACCCAAAATTTTTGCCGTTATAACTAAAAATAATGGGAAATTGATACCATTTATCAATACCATGATGAGACCAATAGCCAACATTAATTTATCTTGCCGATCGGCAAATCGATACTAGAAAGGTTAAACAATTTATTTTCTCTAAAACAATCATTATATACAATTGAGAAGCATTTCTTACAAGTTCTAAAACCTTTACATGTGCGTGCTTAGCATTTACAGACGATTTCGATGCTGTTTCGATATTGCTGTTTCCATCTTGTTCATACGGGTGATCTTTATATTGTAACAATATTTTTTGCAACCATGAAGGTCTGAAATTATATATACATGAATTCTTGAACATAAATTATGTTTCACTAACTAAAATATAATGAGAGCTTGTGAGTTTCAAACAGTGAAAAGTTGTGTGAAATAAATGAATATCATTTAACTCGAGAGCGCATCACTCAAATTTATTGAAACTCATTTTAAATCAAATTATTTCTAAGAATCTTTTTCTAACTCAGGCAAGGTGTAAACCATTTATCGTCGTGGTATGTTCTCTCTCGTTTCTCTCATTTTTAAATAAACGTGTTTCCTGAAAGATTTGTCATTTCATTCTCAGCACTTCCATACAGGGACAGAGCGCATATAAATAAAAGTGAAAATTTCATTTTAAAAATGCAGTTAAGATGCAACACGAACAACTTTTTTTAAATACAAAAAATGTTGTTTTTCCGCATTTGTATGCTCTTCAATTGAGCTTTATAGACGATATTAGACAAATTATACTGTCAATTTTTCTATTGAGTTTCGGAAATTCTATCTTATTGCTTTGTTCAATAAGATTTTATCGTGATATCTTATTCCATGAACGGAAAGCGCCTCTATTTCCACAAAGAAATCGACACTTTTCCCTAGCCAATAAGATCTCGTTGTGAAAATTTCGAAACAATCTTCAGATAGGCTTTTGAAAACTTGACAAAATGTATAGCATGCTTTGTGCAGAATTATTCCTAGAATTATTTATATAAAAAAAAACGTATAGGTGCGTAAAAGAGCTGTATTTTGGTATTCAAAAGTTATAGATTTCGTAGGGTCTAAATGTTAGTAAAATAACTATTCTTGATTCTTTCTCCAGTAAGTTCATTTAAATATGTTTCTACAGATAACTAAACTTTGAATTTGTAGCAAATCTGTTAGAGCAATGAATAGATGAACTAACCCTTGAAGCATGATAAAACTATTTACTGTACGTGATATGTTACGATTAGTAATGGCATTTGGAGCAGTCAATCATCATTTTTGATGATCTATTGGAACAATCTAACATGGTCTGTAGAGAGAAATGTAAATTGCTATCCTATACAGTACAACGCTCCTTATGAACCATGATATGCTTAATTTGAATTTAAATATAAATGAAGGTTCAACTACACAATGTCACTTCGAAAATAAAAAAACCGGGCACTCATATAGTTACAGCAAAAAGCAAAGGATAAAATTAATTCTATTTATAAATTTTATAATTCAAATTTAGACATTATCTCTAAGGGGCCTAAACTATTCCTCAACTTCCTATATGCTGCCTTAAAGTATTGAAATTAGGACTGGATTTGCTATAAACCGAATTCCGATCCCAGAGTGCATATCTGAACTCCTAGATGCAAAACCCCCGCTGTTTCTGAATATTCATAAGCTATTTTCTCACAAACTAGAGCACACACCTAGTAGGCTAATGACTGCTTCTGTCGATCTGAGCTATGCGTGTAGCAATTGCAACTATGGATTTGCAGCTCTCAGAAATCCTAATAGTATTCATAGGAATGTTACCAGCAGACGCAGCGATACCACTAGCAATCCCGCACAAGCTGTAAGCAACCTCAATAATGCTACCAATTATATTAGGTAGGGCAGTAGTATTCCCCCTTTCTAGTTCTAGCTAACTGAGGCGTGATCGTCGGATGATAATTCGATATAGCAGGCTCATTAGCTGCCATAAGTATGACTATAGTTGCTCGAACTGAGTTTTGGTACATCTAGCAATTGTGGGTGCCGCGAAGGGACTGGGACCAGTCCGAGAAATGCCTTTCAAAAACGTGTTAACATTCCGTTATAAGGCCGTTAAAATACGTATGTGTTTCTTCTAAAAATTGATGCGCTTTTACACGTTGACAAATGGAACCTTAAGTTCGAATAAAAGAATCTTTGAATTCCCAGTGAAAATATACTCCATAAAGAGCATAGTAAAAGTTTTCATCACACTATGGAATACTATCTCGTCCATAATACACGCATTCTGTGGTTGCACAAATTCATTCGAAATATATTTGACTGCATGCTACTTCCTATAAGACAGTCTTCCACAAAAATTGAAATTCAGTACCAATTAAAATCGCGCTACAGTGAAAATTGAAATTCTACCGAATTGTAATGCTTAGTAATAAAATTCAAAATTTTGCTACTAGAATTCTAGATTGCACTGAACTTTTTTGCTCCAGTGAAATATTAATATCATCAATTATTTTTAAACAGAGATATTTTAGGGGCTAGAAACATCATGGTATTTTAAATAAATATATAATTCTCTAGACAAGCATGTGAGCTCTTGAATATCTATCATTTTAAAAATTTTTAGAAAAATGTATACGTTAAACATTTCTAAAATATTTAAAAAATGTTAATACGTCTTTAAAAAACTTTACATAATTTTTAAAAATATACTTGAAAATTTTAATAATAAATTTTAATTATTTAAAAGAAAATATTATGTATTACTATAAAAACCATTTTCTCAATGCATATTTTTTTCTGATGAAAATTGAAAAGTTAATAATTTTTTCTCTTAATTTGTACCACCATCTTTCCTAAAAATTTCATTCAACCAGGTGAATTAATCCGACGGAAAAAGAACATTTTCTTAATCACCAATGAATAAGCACATGGTGTAGACAAAACACATGGGTGAAATGTTTATGTTGGATTTCGTTAAAATCCGACACTGGAACCTATCGAATTTCCACATTAGGGTTCCGATTGTAAGTCCCACACCCAGATACCGATAGAATTTCGTCGGTTTAATAAAATCCATACTATATCCTATAAGATTCCGTCACGAATCCGATAGGATCATACTATCGGAATCATTCTCCTGAGCAGCTGAATAAGTATTTTTCACTTAAACATTCGAGCGCATGATTGTTCGAATGGATGACATATTTGACTTACAGCTACTACATCACGCGTTCGAGTCTAGGATAACGCAGTAAGTTCTAAATGATTTAACTATATAGTGGCAGACAAATTGGACAAAAGGACGGTCTGCAATACATTGTAAGGTACACTCTAAAAAAAGATAATTTTACTGAACCCTCCAAAAAGTTTTCGTAGGTGTCTAAAAGCTTCCAAGTGCGTTCAAAGGCTCGAAAAAATGATTGTTAAAAACCACGAAACCTTAAAAGGATCTGATCGTGGACACACGGTCCGAACCATCTCCTTTTAAGGTTTCGTGGATTTTAGCAATCGTTTTTTCAAGCCTTTGAACGCATTTGGACGCTTTTAGACACCTACGAAAACTTTTTGGAGGGTTCGGTAAAATTACCTTTTTTTTAGAGCGTAGAGCGGAAAGAAATCGGGGAATGTTCGTATCTGTTAGATTCTTTTTTTGTGGAATCAGATTAATACGTTTTAACACGTTAAAATTTTGAACGCGAAAAAACGCGCTAATAAGCTATAACGAAGAAAAAATCCAAAAGAGGTGCACTTTTAACATTTTTTTTCGTTAAAATTTTGGTTGGTTGTCATTTGCCACAAATTGGAATCCCCAGATACATCTCTACATCATATTCACGCTTCTGGAGAATAAAACAAACATGACCTATCCAGGTGACCAAATAAGGTGTTTATTTAGAGATTTTCCAAGTTAGGGATTTGTTTTTTATACACAATATGCTGTTCAAGTCACAACCGAGCAGGGTCTCAGCTAGGAATGCATCTGTACCAGTATACTGGGTATTGGTAACACTGGTGACCAGAATCAGTTCTCCAAGTTTATGATAAGTAACACTACTTCTCGAAATGATTCTAAAGCCCTCGACACATTAGAAGACCCGGGGTCTTCTATTTTGTCTTCTCGTTTACAAATTACAAGGGGGGTCTTCTATTGTGTCCTTTAAAAGAAGACTATTTTCTTATGCTATGCTCAACTAGATTCTTGATTAATATCATTTTCGTCGATATTTAATGGTAGTAGATGAGAATTCAACATAAGATCTTTATCCATAAGAAATGCTGTATGTTTATTCAGTTATGATTGTAATCAGACAATTGACTATTCGTAAAATGAAAATAATGTGAATAAAAACGAATTGAAATCGATCAAAGCGTGCATTGTGTCTATATGCCGCATACATATGTCTATTAATTAAGCTATGCGTTATTCAACTACATTCAAAAGCGCTTTGAACAGAAAAAAGAATAGAAAGAAATTGTGAAATTGAACTTAACAAGCATAGAGAAGAAAATAACCAGAATAGAAAAACTGAAAAATCAATCATTAGAAGGGGGTCTTCTAATATCTTTTGGGTTATTTACTCAAGGGGGGTCTTCTATTATAGGGAGGTCTTCTAATGTGTCGGTGGCTTTAATAAATATTGAATATGTACGATTCTGGTAACCAGAACGTACTTACCTATACTATGATTAGCGATAAAGTACTTAGTTTCAATGGTGAAATATTTTCGATAGAACATGGTGCTTAATTATGATCTATAAGCCATGTCATATATTGGAAAGAAACCCTATTTGATCATCAGAATAGGACATATTTGTTTTATTCTCCACAAGTGTGAATATGATGTAGTGATGTATCTGGGAAGTTCAATATGTGGCAAATGATAGTCACTCCGCGAAGCGTTTGGGGACGGTGTGAGTCGACTGATGTCGATGTCTAAATTTGAATTATAAAATTGTTAAATATGATAAATTTTAAACTTTTTCTTTTTGTCTCACTTATATGGGTACTTCAACTTGAATTATAGCATTTATATTTAGGAGAAAATTTATCTTTTTCCTTTGTCAGTGAAGAATGGGATATTTGAGAAATATCGTACATATTCAAAGTCGAATTAGGCAGCTACTCTTCTGGGCAGTGGTTTTCAATTAAATTCGTTCTAAATCTATGAATACTAGAAAAGATTCTAAAGTACTTATTGTTTATAGATTATCAGCTAATTGAATACACAGATTATTAATGTACTATAAAATATTTCTCAAATTAGATTTTCCGCGTTTTATTCTACGTTGTAAAATGACAGCTACTGTTTTTAAAATTTCGCACAGTATTGCATAAATTAAGTATTGTCTTTAATGATCAACTAATTGATATCAAATGCAAGATATTATCCTGCTTTATTAATCAATAGATAAAGAATAAAAAATAAATGAACGATATGAAGTCATAAGTTGAGTCTCTTTAACATAGAGTGATGAAAATTAAAGGCAAAAAAACAAATATAGTACAATGTTTCTTAGAAAGTAAAAATATTGAACATCGTTACTAACAAAGCAAGTCTTTAGACTGATGCAGAGATGGAAACGGTCTGGATTTTTGAAGACCGGTAGTGGTACCGATTTGAAAAGTTGAGACCGGACTGAATCGGTCGGTCTATATGGTACTGAAGAGTCAATGTACAACTAAGTAATCTAACAATTACTCTTGTATACTAGAAAAAATCCAATTATAAACTATTTTAAACGTTTAAGGAGAAGAAGGTTCAATATTTCAATGTTATAAACTGAGAAAAGGAAAAACAATAGACCGGCTACTAGCCGTTTACTGATCAATTGACAGATCGGTCAGTTTGAAATCCGTATTGGTACCAGTGTCATATTTGAACTACTGCACGAAGTCATTCTAAGAACCGTTAATTTGTTCAAACCCATGAGTTGAATGAAAAAAAGATACTATATGAAATATAAATAGTGTAAAGCTAGTTATGGATACTTTTTCAATAGCTTTTAGAATATTTCAAAAAGAAATCTTACCGTGAACGACTAAGATTAATCGCCGTATTTTTTTTATTATTGTCGACATTTGGTTGACCCATCGGATCAAGCAGATGTTTAGTTTCGTCCGAATTCACCATAATCGATTGAAACCTATCATTTCATAGTAATGTAAAAGAAGTTTTAAAATTATTAGCTTGTAAAATAAATAAAACTTACGGATACTAATAATTGATTTATCTGTATAACTTCCTAATAAATGTGAATTAAATGACAATGTTTGTTAAAATATTCGATCTTGAATTAAGATAATAACAACAGCATACATTTTAAGCTTCATTAATGTATCAAACAAGTATACACACTAAGTTTAAATCAGTCGCATGTGTCGTGATTTGCGACACAATGTACGATACATGCGACACAATCTGAAAAAATTTTTTTGAACCCACTAGCCAGTACATTTTTATATTTTTATGAAAAAGATCATTATACTATTTTCGTTTTTGAAAACTCAAATAGCTCAGATTGTAAGATTTATCCAATCTCGAGCCGATCCGTTTTTTTACAGACCATTTTCGAATAGTTCCACCTCGATCAACGATCAAGATAGGACTTCACTCGGCTAATTACTGATCGAGAAATAATCTAAAAAATATTAAAATGAAAACACATAGCTTTTGTGGGTGTGGGTGTGGACAAGAGGAGAGAAACGCTGATCCCACACCCACACTCATACCCACCCAAAAAAGCTTAAAGTCTCGTCGAAGAAAAGTTGTTACCGGATAAAGGCATATAAATCAAAAAAAGATCTATACATTTTAACTCCCAAATATGTTAACCCGTTAAAGCGCATTATTTTCAGGCGTTTGTCTGACTGGGTAGAGTAAGCAGGTATAATATAATGATATTCACCATGAAATCGTGCAGAAGAACGACATAGCCCGAAAAAGAGTGTGCGAATACACTATTTGTGAATCACAGCGAAAGTAAAAAAGCGAATAAAAATGCGGTGGGCACATTGTTAAATGCATTATTGTATTAGTGAGCAGTGATGCGTGGATTCTCCTTTTTTTTACCTCAAGTGGATAAAATAATCAGTAAGCACGATGGGCCAACAGGCGACGCTCTTTTCTCATTGAGCACGTAACGAGCACGGCGTGGGTGTGGGATCAGTGTTTCTCTCCTCTTACCTACACCAACACCAAAAAACGCGTAAAATCTCGTCAAAGAAAAGTTGTTACCGGATAAAGGCATATAAATCAAAAAAAGATCTATACATTTTAACTCTCAAATATATTAACCCGTTAAAGCGCATTATTTTCAGGCGTTTGTCTGACTGGGTAGAGTAAACAGGTATAATATAATGATATTCACCATGAAATCGTGCAGAAGAACGACATAAGCTGAAAAATAATGTGTGAATACACTATCTGTCAATCTCAGCGAACGTAAAAAAGTAAATCAAAATGAGACAGACGTATTTTTAAATGCATTGTTGTTTTCATGAGCAGTGATGCGTGGATTCTCCTTTCTTATTACTTGAATTGGATAAACTAATTAGTAAGCAAGATCGACCAACAGGCGACGCTCTTTTCTTATTGAGCACATAATGGGGGTGTGGATGTGGGATGTGAAGGAGCTGCCATGACCGGTTTCGATCTTCCTTAAGGATCTCATCAGACAGCTTAGTCTATTTAAGTTTCGAAAAATTTCAAAGAAAAATTTGAAAACTAAATAGAAACATAAAATTCAATGTTATAAATAAAATTTTAAATTATTAAAATCCGGGTGTAGGTGTGGGTGTGGGTGTGGGTGTGGATATGAAACAAGACGCCACGCACATATTTACCACACCCACACCCACACTCTCAAGATTACCAGTTTATCTTAGGAGGATCCTGTAAACTCAATTCAGAAAAAAAATCCGAACAAGAATCTGAACAAATTCTGAATGGAATCCTGAATCAAACCTAACAGGATCCTTAAAAGTCATGATTCTGAAGGATCCTTCAAGTCTATTCCAAGAAATGCGCATGGTTGAGTGGACTGAGCAGTAACTTGTAAAGATTTTTGCTAAATACTTACATTTTCTTATCAAGATTTTGATTAAGATTGATATTGTGTTGCAAGGTTTGGAAACGCATATTCTTGAAAACATCTGAACAAGATCCTGATTGAAGCTTTTCAGGATTAGTCAGTTTTGCATTGGGACTGTTCTTATTATTTTCTTGTCAAGATCTTTGAATGATGTGGCTATCAATCTTAACAGGATCTTGATACAAAGATTTGACTAGGTCCTGAAGAGAACCTGATAAAATCTTGACAGAATCATTTCTCAAAAACTTGAGAGGATCCTTGATGGGTTCTTGAGTAAATCCTGATAGGATCCTGCATTCTCAGTTCAGAAAAATATCTGAACAGGAATCTGACGAAATCCTGACTAGGATCTTCTTTCGCCTTGAAAAATCCTGGAAACAAGAATTACTAGGATTCGAAACAGGATCCTGAATAAAACTTGACAAGATCCTGGAGATTCCGGATCCTAAAAGATTCTTCCAAGATTTCTCAAGGAATGAACAGAATTGAGACTAGGGGCTCAGCGAAATGGAAATTGACCATTGGTTCCCTCATAGTTCTTCAATTTATGAAAGTCAAAGCGATGTTTTCTCTGAAATTACCTTTCGTAGCCACATATTCATGTTCGCAAATTTCTTAGTGAAGATGAGTATAAGAACAAAAATATCTTGGATATTGTATTCTTTTAATTTTAGCATTCGTGGAGCTGTGGGGGAGCTGAGAAGGGATTCTTGTCCCTCAGTCATTCGACACCTCTCGTTCGATTCTCTTGGCTATTTCGAAAATGACTTTGTAAATAAATTATGCTTGCATGACTTGGAAAAAGTATAACAGGAGACTATTTTCAAAATTCAGCACATATCTCTATGGCAAAACTTGAGCCAAATCAAGACAAAGCACAAATGTTGCTTTTAATTATGATACACCGATCATTATGAAACTGTATTGGAATCAGAGACCGAAATCGAATCGAATTGCCGAATAATTCGGTTCGATTCGATTCGCCTCAGACGAATCGAATGGACTCCGAATGGAACTTCGAAACTGCCGAATCGAATCGGTTCATTTTTTTTCAGTTTCATTCGGCTATTCAAAATCATTTTCTTGGTTCTGGTGTTATGATCGAGGGCAGTTGACTAGTGTAAGAGATGACGCATGAAAAAGGGCGTCCACTGTTTCTCTTTCTTTGTTTCTGTCAGTCGTGCTTATTTAATGGTCATCCTTGTTCTGTTTATATCGTTATCACGGTGAAGTGCATTTTGACTGGTATAAGAAATGCTCACTTACAACGAGCGGTCCATTTTTCTTTCCTTCTTTCTTTTTTGGTTAGTCAATTTAGGCCCCAATCACACTGAGAAGTATATTAACATTGTAGTTGAATTAAGTCATGTGGCTGGTGCATTATGAACCCAGGTCGAACATTCCGGCCACCGGATCCCGTAGGATACTCCAGGAAATATGCGGGAAAGTCACCATATCCTACGGGAAATCAACGGAACCACCCAGAACCGGTCGTTTCCAGGCCGGACTGTTCGACCTGGGAGTTAAATAATATTTTAGAGGTGATTCTAACTCTTAATGTATCAATTAAATTACTTAGTAAGACTTTAACTTTATTCACATTTCCAGTGCGATTGAGGTCTTGATATCAACCTCTTTATTTATTAAGTATGGTTACGGTCAACTGTAAATATAGATCCATATACAGTAAATGACATTATTTTTCTTCGTTTTATAGAAAATAAACTTATTTAATTAGTCTACTTAGATGTGTTCATTAATTTATATTTTATGTATTCCTTCTTGAAAAAAATGAATAACTCTCACGTATATATTGATAAATTATGTTTATTCCACATATTTCTATAGAAGATCGACAGACTATTCTCATTCTATGAAGATGACAGTGTGAAAACAACAATACTATGTAATAGTGAATACCATGTTTTGTAAACCCAATTCAAGTCGAATCGAATCGAATCGAATTGCAATTTTGAAAAAGGAAAAAACCCGAATCGAACCGAATGGCATTTCTGCCATTCGTTTCGGGCTCTGATCGGAATGAATCTTGTTTTGGCTATAATTTGACAAACTTTATTTAAAGATAGGCTACCAAGGGGAAAAGGGCAGAATTTTGGGACTTTCAAAATCCCAAAATCCCAAAATTTAAAAGCATTCCCACCCTGTGAATGACGTAGTTTCGACGTGAAATTCTTCCCATCTATAGGTTTCATGGTCAATAGAAGATCCTAGAAGTTTCAAATCAAACAAGTGTTTCCTTCTAAAATATTGAATTTTCAAAAAAACTGGCTTTTCTGACCGTGCCGTGAAATGAGCATTTCTTGCGCATTCATTGTCTTGAGAAGGAAACATTCGTTTGCGCTGAAAATTTTCGAATATTCTAAGGATCATGAGACTTACATATGGAAAAAAATTCAGATGGAAACTCCATCATTCACGTTTTGGATTTTAGGATTTTTAAAAATCCCAAAAAAACTCCTAAAAACTCCCAAAATCCCAAATGTGCCTTTTCCTCTTGTAGATTACACATATAAGAAAAATGCTGTTCCTTGTTCTGTACAACTTATGTGTACGCTACATTGTGCCAAAAATATGATCTAAGTACTGTGCAATGCCATAGTTCACATTGAAATGTGTATGATGTTTATGATGAAAATTATCAATAATATAGAATAATTTCATGGATGAATGTCCTTCGACATTATACAATACACCGACAATAATCCAAGCAATCAATTGATTGATTGATGTTCCAAAAATTAGAAAGGGCAAAATATCACTTGTAGTAATAACCAACGCTTCGAGCAATGATTTATATTCGGCAACGAAACCATTCAAATCGATATATTCATGATGTTTCTTATGAATCCAGTAGAATTTCTTGTGTAAAGTATAATGAATAACATAGAACGTAAAATCTGCCGATATAACACAAAGATAAAACCAGGCTAGGTTAAAAATTAAATTTGGTGAATGAGAAGAATACTCAATGAAAAATCCATAACCATAACACATGAGCAGAAAGATAAGTTCTCCTTTGATTATTGATAAACAATCGAAATTCATCACTTGTTGTGTGACATTGGGTGCATTGAGAATTTTATACGAGGTAAGATATGATGAATCTTTTAGTCGTAATGTGATGTATCCACATCCATAGTAAAAGAAAAAATTAGCCAGCCAATGAAAAAATGGATAAGATATTGGTTTCCAGTGGTTCAAATCAAAATAATTGTCCAATAGCCATTGAATAAAAAAGCACGAAATAGAAACTTTGGTGAAAAATATCACACTCTTCCAGTAGGGATTCATAGTATTTGTACTCATTTCCTTGCACAATCACGTTGTTTAATAGTTACACATTAAAAAGTGACAGAGAAAATCATTATATTGTGAAAGGGTTGTTATCGTCGAACGAGAAAAAAAATGTTTTCTCTATTAAATACAAAACTAAGCACATGGATTCGCTATGAGACGTCACATTGATTGGTCATGCTATTGCTTTTTTACAATTGTGGGTGTGGATGTGGATGTATAGCTACCAAGACGTGTTTCGCCCCTGCTAAAGGACTCTTCAGTTGGCAAATCATTTTAATGATTATTGAAAATTAAAATAAATTCAAAGTTCAAAATCACAAAGATTAATTTATATCTGACATCTATATAGAATAAAATAACTCATATATAAATGTTGATAAAAGTCAAGACACTGTAGTATGTATAGCTACCAAGACGCGTTTCTAGATTTCTATATAAAGATATCTCGATCTCAGCAAAGAATTCAAGGACAGGTTAATGAATTGTTTAAATGTTATTCTTTGTAGTGTGCGATTGAATTCGTTATAGAGCGCCTTCTTTCATGATAAATAGCGTCCTGAATCTAAGTGACTCTTTTCTGATGACTCAGTAATGGAGAAAAAGAAAAAGATAATGTCTTATTTTTGATAGGTAATAGATGAAATATTTTTTTCTTCGTTATTAGTCGTTACGAAGTATGAAAAATGGGTTATTATGAAAGAGAGGGTGTGGGTGTGGATATGAAACAAGACGCCACACACAGATCTACCACGCCCACACCCACACTCTAAACTTACGTATATATGAGATTGTTGAATTTTTTAAGTGAATTCAGCAAACTTTGTTACAACCACGAAAATGCTACTGAGAATAAAAACTAGGGATTTAATTTTCCTGTTACTTTAAAATAAATATAAATAATTTATTTTGATAATTTGCATGTAACAGTAAATTTGAATGATAACAATTCATATTTAAATACAAAAAATATTTCTAACTAAATTTCATTAAAATATATATTATCACAAAATTATTTAATTTAAAACAAAATAAATGTGAATTATATCTATCTTTAAATATAAATATTTTTTATAATCTATATTTAACAAAATTAAAACATGAGAAGAAATTGACATCTCCTAGTTATTTTTAAAACGAAGATATATTTCATTACTTTATTAAGGTAGATTTTTTTTAATGATATAATGAATCCATTGGCTATGGCACCTATATGAGTAACTTAAAAAATAAAAAAATAACTTAAGGATAGGTGTGGATGATAAAATATTGACTTTCACTCTCGAAACATTTTCCACGTCTACTCCTTTTCGAACGCAATCAGGCCAAATCGAATCTCATTCTAATGGTGTGATTCGTTTTTCTATCTGGTTTTTAATGTAGAGTACAACAGAAGAATAATTTATAAATTTCTATGGACGAAAAAAAAATGAATAAAATTTATTCTGAAGTGAAAATTTACATGAGAGAGAAGAGAAAAAAGCTGAGAATACTCTTCTTCTTTGTTAACTGATTACACGAATATGTTTTAAAATGTTCTGCAATTAGTTGGGATGATTGAAAGAAGCTGCCTATGTAATTATAATGATCAAAAACTAATCTTCGTTTGTATAGGAAGCAATAAAATTTCTGTTGCAACTAATCAAAGATTGGTGATATAAACCAATCATTGTAATAGATTATGTAATGTATTATGATACAGTTCGACTAAGCAAGAAGAGATTAACAAGTTCGTCATTTTGTTTATCTAAGCTAATAAATCAATAATTAATGAGTTAGATAATTGTCTTCTAGTATGTTAGAAAACTTTAAAATATGTTTTTGGTGAAAATATCTGAAAATTGGCAATTAGTTGCGACCAATCACAAATCTCAAAATAGTCAACAAATTATGACGATACATCTGCGCTACTTAACAAATCGACGATTAATCGCGATGCATTTATAATACTTGAAAAATCGGTGATTAATCGTGATAGATCGGCGTTACTCAAAAAAGCGGCGATCAATAGCAATTAATCGCTAACATTTATCAAAATCGCGATGTATCATCAAAACTTAGGCGATTTCGACGACATGGGTATTACATATGGTCGTCATGAATCACTCTTATTTACACTCAAAAATACACTCATCGTACGATACAAAGTCTGATATAATTGTATAATGAGTTATTTGAAGCATATATGGTTTATCTATCAAATGATATTACTCGTCTGTTTAGGGTGTGGACTTTAATTCATTCAATTCTTTCTTTTGATTTCTCTAATGCACATTGAAAAAATTTCTACTGCATAGAAATATTTTATTTTCATTGAATTAAAAAGATTTTTCTCTCCTTACTGTCGAAAGGTGCAGAGCCCATGCGTATTGAATAGACGTTTTCGATCGCCTTTCTTAATGTCATGAAATATATACGTAAATATTTGCCATGCATGATAGTTTGTGTTGCACAGAAACTATTGTGATTCGATGAGTTTCATTTAAACTTTTTCAAAATTTGGGCTTTGTCTGGATTACTTACATTCTAATTAATAAAGGTACATAAAATTTAGAACGCTATATCTCTCTTCTTTATTAAAACTATATCCATTTGGCCTTGATCGAAAAAATGATGGAAAGATTATTTATGAAACAGCATTACGTCTTAAAAGCGCTTTACTAGATTTATTCTTTGCTAACAAACTGCTGGTTTTGATATTAACTTTGAAAAACTCAAGATACTAATCTCTCATTATTGATTATTGAAACTTTAAAAAGAACATGAATTCATTCAACAGCGCTTACCTTCTTAATCTGTCTCATGTATTCTCTGTTAGAGAATTTTCTTAAATTAACTCTAATAATGCTATTTTAGAAATAAAATCCACACATAATATATCATGGTTGTGAATTCAACTAGTTGGCACCTATTTTTACTATAAACATGTCAGTTATGTTTTAAATATATTTTTTTGGTTCGTGATATCAAGATGCATTGTCGCTTGAATGACTTTTCAAGCACGCGTGCCTTGTTTTAAACGTACTGGTAACCATTATTCAATTGTTTATTGATGATCACATAGTACTTGACTCAATTTGACCATAAGTATTTTTGTTCTTATGCTCACGATAAGAAAGGCGTTTGTTAATTATAACATGATTGATCTTCATCGGCCATGATTAACCTGAAAGATTTCTATGAATCGTGATTTATTACTTCGGAATGCAAATTACTTTCTACAATTTTTCATATCTCTCATTTCAATAAAGAAAATCTTTGGAAATAATCAATATATCTCCATGCATAATCAAGTAGCATATGTATAGACTCTATCCGGACTTCTCTGTTCGCTTTCAATGCAGTATATTCTACTTCATTTTCGCAAAGCTAACATGTTAAAAATGTTTTTTGTATATTTTCTGTGTCGTTGGCTTACTATTCCCACGATATTTAGTAATATTTCTAAACAACGATATGGGTCTTTCGAAATACGGCATTCAGGCTTATATCATTTCTCTAAAGAAAACTATTTTCTATTATTAAAAATGGACATGCACAGTAATTTATGTTGAGCTTTTCAGAAGAGTATAAGTGAAGACGTTTGAAAATTCTCAACAGCAGAGATATTACAATAAAATTTTAGAAATGCAAGTTTACTCTGAAATGCAAACAGTTATCATTTAATAAAGTGAGATAGGATATAATTCTTTACGAAAATAAACAAAGAATATTCAACACAGGTACGTAGCTGATAGTCTCATAATTCTACGATATCAAAAATTGAGCGTGTTCTATAGTGAATATTTCATATTGCATGTGTAGAAAATGTGTAATGATATGTTCCTTGCGGAACATGATAAACACCCAAGACACTGACAAGCACTTGTAAAGATTATATTACGAATACGAGAAAAAAAATGCAAAACGAATGAAGCACGTGATTATCACACACAATGTTTGAGAACATGGCTATGTCTCCTTCTTTTTGTCGTTCTTTTGATACAGAATGAAATGAATTTTATGTTACACAATTGCAAAAAGTCCTTTTTCATATAATATTCATTTGATAGGACCATATTTCATGGCGTCAGCGTCAGCATCAACACCAAATTATTTTGAGGTCAAATGCGATCGACTAACTCCAGTATCACAATTTAATTTAAACGATTTTATTAACAACTGGCTTTCTATTCACATTGAGAATAATGAGAAACTGTCCATTCTGCGTTCTCCACGTCGAACACATCACATCGAAGAGTTTCCCTGTCTTGTATATCTCGTTGAATGTCATCGTTACAAGCGCATCCGTGTGTGGTTAAAAGAGCGAGAGGTCAAAGTGGAAAAGTGTTCTGACTATATGTATGAACGATATAGTCCAGACCATATGCAGTCATGCTGGGTATGTAAATGGCTTGAGTGGGACAATGACTGGCTTATCGGCATGGTAAATATTGACGAAAAAACAATTGTAAAAACAAATTTCTACCGTTTGATCGGTGATCGATATGTCGAATATGGTGATCCAGGAAAGTCATTTCTTGTTTATCCTGTATGGGTTCAGGATCATTTGGAAGTGAGAGAACGAGTTCGAGAATATCTTCTTGATACACTTCAAACACTCAATGAAGAACGATCTGATCATCATGCTATTCCATCGCCAGTAGAGGATATTATCGATCCAGATCTGCTTGCTTGTCGTCCTCCATCATTTGATCGAGCTAAATGGATAGAACATCAACTACAACAGTTGCAACCTTTTAGAAGAGCATTGCGAGATTTCCAACGTGATTTAGTCGATGGGGAATACGATGAATTATCTTGGCATGAGCAATTACGAGATACCTATCAATGGTTACCATCTGAATTCGTCATTCAAACTGATGGCAAAGTAGACATTCGAAAACCGATTCTTCATTTACCCATGATACCAAAATATCATCGTAGCTACGGTGCTATCGCGAAAATCTTTCATGCCATGTTACCTATGTTTCAACAAATAAAATTGATCTCAAAGGATACTATCGATGAACAACGCTTGCAAGTAATCGTCAAAGCGCAGAATTATAATATGAAAGCAGGCAAGACAAACTTTGAATACGAGTCTGTATAGCACTCTAAATGAAAATTCTTTTTCGAAATTAAATTTCTGGAACAAAATCGTTATCTGAGCTGAATTCCTTTTTCATGGTTAAATTTTGAATTCTCTTTTTTATGGCAATACTATCGTATAATATGAATTTCTTCAATGGATATGAATTTCTTTATTGCACCCGAAATGCTAGGTGAAAAAAGTCATTCATTAGCTTTCGAACATCGGCGGGTCACCAGAGGGCAATTGGTGGCATTTGCCACACCTGAAAAAATGATTGTTGCACTTGAAAAATTATTAGTGGATACATCCAAGGGGTGTCGCGACAGCTGTGGATGAGACGGGGGTGACCCGATCCAAATATTCAAAAATTGTCTTGCATTATATTTCACAAAATGAAATACATAGTACCTTAAGCACAATTTTACAAATTAGCCCTAGCATTGCGAAAAGTCAAACTCAAAAATCCGGAAAAAATTCGAAAAAAATCCCAGAAATAGTCAAAATTTCTCCAAAAGAGCCTCGAAAGCATCAGGAATATTCCAGAAAAACCCTGCAAAAATGCTGAAAAGCTCTGAAAAAGTCAGGATAAATTCCGAAAAATTCGAAAGCATGCAGAAAAATCCCAAAAAAATCTCGACAAAATCGAATAAATGAAGAAAAAAGCGTAGACAAAATGCCAAAAAAATTCCACAATTAGGAATATCTGGCAACACTGGTTATTCCTCGTCAAGATTTTTGAAAAGTAGAATTTCAGAAGTTACCTACCCGCCAATTTTCGTTGCTCGTGACACCCCTGGATATGTCTATCCTTTTGTATACATATACCGTACCCAAAACATGGCTGTGTTTTAAAAAACTCGGTATTATTATTTATTGCCACACCTTCATATGAGACGCTGGCCCGCCGATGCTTTCGAACGAGGAATTCTTATTGCACTAGCTCACAAGATAACTTTTTTTAAATAGAGATATGTTTGCTATTTTGTGTTGTTGTTCTTCAACAGGTATGAAGTATTCAGGTCGCTGGCATACTGAAGGACAGACAGAAAACATTGTGGCAGTGGGTGTCTATTATTTATATGTTGATTCTGAGCTCGAAGGAGGCACCCTTAAATTTCGTCCGAAAAAAGCCCCTCAACATTCATATGATGGGATTACAACTGATTTTGAAGTTGCTTCGATTTGTACTGGCACAGCTATAGTGTTTTCGAATGCAATGCCCCATCGTTTTCGACAAATCCGCAATCTAACTGCAGATGATGGTCGTCATCGAATATTTTTGAATTTTTTTATTGTGGATCCTGATCAAAAGATCAATCTCGAACTAACTAACATCGTTTTGGCACCGATGGATATGATTCGAAGCATATTACAACAATGGAATGAAGGGCAAATACCTGCTTTAGTCTTGGATAAAATTATGCAAATATTACAAATATCATCACCGTGGCAAACAAAAGATGAAGCCAAAGTATTTCGAACTCTTGTGAGAAAAGCAATGATGGAAGAAAAAAGTGGATGGGGATGGATTTGTTGGGGCAATTGTGGAACAACGGAGTTTGTTCGTGCACTCTGTGCTTGGAGTGTACGAGAGAGACAGGAGATGAGAGGAGACTTGCATCATACTGAATCGGATTCATAAACATTATGGATGGAAGATATTCTTTGTTTTTTGAATAAAACCAGACAGACAAGATAAGATCATGTAAAAGTGTTCTGGAGTTTAAGTGTGTAAATATCTAGATATATTTAGTTGTGCCTCTAGTTCATGTAGGTCATCAGTCTGTTCAGGAATGCTTGAATATGTTTTGTCTCTTTTCAGTATCTAACTCAGCGTAATTTTAGTTTGAAAAGAATATTTCAATAACATAACTACTTTCATATGTAGTGCAAGAATTTCGTTTTTCAAGATCAATTAAAATCTAATTACAAACGCTTGAAATCTTTAATCTCAATCACGAAATAGAAAAATATAGAGATTGAAAGGTATCATTGCGTTAATTAGGATTTATTGTAAATATATTTTGATTTGTCTAACCAAATTAATTTTTCTTCGAGCTGTCCGACGACATATTTGCTTTCTTGTCTATTTGTTACTGTAAATATTGTCCATCAATCGCAAAAACTACAGTAGCAATTCAATACTCTATTTATTTTATTTCGAGAGATATAGTAAATACGATCAAATATATGCCGTAAAAGTGTTGAATTCCGTTAAAATCCAACATCGGATCTGACTGCAAGTCCATGTCCAAGAATTCCATAAGATTTCGTCGGTTTTATTGAAACACATATGGTATTCGGTATGTTCACTGTCTGGTCCTTGTCGAAATCCGTTAGAATCCTACTGTCGGAATGATTCTCTCGGGTTTCTCAGTCTGACATCGCATCTAATAATTCATTTTTTGGATATTCAGCCGACATAAACACGGGCTCTCTGGCTAATCATGGTTTTTATAACGGTCCAATTGTTTTGAACGAAAACAGAGTAACAAACTCACTGTTTAGTATTAATTTATATTTGAAAAACAGAAATGTAGTCAAGTCAATCAATCTGTATTTTAAATGTTGTCGGTAACTAATTAACTTTTTCTCGCATAAATTACAAAATATTGGCATATAGCATCAGTTCATCGTTTCAAATGAGTCAATAAAATCATTTTCTTTTGTGTGGAATAGGAAATTAACTTTTCTTTGAAAAATTCATGTCGTAGATGTGAAAAAGGTAGAGGTATTTAGAAGAAAAGTAAGAAAAAAAAACTAGCTAGACGAATTCCTATGGAAGATTTTCCAATGATAAGCATGTTTAGAACTGCAATAGCACCAAAAAGTATAAATCCTGCGCATCATGGCTTTTATTGGCACACGAGATTATCATGAGCTTGACTTCAAAAGCCAGCTCCATCTTTACCAATAAATACACATGGTGTTATCAGTTCAGGGCTGAATGTAAGTAGATGGAATAGGAATGCTTTTGTATCTTAAACCGATTTATGATTATTTTGAGGCGTTACCAACAGTGCAGTCCTTGGAAAATAAGGATGCGTAATGAAAGTATAAATCAATATGATTTCAAACCTTGAGTTTTACTTCTTTAGCACAAACATGAAGCGTATTATCGCGTACGGAGTTATAGATGGTATTGTTACTAGTGTTGTACTCGTAGCTCTTATTCTTGGAATTTTGCTTCTTATTTTCAGCCTAAAGCAAAGTAAGGTTCAAGGCACCACTTACAAAATCATACAAAAATGATTTTTTAACAAAAACATATCCTATACTCAGTTGAGTTCCCAAATATCAATCATATCTATTGAGCGAGAAGTTCCATTCGGGTCATGACTTTTTTTAAATTATACTAAAAAGGCGAAGGATAAGATTTGAACTTGGCGTTTTTGCTTCCAATATGATCCCTTTTTTCTATTTTATTTTATTCTATCATGAGAGAATGGTTCATAAACTATCGATAGATTGATGAGAAACTGTTTGGCTCAGAGGTTCCTACTGGTACAATAATTCTGTATAGTGATAGTGCATCGAATCTAATGCAGTCGGATGATCAATGATTATTTTGTAATGGTAGTGAAATATCTTGGTCAACTTATACTGGTTTGTTTCTTGCTATTGGTACTACTTGTGGATCTGACAACGGTATAGATACATTCAATTTACCTGATATTTTCGAGCTCGATTCCCATTGGGTAATGCTATTATCAGTGATGCTTCGCTTGTTTCTGGTGGTAATGCATCATTTATTTTGACAGTAGCCCAGTTGTCTGTGCATGACCACGATCGAGGTTCTTTAATAACAGTGATTGATGGTTTACATACACACTTAACTTCAGATCCAGGGCACAATCATGGAGGAGCGACTGGGTCTGCGACCGCTAGTGTGAGCAGTGGTTCCAATTTAGCTGGAGGCTTCAGTTTAGGCAATGGCCTTAATAGTCACACACACACACACACCTATCAATACTGGGGCAACAGGGATAACAATACAGTTCAGTGGCAGTCATTCTCATGTTATCAGTGGTTCAACTGGTTTGCAAGGACTTGGACAGCCTATTGATAAAACGCCACCTTTTCAAACAGTTCACTACATGATTCGAACATGAAAATGAACATATTCAGCTTTTGAACTTTTTTATCACAAATTATTAACATCCTTTTCCTTGTGTTTTGTTTTCAGTAGCCGAACATTTTGAAATTTTCCTAATAGAATCAATAAAATTCATCATGATACAAACTATTCGAAATACTTGCTCGTCTAATGAATAGCTAGCTACTGTAAATTCATCTAACATGAACGTTGTTTGATTAAAAACTAATAGAGGAATTCAGTTCTTCTTCATTTAATGCTGTAAAAGTAGCGTTGAAAATAATTGAAAAAGTTCATTAAATTCTAATGTTAACAGCTTACTACGTAGAAATGCTCATAAAGTTCTTCTATTCATAACTACTAGTTATCATTTCAAATTGTCTTTGCATAATACTATTCTTTTTCAAAACTATCACTTACTGCAAGTCTTTCTTCATATTGCTCACATGTTCATTTTGTTGTGTAATAGTATTACTAGTCATGCAGGTCATCTGACAAGAGCAAATTTATTTACCAACCATTTGGATGTGAATGAGGGGATGACAATAAAAACTGAATAAGATACGGCCCGGTTCGTTGTCATTAGCTAGTAGACAAGCCGTACGTGTGAAAAACAGTGAAGTTTTTAGAGAGCGTTTTACCATTCGATAAATAGAAATCTTAATATTTTTGACTCGGACGATTAAGTGGTGGTCTGAAAAATACTGTGAAAAGAGTTGCATCAGAGATACAGAGTTCATGTTTTCTAGTTCGATAGTGATTTGAAGTTGTTCGTTTCGCAAATGAATTGGTATATTTTGTCGTATTTTGGAGAGATTGTACTGTTAAGATTCCATTTGAAACATCATATCATTTCAATTCATGACAACATCTTGAGTGAATTTCACCCAGGTCAAAGTTGCCCAATAGGATCCTATTGGAACCTTAAACAATCCGAGAATATCCGACTATCCGTGGCTGGTCGGATCCGACAGTCGGAATCCAATTTAATCCTTTTATTTCCGATAATTTCCGACAATCGGATACTCCAGGATTCCGCTAATAGGATCCATTGTAATCCGATAGTTGGGAAATCAATGGATCCGACAGAATCAAATAACTTGTATTGTTATATGCTACTTTAAGATGAATATCGAAAAAGAAATTGGCTTAGACTTAGAGTTATGGAAATTTTCTTGATTCTCTAATTAAAAATTTCTCAATTACTTAAATATTAAATAATGATACTTCGATAATTGATTGATATGTAATGGATATTTTAAAAATTCTATGAGAAAAATGAATAATTTTTTATTAAGTTATTTGTATGATTTTTAACAAAAATCAAAGTCATTAATTAGTGTGGTAAAAGGGCAGATTTAATGAATACCATGGAAAAAAATTTTTTTAACAATTTAATCATGGAAAATCGATTTCATTCGTGTTTTAAAAAAAATCATTTAAGACAGAATTCCTAACTGAGGTAATTATCTTTTTATTTTTTAAGATCACATATCAATCGAATTCTACAAAGTTATATATGCATGTGCATCATAATAGTAAGAATACACTTTAACGATTGGCGCTACATCTGTTAACAGTGTTTTCTGTTGGCTAGGTACATGAATAATAGCCTAAGTGGACAAAAGTATGTATAGGCTATTCAGTCTATTTACATTATTTCAAAAGTTAGAAAGCTCCGACGTCCTTTATAAATAAAGTTTATACTATCATCTCTTCACAGATATTAATGCACATTAATTTGTGCTTAATACTAAGTCACTGATTTCCCCATATTTTTATCTTTAAAGGAATGATTTTAAACTTTTATTCATTTCAGATTGTTTGAATTCATATGTAATCGGTCTATTTTAGTATGAGATCATAGTTTCATTGTTTTTCTTCCGTAAGTTTCTTTTTTGCTCATTACATGTACTCATGATATTGTCTATTTTAGATTCATATTTTGCCAAAATCGTGAAAAAATATATAGTTTGTTTGTAAAATTGTCTTTTTTATTTATCCAATTTCATTGAATATGGTAAGTTTCTTTTATATAAGCAATTTTTTTCATTTTGAGTGGCTCTTTAAAATTCAAAATTACACGTTAGAGAGAAAATTATGTTAACATGAAAAATTGACGAAATAGCACTTTTTTGTTTTCATTAGATTGGAACATATTTTTAGAATTCAACGACATGTTAACTGCACTAGCTAGATACTGATCTAAAAAATATATTCTTCCTTATGACCTATATGTATATTATTTTTTCAGAATGATATTGATCTAGAAGATGCTGTTGAATTGGCCAATCAAAAGCATCAGCTTCGTTTAAAGAAGAAAAGAGACCGATATCGTAAATCTCGTTTAAGAAATATAGAATTCGAAATAAATTCTTCTCAACTGACTACTTCATCTTTTGGTTCATCACCCAACCAATATAGTCCACGTGATGTTCCTTCATTTATCGAGCCTGTACCTGAAATTCAAACAGACGATCTATCATATGTCGACATGGACGAAGATGATGAATTAATTTTGAATATCGACATGATTGATCAAATTTCAGCGTCAAATTCAAATACTGATCAAGATGAAATAGAGGATACACCATCTTCTAATGATTTTCTTCATTCATATACTGATACACCAGCAGATACATTTTGTTATCGACTTGTTTATTTATTTCGTCAATCTCAACTTTCAAAAACCCAATGCCACTCATTTATTGATTTAATTCATTCTGCATTACCACAACCCAATAGTTTACCACCAAATATGAATCAATTATTATCTATGTTACAATTAAAAGTTAATTTCTTTCAAAAAAGAAAAGTTTGTCTGCTATGTTATAATGATTTAGCTGGAGATGCACGTATTTGTCTTAATTGTCCAACATCAGCTGATTCCAATATTGCGATTATTTATGATTCTGATTTAATGTCTATTCTTTCAATATTATTAAAAAAACATTGGAAAACAATTTGTACGTATAAAGAAGAACTACGATCAAATAATGATGTATCAGGTGACCTTGATATTGGATTTGCTTATGCTTATCAAAATTTGTTACGTAAATTTCCAAATGAAAATTTTATTACTGCTTTGATGCATCTGGATGGTGTTGGGTTATGTAAATCTAACAAGTTAAAGATGTGGTTGCTCTCATTTTCACTTATAGAACTACCGGCGAAAGTCCGGTACCAAAGATACAATATGCCGGTTGTATCTATTTGGGTTAGTTCCAAGGAACCAATTGCATCTGTATGGCTCAGAAATAGTATTGATGCTTTAAAAGAACTTAAAGTCTCAGGTATCGTTAATTTTAAATAATTTTAAAAAGAAAGCCACGCATTTTTACTTCTCATGAGGCATTGAAATCTGGCTTGCTTTAAGCTGAAAACGATTTAAACAAGCCGTATCATAGCTACATTTATTTGACCGATCAGCACTTAGTGCTTGTCGTCTTCAGAAAACGTACATTTTCTCTGATTCGGTAGACTATTTCTACGAAAATTCCAATGAATTTTTATATTCTTTGGATATATTTTACTACGTATTTTCCTTAATTGTTCTTTCTAGTAAAATGTTCTATCGAACTCAATTTTTTTTTAGTTCATCTATAGAATCATTTTATTCTACATTCATCTTTTTATTTATATTACACGAAAAAGATTTTAGCTACTTTTAAATTACTTAAGAATATCTTCAACGGTTTGAGGATCATTTTTATTTCGTCTTTACCATTATGGTTCCACAATCGTTCCCGTTGAACCTAGATTTATGTATACTTCGTACATAAAAACATAATTATGTTTTTAAGCGAAACTTTGATAAGACTATATGATTCTTAGATGATTTCCGAATTTTTCATTGAGGTACGCGTTTCTTTTGTTTAGGAATTGTTCTCAATGATGAAATTGTAAAATTAAAGGTCTTAGCTGTAACTGGTGACTCGCCAGCCCTTAAAATTGCACTTGACTTCATCGCCCACAATGGGTATTACTGTTGCTACTTTTGCTACTTGCCTGGTATCCATCAAGGTGGCAAGCGACAATATCCATACCAATGTCCACATGTAATGCGAATGCCTGGTAATTTTGCTCGTGACTCAAGTACTGCAGCACAATTGAAAAGCAATGAAAAGGGTCATTTAGGTGTTTCTATTTTTTCTGAAATACTTGATATCAAATTACCTTATTCAACCATCATTGACTATGCTCATGCTAGTTTACTTCGACATTCGAAATCCATGTTTGTTGAAATTTATCGTCGTCTAAGTCCAGTTATTCGTGCTACTATTGATATTGCATTGAGTCAACAGCCATTTCCACATTTTTTTCATCGTCGTATGAAATCATTCAAGGATCTTTCCTTCATTAAAGCCACTGAGATCCGTAACATACTTTTCTATGGATTTCTCCCGATTTTTCATCAACATCTGCAACATGATTATCTTGGTCATTTTGCCTTGTACATTTGTGCGATGCGATTATTTCATGGACGTGCTATACTTGGCCCTCGAACATCTGATATTGCAAATGATTTAATAATGAAATATTATCAAGATTTTAGTTCTTTTTATGATGGATTAGAAAACTTCGTGCTTCATCTTCATTCCCATTATGAAAGACAGTACAGAATGTACGGAACATTTTCACATCTAGGTTCATTCGGTCAAGAGAGTCTTATCGGTTATATAGGGTCCAACCGAACAGGTACTACTCATCACGGTGACAATATTTGTGAGAATTATGGAATTGATTTGATGCTACATCATCAAATCGAAAACTTATACTCATACACCAATATAGTCGATGGACCATTCGATCCAGACTTGAACTTCGACTTTAAATCAAATGATAGTATTATTGATTTTTATAATGCTGAATGTAACTGTAAATCAATTACCTGTTGCTTACGGGCATTTCGACGGTATGCCGTGAAGCAACGAATCTATCATTCATTAATTTATAAACATCGACAGAAGAGCGTGAGTTACTTCGTTCGTTATTGCTCTAAAAATAACTCAACTTCATGTTTATTTGGAAAAATTCTCATGTTTTTCAAATTTTCAAATTCGAACTCTACATATGCTTTAATTGAACAATATTCAGCTCAAGGTCTATTTTCAGATTTATTTGTTTCTACAACGTATTATGAACTATTATCTAAAGCTATTGACCATTTGTTTTATGTAGTTTCAAAAAAATGCTCTTTGTGTCATGATGTTGTCATCGTTTCGCAACTATCAGAACATTGTATCGTTTTTGACTGTGAAGAATATCATATTATTACACCTGTATCGTCGTATGACGAGCATGACTAAGAAAATTATGAATATATTTAATGCATGAAACTATCTTTATTTAGTTTTAATTGATAATTTGAATTTAGATATAAGTACATATTTTAAGGCGAATTTCACTTTAAAAAAAATAGATTAACCTATTTTTAAACATGAGAAGTACTTTATCAATCATAGTGAATTAAGCATGATGATATCAACGATCGATTAAAGGATAAAAAGTAATTTTTGATTATTTTCATATCGTTCATTAAATTATTCTATACCAGTTTCATTTAAGCTTTTCATTTTAGATTCATAACACTGTGTTACTTAAATACGGTCAATTCTATATCAAGTTTAAGTATAAAATATAGTGGATATTGATAGAAAGAGTATCTAATTTTCAGAATCATGAAATTCATATATTCTGTTTTGGCTTCTCATCAAAGTATACTTATAGAATATTTTCATTTCTTTTTCTAGATGAACGGTCGAATTCGAACTCAAAAAAAAATCTATACGCCAACAACAAACGCACCTGAGCCTGAGTGTTTCTTATGTCGAATCATAGATAGTGGAGAATATGTCATCGTACAACGTTCAAGTATGAAACGTATTTATGATGATTCAGCTGAAATCATGGTTTATGGTCGAAGAACTGAAGCCAGAATTGAACATCGAGGTTAGTTAAATATTCCATAAATGAAAATAATTTACATAATTCGCTATATTATTGACCATGTTTCTGATTGACTTGTATTGAAAAGCGTATGAATTTATTGCACCAGCTATCACGAGAAATTTTTTATGAGATTTAGTGAGGTTTTCGACTTTTAACAAATACTATGAAATCCAGATGAAATTATCAATTATCTGAGTCCGTTGATACTATCGATTAAAATGTTGTTTGAAAATAAAATTTTCTTTCAAAATTACTTAAAATAAAGTTGTATTGAAAATTGGTGTTCAAATTAGTTACTTCGAAACCATAGAGCTAATAATTGTGTTGAAAGTATAAGAAGAACTGCGGCTTTTTATTGTGCCTAATCTCTACCTTCTCACTTCATGAATAGATAACATCAATCTTAATATTTTTATTTCAGAAAAATGAATTTTATGATCGATACCTAAATCGATAGAAATTTATCTTGCTTTTTTTCCTAGGTACACGTGAAGAATGTCGACGTGTGTGGGGCAACAAAGAAGAAATTCATAAGTTGAAAGGTCTTGTGTACAATGCTTTTGCCAAACTCAAAGAATAATAATTTTAGATCGTGATCCACAATATGATTCTGATATTGAAGAAGATGTAGATTTAAACGAGTATGATGAAGAACCAACAGAAACTCTTACTTGCTATTCAAGTAAATAAATAATCTTCGCATGTTTAAAAAGAAAATTATTTTACAAAAGTGGATGCTCTCTTAACTTTGTTTAATGTTTCGTAGTGCTGGTAAAGGATGCATAGTTATCGTATTTTATTTTGATTTACATTGGATGAAAACGACAACGTAGTAAAAAATAGTAATGAATTACAGAAACAATCTTGCATGAGAGAAAATTTATTCATTTTCATCATCTGAGACTTGATGCGAAAATTTTGCCTTAGTTGATTAAAAATGAAACTTACTAATTGATGACAAGTTTCAATTACTAAAGTCAATTTTATCTATATTTTTAGCATCAAAAACTTCTACAAAAACATTTGCACCACAAAGAAAACGTACTTTAGTTGAATCAAGTATAACAATGAATAGTCGTTCATCAATATCACCCAAAAAAACAAAACACAATGATTTCGAAAAAGAAATTCAAGGTATATTTTCAAAGCTTGTTTGTAATAAGAATCTGAAGTCATTCGTTATCAAACGCATTCCCGACTTTTCACAATTCTTATTAATTTGACTATTATTAATAGTCTATTGGTTTTAATATTCATGAAAAGAATTTTGTCTTTTTTTAGTCTTACCTAATGATATTCTGAACGACGAAGAAAATAATAAGCGATGTTTAACAGCTTCATCAAGTTTGAATATTTCAATTTTATTATAGAAAAATTCATACGAAGTATTTTCCTTGTAGCGTCTAGTATTATTCAACATATAGATACTCTATTCAGTTCAGTTCGACGAGAAAACGAAAAACAATTTAAGGAATTATCAAAAAAAATTGATCGTAAACATAATATTGATAGTGTAATTTAATCAAATACCTTTTATCAATTATTTAATATATATTTTTTGTTTAGATTGATCTTTCAGCTTTTCGTGAACCAGGCAATGATCAACCGCGCGATGATGTTGTCTGTTTCCATCCCTTTTTACTGTTGCATATACTCATAATACTGTTTAGGTGCATGATAATGTTAATTTGCTGCGTATTCGAGGAAAAAATGTCGGTGATTATGGTCGACAAGTACTTCATTGTCTTTATTCACGTGAAGAATTATTGGTTTCAATTTTGCCTCCTGGTGGTACTCAATATTCTCGAAAACCATTAGACATCGTAAGATTTGAAAAATTTCATGGTACGTATTTTTCATTTTGTTTCTTAAAAAAATGAAACTAGACTCCAGAGAAGCCTTAATAATTTTCCCGTTTTTATTTCATCACAATACAGCACATGATTAATTGCTTTCTGGAACTCAGAACTCGTAGACTGAACAATTAAAAATTTCAAAATGACATAGTTAAGCATATTTATGAAATTGATTTAGAAATAAACTTGTTTTTTATTTTCTAAAAATCTCGAAATAGGGAAATACTACATTGCTACTGTTACTAATAGAATTCTTAAATGATATTCTTTTATGTTAGATGCTTATTGTTATTTTTATTACTTGCATATCTTACTTATGGAAATTTCTCAAGATTTTCATTTTCTCAAATCTGATTTTTTTTAGATGCTATGCGTGGTAAATATCGTATTGCTGATCATTACTATGACGAATTTTACAACAAATTGGTTCGACCTAAATTAGTCGACTTTTTGTCAGATGAACGTAAGAGAGAACGCCAGAAACAATCAACAAATTCTCTCTCATCACAATCATCATCTCCAGATCATAATTTATCCTTTTAATTGCGCTTCTTTGAACGTACGTATATGTGATAATGATGTATTTGCCTTTTGTATTCTAAGTAGCTGGTTGTTTATGTGAAAATTTCTCTTTCAATGATTTTTATATTTTTTGGGAAAATGAACAGATGTTTTAAATGAATAAAAACAAATGAACCGCAAGTGATGAAAAAAATAGCTACTTTTTAGTATCATACTAATTTGTGATTCATGATTTGAGAAATAAAAATCTCTCTACTCAAAGACTGATTCTAAGAGCAATACTGAGATTGATAACTCAAATAAAAAAAAACCTGCAGGATCTTGTTGTTTCCTAAATTTTCCGATTGTCGGATCAGACTCTTGGAAATCGTCGGATCCAACACCCAGCAACTTCCTGTCGGAATCCTGTGCCAAGGAATCCAACAACTTCCGACAGTATCCTGTCGGAAGTTGTCGGATTCCTATCGGAAAGTATTGGATCATTTGGGATTCCCGGTAGGATCCGACAGGATCCGAATCTGGGATAGCTCGACCTGGGCAAGGTTAAATATCGTTTTGATTAAGTTCTAATCCCAGCAAAAATTAATTAAATAAACTCTATAGAATCAACACACATGTATAGAAGAGAATCTGAGCCTCTTCTGGAACATTTTGGAAAAAAAACAGTTATCTTTTATTTTATTGTTGAAACTAATCGAATCATTAAATATCATGGTTGATCAGTATAGAAAATTCATTACGACTAAAAATTGACAAGGGATCAGCCATTGGATTGAATTCGAAACTATTAACGAATTTTCTAATCAGTCAGAAAATTTCATTGGGATTCAAATTCACTTCAAAGGTAATTTTAGTAATTGAACTAATAGTCTACAATGGATAGGGAACAATGATTTAACATTGAAACGTTTTTAACACTTGAAAATGATCTAAAGCTTCACATGGCTGTGAGATTGTAATTCCTAAACCAATGTCAACCGAATAGATACTAATAGTATGTAAAGAAGTTTTCACGCTTTTTGAACATTTAACAAACGGTTAAGTATATCGATTCATAAAAATAGGTCACGATAATAAAAAAATCTTCAAAAAGTGAAGAGGAATGTGAGAAGAAAATGACCAACAGAATTTTAATTGAATGTAAAATGAATAAATGGATAAAATAAAAGATAGCAAACGTTGAAGCTATGAGTTATGTACAAAGAAGAAGTATAGGGCAGACTGTGAGCCATAATATATATTCGCCTAGCTATTTACAAGAATCATTTATAGAAACATGATCTTTCTAAGACTAGAGGCTTAAAATCTTATTGAGTATTGTTTTTAAGCCTCAACTCATTTATTATAGATTCGATTGTTTACTATGCTTGAAATTTTTCATACTAAACTATTTTGACTAATCTTAGAGTTTGTTTTTTAACTGATGAGCTTCTAGTGTTTAATGACAACTGCTTTTGGAGAAATTTCAGCAAGCTGCATTGCTATGATTACCTGACAGCGTTTGAATGACAAAAGCATGAAATGAAGATAATAAGTTTCTTTTAAGAAGAGAAAATATCTTTCGAAAGAAATGATTTTCAGTATTTTATTAGCTTCCTTGAGTTCTGTGTAAGATAAAATGTTTTGCATTTGAACAGTCTACAACAAAAATCCACTGAAAATTACCGTAGACTTAAATTTATGCGATGATAGAACTTGTTCATTTTTTCCTTGAAAAATATATCTAGATGAAGCAGGCCTAAAATAAGGGTGACGTTGAAAATTAATATGAACTTTGTCGATTAGTAGTTGCAAAATTTAAAAACCTTGTTGATTAATCGTATTTCAAAACTAGTTCAAATGGAAAGTATGCCATTTGTATATGAAGGACAAGAGTATTTTTCTGTTGTGCAATATTTCGGTAGATTAATACTCCATCGGCATCAAAAATTGATAAGTACCAATCATTTCTTTACATAGATTTCGAAAAAATATAATCACATAAACTGATTGGAAAACTGTATATTCATTTTTGTAATTCCCGTTTTTTTTATTCTTAATTCAATAAAAATAAAAATAAAGCTTGACTTCAATCAAGTAAAGAAAAAACTAGCGCTGAAATAAAGAGATAAGATGTTTTTTTAAATTATAAAACAGAAAAAGAATTAATCAGTCTTTTCTTGTGCTTGTTCTCTTTCTGATTCTTGTGCTTGCTTAGTAATCGTTTGATCGGTATTATTAGTATCAGATTCATCATCAGGTCGTAACAAAATCTTTCCAATATTTTGCCGATTATGCATACGTTGCATAGCTTCACCAACTTTTGAAAATGAATGGATAGTATCTATTTGTGGCTTAATTGCACCTTCATTATATAATCGAAATAATTCAGTGATGGTATTTAATGCTATTTCTTTTGTAGTATCAAGATCTTTTAATAAATAACCTAGATGATAGCCAGCTATACTTTTATTATTTGATAAAATCGATAGCGAATTTGTTGAAAAACATTTATACCAAGTTTTAAATGCTGTTAATAATGAACGATTTTCCCCACTAGCAGCGACGTTGGCTGCACCTGTTTTAAGTATAATAAAATAGTTTGCTGAAAATGAAATGAATTCAATACATACCGAAATAAATTATTCTACCCAATGGCTTAAGTAAATCATAACCACGTACGCTATCTTCTCCATTCAATGGATCCATAATTATATCAACACCTTGAAAAGAAGAAAATTGAGTGATATGACAAAAGAAAATCCTTTTTCACTAATTTTTACCATTAGGTGAAATCTTACGAATTTCAGCTACGTAATCTTGTGTATGATAATCGATGGGGTGTGTGCATCCTGCTTCTTTAATAATATTATGTTTTGGTGCAGAAGCTGTTCCAAAAACAGTTACATTTGCAACAGTTTTGCATAATTGAATCGCAGCAATACCAACACCACCTAATAATAAAAATGCAAGATAAGACACAAAAAAGAATACTTCGTTTTAGTTTTCGTTACCTGCTGCCATATGTATAAGTACACTTTTATTTGGTCGTAAATTTCCAAATTCAAATAAAATCTGATAAGCAGTTATATAATTAACAAGTAGAGCAGCTCCTTCTTCGAACGATAATTTATCCGGCATTTTAAAGCAATGATCATGAGGAACAACGACAGTATCTGCCCACATGCCATCACCAGCAAATGTAACAACACGATCGCCGACAGCCAAGTTAGACACATTTGAGCCTATTGCTTCTATAATGCCTGATGCTTCAAAGCCAGGCACATACGGAAACTTTGGTACTGGTGAATATAGACCTTGGCTAATAGAATAAAAATCATTATGATAAAATTCAAGTATAATATTTTAAAACAAGATAAACTCTCACCGTCTCATTAAATCAGCAAAATTGAGTCCAGCAAATTTGACACGTATGACAACTTCATCAGTATCTGGTGCTCGGTATGGAAACTTTTTAATTCGAAGTTTATCATATCCACCAGCACCGACTAATTCTATAGCAGAAATTAAACGAGATTTTTCACTACTCTGATTTGATGCCATTTAGTTTAGGAATCGATGACTCTGAAATAAGTAATGAAATAAATAGAAACTTTTTTCTTCGCATTGTCATTCCATACAAGCATAATAGAAAAAGAAATATCTAAATAATGACGAACTCTTTGCTCCAAACATCATGTTTTGTACTATAGATAAAAAATACACGCCCTATGCAAAACTTAAGCCAATAGAACGATGAAATACGGTAAAAAAAACTTATATTCTGTTGATTCATTTTAAGATAGTATTAGTCATGCCAAAAGAAAAGATAAGAAACGTATTTTGTTTTTCTTTTAAATACAAAGTTGAAAATAGAGTGAATGTCAAAAGACATTAATGAAAAAAGTGTAAAAAGATTCTATTCATTTTTTATTCATATCAATGTAATCCAGATCTAATTTAAAATAAACATATGGATAATATTCTTGCTGTAATGCGAGTATACCGGGGATATCGATTTGCTACAAGAAGAAAATAGAATTTAATGAGAAAAGGTAAATCATTTGTTGGATTTCTTTACTTCGTCGTATATTGATCTATCTGATTGATCAAGATAACCAAATAGTTGATCGAGTACATCACGCAAACGTTTTGTTGACTTTCGAGTTGGATGAATAATAATGGCAACAAAATTGACTGGTAAACCATATCTATATTAGACAACGAAATATGTTAAGATAATCTAATTTATTATTTATCATTAGTATAGTTCTTTCGTTTGATATTAGGAAAGAATATGGATTAAGCTCGATTAAAATTGTTATATGTCATTTAGTTAAATATTCTTTACTTTGATTTCTGTTCGCAAGTGTTTCTGGATATGAACGATGATTCAAACATCAATATTTCAACTTTATTCGAGAATTAATTTTTCTAGTGCATTGACTGCATTCGATGAAAAATTTAATCGATAAGACAATGTTGCAGTTGAACTCAAGATTCGTTGCATGAAAGAAAATGATCAAAAACTGTTTAAGAATCTATAGATTTTTATACCGAAACATATTATTGAAATCTTCATAAAGAAGCAGTTCGAAACACTACTGACTGAACCTTCTGAAATAGTTTACATGTCAATACGTAGAAAGCAGCGAGATATTTTCTCTACAAGCCACCGTTGACTCATTTGTGAAGACTTAATTTAAATCACAAATTAGTATAGAGTTCATGAAAGCTATAGTCTTATTTATTGTGCCACTTTATAATCGATAGTAAGTGTTTATCAAATACAAATAGTTTTTGAGTAGTGGCATTAAATTGTTTAACATTAATCTGCAGTCTGAAAACCATATCTGACGTGTGTTTTAAATAGCTTTGGATATTTATTTCTACAAAATTGTTATACCTGAGGACCGATTCAACAAATACACGTAATACTTTGATATGCATTGATGCTGAAAAACTTTCACCGAAATTAATTTTAAGCCAACGAACAAGATTAGCGTAAAGTTTTTGTCGTTCAGTTTCCAGTTCTCGAATTTTGTCACGTTCATTCGTAAATGCTTTTTCATCAAACGTAAAATCTCTTACAGTAAATCTTTAAATATAAAAACAAATGTTCTATTGTTAATTGCTGATATTCAACATACTTATTTTCTCGACATTTATGTCGAAATGTATCTTCAGTTTTTTGAAATAAAGTTACATTGAATAAACAATAATCTTGATCTTGTGCTACTATTTCACTTGTACGTGGTACAATCATAGCACATAGGGTTTCATATTTTCCATACCAATCATTGACCATTGCTTTTGGTACACATACCAATAAAGTTTTTAAGTATTCACTACCCAAGACAAAATGTTCCTTTTTTACAATATCATTCAAATTACGTGTTAATAAACTACCACTAAAAGCAAAACTCTTGAGAATAAGTGAGAAAAATAAAATTAAAAAAAAAGGTCTTCACATCTGTTTCTTTTCAAATGTTTCTAAATTTTGTTTAACTGAATTATATGATTGGCTGCGAAGCTTAAGCTCATTTTCAATATGTGTTGTTGCCTAAAATACAAAATAAAATTTAATTGATTCATTTAATTAATTTAAAGTAGTTTCTTTGGAAACAAGGATTCAAACTGAACCATTCATCGATTAGTTATTTAAAATGATGCTCGGAGGTTTAGTACCTTTTCCAATTATAGATGAAAAGAATATAAATGTGAATTCATATCATTATTCAAGTTCAATGGAAATATCACACACGTTCTCTCATTAACAAGAAATTTCATCATATTGCAACGAAAAACAAGCGGAATTTTCCAATGGTAAATGACTATTAAATTAACAGAAGAAAAATATCGAAAGTGACTAATAGGATTTCATGCTATAATTCATGCGTACAGTCAACGCGTCTAGCCTGAAACCACCCGAGAGTGATTTCACGATACGTCACACATTGACAGAAATATTTAGATTTGAATGAACTGTTTTTTTTTTGCAGCAGTTCAATTTTTCCACATACTTTCTTTTAAAGATTGAATTAAAATTATTGCATAAAAGAAGATGTTAAGTAAAATAGCTCATCTTAAAAGTCTTCCAATCAATACTATATTATCCAAGAAACAAGTTTTAAAATATCCTCTCAAAACTAGTTTAAATTAAAATTATTAAGATACAATGTCAACGACAGCATGCGCTGTACAAACGTTCACATGGAAAATGGTTCACTGAAAAAACAAACGAACGCTTTTAATGATAAACTGGAAAAAAATGAAAAATCTTAGTCCAATACTACAAAAAATTTCTGAAATATTCAAAGATTATTCTAATCTGAAAATATTCGCTGTATAACCGAATGGTGAATTAAAATGTGAAAATCCATCTCGAGTATCTTTTTCATCTAGATCATTTCAACAATAATCATTTCAACTGATTTTTGTTATCATCAAAGACTTCAAACTCTATTCATAGTCTTCTTTTGATCGTTTGAAAATACAGAATTTCTCTCTTTCTACATCAATATCAAAAAAATAAAGTTGAAATCGATAAGAAAATATTTCAAAATTAACTTTGATGATACAAAAACTGACTGCAATGCTTGAACAGTACCTTCAATGAATAATTCGCTGTAAGAAATATAATTACAATTCTGCACGTTGTATTCTTTCTTCTTATGGATTACATATATTATTTCTCATTGGTAGATAGACTTGAGGAGAATTAACTTTAAAATACTATTCTATCCAACGTGGGAATCAATAGAGTTACAATCTTCCGAAAATCAAGTATGCCTTCTCGACTTTTGTGATTATTGTAGCATGCAATATGTACCTAGCTCTCAATATCGTATTCGCGCATGAAAAATGCTGATTTGTTTCTTTGAAGGATACAATCTCTGGAATAAACCTTAATAACATACTTTTGCAATTATATCAGAAAGATTTTTCAATGATTGTTTGGTTGGATATTTTGCATGATCCCATTGAAATTCAGTAGTGTAACGTATTGGATCATCTAAGATTTGATTTAATTCAAAATAGAAAGTAACTATAACTGAAAGAAATACATACAGCCATTTGGTCCAAGAACAAGATTTTCTGCAAGACGATTACGATCATCATCAAGAATATCATGAAAGAAAAATTGAGTTAATTTTTTAGCAACTCTAAAACGATAATGTTTTCGTTCGATTTGCATATGTAGAAATGTTGATGTTTTTATTATACCCTTCAATATAATGATCTAGCTTAGCAAGATCATCCGAAAGTGCAACAAGTGAATCGAGCGTACCAACCTATAGTATGAAAAGTTAAATAATAGAAACTAGCATATTTTTTTTATTTATGTTGCCTTTAAATCAGGAATATTGAGTATATAGTTAACTGATAACTGATCTCGTTCAGTAGCTCGACAAACTTCATCATAAGTTTGTCTTGGTGTCGATTTTCCAGGAACAGATATAATCCAATATTCTTCCGTCATTTTAATACGTATTTGCAATGATAAAAATATAATGTAACATCCAAACAAAAGAAGTAGACTACTGAAGACTGAATTCTTGTTACCTTCTTTCTTATATTATGAAATAAAGATTTCATTGGTTACGAATATACACCAATAAAATAAGAAAAATATTACATCAAATAATAATTTATTTGTCAAAAACATCTCCTTTGATTTAAAAATTTAAAAATATTAATCATAAAATTGTTTTTCTTTTCAATACAACTACTTTTCATGTAGAAATCTTATGAATATGAATTCTGTGAGCATCGGTTTCGTCCCTCTCTCTTGCGCTCTCGCTGACTGCCTGCCAGTCTGTTGTCGGTAACTTGTTAAATATGTCTAATTTACACTGATAAACATCAATTGTACGAATAGAATATAACTGTTTAATAGTACACTGCAGCTATTTAAAATCACATTTACTTTTGCTTTGTACTGTAAAATTCTGTTTTTCTTATTGCCTATCGGCTAACTACCCAACGAGCATGGGCGCACATATATCAAACATAATTTTGAACTGTAGCATTCGTTTTCTTTTTCCACTTATTTTTACATCCGTGCACATTACTTGTCCTCCTTGTGTCAATAATCTTCGAGCAAAAGGTATATTCGTATAGTTTCTGTTAGTCAGAGAGATACTCAAGAAATCAAAACAACTTATTGCATACGCTTGAGCTGAAAAATTTTGTATATATACCACCGAAGAAAAAGACAGAGGGCGAGAGAGAGACGGGGAGAGAGGAAGGGAGGCAAAAGAAAATGATCGAAGCAAACTTTTTTCTCTCAATAAGTTGCGGTTACATAAATGTTTTTGTTATATTTAAAGAGAAAAAGATAATCAATAGAATGAAGACCACTTCTAACCTTCAGAAGTGTATTTTTTTCTTCGATTTAACTAATACTCTTTCGTTGTGCCAATCATAGCTGTCAGGTAATTATGATCCCTATCGAGTATCATTCTTTTACTTTTCGAAGATATTTGAACATAAAGTAAGGATATTTGATCATGTCTTCATAAATTTAATTCCTTTTGCTGTCAAACAACGTTTTTTTAAGCTATCAAAAATTTATGTTAAATCGATGATCATCGTTGTCATTATGTCAAAATTGATTTCACTCTTTTCATAGGAATCAGAAGAAAAACACTAGCAATGCATAATAACTATTAGAAACTTTATTCGTCAAGTATTTCAAAGCATTTATTTCAAAGTATAGAAAAACATAAATCTTCGCATTTTTCTTTCTGCACCTTTGAAACTACACGGTTTTATATATGTGTGCCCAGTGGCATCTCGATGGCTTCGGTTGTTGTTTCGTTTGCTTTCGTTTACGATCATTCGTACTTTTTTCTCAGAGTTGGCCATGTATCAAGAACGTCTTTTTATTTCGTTATATCACATTACGTTCTGTGTTCATTTTTTTTTCTCATTTTTTAGTAAATATTGTAAAAGATTGTATTGAAAACCAAGGTTAGCCAAAGATTTGTCGCATATGCGAAAGTAAAAGGTTATCTTTAATCGTGTAAGCTAATTTGTTTGACTCGATTCTATTGGTACTGAGTTTTGTTGAAACAAAGATTAGCGACGTTTTTTCTCTTCTTCTTCTTTTTTATTCTTCATAGTCAGAGGTCTAATGTTGTAGGCGACCTAACATTCCTCTAACTTATGTTCACTCGACAGTCTTTAAATCGTTCGTTTTTTTCTTCTTTCATGAGAAAAAAGAGCACGAGAGCGAAGAAGTTCACGTAATCGTTACTCCGAACATCTTCGTTGAAGAAAGAAAAACGAAACATAAATAATTACATACGCAAACTTTGTTTGTCTCTAGATCATTATGCTTAGTCAACTTCGACGAGGACATCATCACGAATTTGATGGGTAAATTGTGAGATTTATTATTGTTGATTTTATTTATTTCATTTTATCTAGTGATCCAATGTCTGCGCGTCCAATAAATGCTTATGGAGAACGTTGGAGATCTCCAGGTAAAAACAAACTTTTTTGTTTTCTGTTATTTTCTATAAGTATTTTATACGTGTATATATATATATATATATATATACATTACGGATTAACTTTGAATCTTTCATTATCGAATTAGTCCAATACTCGTCATTGTTATTTAAATCTTCAATTAGAACTCGTTTCGAGCAATATGTTTTGCTGTTATTGTTTTGATTGGATGTTTATTGATCGACTAGTTGTTATTATACCGTTGCTTATTATCTTAGTTTGTTTGCTAATTTTGTCACAATATGTACACTAATTCATTGATCAACCCACTCATATGTATATATGCCCATGTGTGTGTATAGATATTTTGATGGAGATTGCTAACTGATTTCTCATAGTTTTACGTCAGATTTGACACGTATGAGTCAAGAATAAAGCGTGACAAATATAGCAACAATGAGATATTCTTTTTTTCTTTTTATTCCTCTTCCGATTTTTTTCCTTTTCTTCATCAGGTTTTATTATTTGTCTACGATGAATGAATAGTTCCTTATACCGCGATTCGTTCTTCTATTTGGACAATGTTTGTTAAGTTTTTTTTTCATTTTCTTCTTCTATTTCTCCTTTTCATTTTCTTTTTCTTCTGCCTCTGCAAATTGGTTGTCGTCGTTCGTCTACTACAGGAAAGCGAGCTCCACTAGTTATAAGCATCACATTTATTATTATTTTTTGATTTCTTATCCGTCAAACCTATATGCACAATCGTATTTCCACAAACATCTAGGCGAGAAAAGAAAACAGAGCTTAAATAAGACACACGTCGATCACCAACACCCTTTTTTATACTTAATTCGAATCAAAACAAAAAACTATCGCAGTTTTATTACGTGCTTATTCGTTGTCAACGAAATTCATAAAAAGAGACAAAGTTGAAATATAGACAAAAAACACAGTGAAGAGAACGTGAAAGATTAAATCACAAATGACTTTTAATCGAAGTTGGCAGTCTTCTGATGGTCGTCTAGCTGACAATTATACACCTTCACGTTATTACTTTAGAGATCAATCTAACGGTATGATTTTTATTATTGTTTATTGATTCTATTATTTTTGTTTACTTTTCGTCGGGCGCGGGGAAAATGTTTGCTTGACCTGTATAATTTTATTTCGCACGCGATAATAGTTTCTACAGACTAAAGCTTCTTTTTATGAAAATATTTAATAACCAAATAAAAAACTATGTTTTTTGTACTTTTTGTTTAGATCGCGCCAATTCATCTCTTCTCAAAAGTAATATATTACCTGATTTTCATACACCACGTACAAATTCGTCCACATGGAATCCTGATTTATCACGAGCTTTTCGTGTTGATGCTCAATTGCTAGCTATCGTGCGAATTGAAGACAAACGAAGTAAGTTTGAAAGATTTTTTTTTTGATTACTATATAAGCATTACTAACAAGAGAGAGAGAGAGAGAGAGAAGTTCTCATATGTTATTTCTTATTTGAAAACTTTTCTTACCAATTAAAAATGTTAAATGTTTCGAACCGAATTTTATATTTACCTTTAGATAGCTTCTATTCGGCTGAAGTAGTTAGTAAACTACGTCAAAAAGAACAAACACAAAAATTTATCAATAAACCATGTTCACTATTTGTTAATGACCGTTCGTTTATCATATTTGATCGAGGAGCGCAAGTAAAATCTTTTTTCTCTGTTTTATTTATTTTTAAATAAATAAATTGTAATAAATGTAGGTGATTGCTGAAACAATTCCACTTGAAAATGTCGATCCAACGTGTGTGTATTCTGATGCACAAGATACACTCAATGATATATTTATGTATCGTGTATTGGATCGACATATAGCAACAGCAAGTCAGGCTAGTAATTCCAATAGCAATGAACTGACACATGCTATTGTATTTAAATGTTCAAATAAAGAATCGAAACTTCTTGTTGATAATATTCGTAATGCAACTGGAAGACCCTTGAAGAGTTATAGAAGGTATATCGAATAGATTTTGCTTTCATTCGAAAAAAAAAGACTCTCTTTTCCAGTACTCGATCAGAAACGCGAAGTACAATTGATCATCATTTCAATGGTTCTGAAGGAGGACCATTAATTAATCCACAACCATTGCCACATGAACCATTGCCAATAAATAGTAAGTTGAATTAATGCATAGAATTTCTTTATTGAAATCTTCTTCTCTATTTGAAAGCGTCAACGTATGTTGTTGGTCCTCAACATTCATCGCGCACAGCAACTCAGCAACATGCAGCTAATTTGTATAAGCGTTCAACAGAAGAATTAAATAAATGTTTTGATGATATTGAATTATTTGTGCGTCATATTGAAGCAATCGTAGAATATACCAAAGAATTAGAACGTAATCATCGACGAAAGGATAAAAAATCAAGTAAATAGTTGATTCAATTGTTTTCAACTATATAGAATTGCGTCGATATATTTTTTTTAGGTGGTCTAAAACAAATGGTTGAGAAACTGCCTGAAGATAGAATTTTTATTGATATACTTCAAAAATTTAAACATTCATTAAATCTCTTAGCTGAATTAAAACATATAATACATAATCCAAATGCACATGAATTAGTTCATTATTTATTATCACCATTGCAATTGATTTTAGTTACATTACGTACCAAACATCCAAATCAATTACAATTGGCACAAGATATATGGTCACCCGTATTAACAAGAGAAGCGAAAGAATTGTTATCGAATTGTTTAACACCAAAAGAATACGAGATTTTATGGAATCTTGGTCCTGCATGGATTCGAACAGCGTAAGAAGTTGCACGCAGAAAAACATATCGTTCATTTTATGATCATGTTCATTTAATATTTAGAGAAGGAATACCACAAAAAAATGCCGATTATCGACCGACATTTTTTGATGGTCATCCACCATGGGTTCAAGAACCAGTGATCGATTATACACTTCAATCAGCGCGTAATGCAGATGAACGTCAGACTTCAGTTTGGCCTTCTTCTCGAGTATTAAATCGAATTCATTTTTGTTGAAATTAAAATTATTTTCCTTTATTGCATATTCAGATCCCACAGCAAAATAATAATAATAATAATAATAATAGTTCAATAATATCTCAAAATATAGCATTTCCTCGACAACCTTCACCAGGTCCACAATTTGATACGTCAACTGCTGATCGTAAAAATAAAAATCCTGTATTAGTAGAAAATTATAATGCACAAATGCAAAATGAACATGCTTGGGCTATTGATAGAAAACGTGTCGGAGCCAAGTAAATAATGGAATTTTAGTTATATTTTTGCATCGTTTTTTTTTCATACAAGGATTTGTGCAGTCAAATCTGATCGGCAAGGACAAAATCATAAAGAATTAACTGTAAGACGAGGAGAATTGGTTGAAATTGAAAATAGTTCGAAGAATTGGTGGCGTGCAAGAAATTTTCGTGGTGATATTGGTCATGTACCACATAATCTTCTTGAAGAAATCGATATAGAACAGTTAACACCTGTATGTATAAATATATCCATTGATATGTAGTTCTCTGATTGTATTTACTAAAAACCTATATCGCTAATATCTTATTGATGTTCTTTTTTTCTTTTTATTCTAGAAAAGCGCAGCGGCGAATACGTCAGGTATAGATTCGCATCGTCTTCTAACCAACGCAAATAATCGTTCGCGTCATAACTGATCAAAATAATATATTATTAAATATCAAGCTTATACTCTCTCTTCACACTTCCTCACCTCTGTTCGCTTTTTTTTTCTTCTTAATTGTCTTTTTTTTCTTGTAATAATTGCATGTGCACCATAAAATCTCACGTATTTATTCCAAATGTGTTCATCCATACACGTATGATGTGTGTGTGTATTTTCAGCTCAGCTTATTCTTTTTGTCTAGCATAAGAAGATGAGTGACTGTGTCATATCACTCCTTTTTCAAGTCATCAATAGTGATCACAAGAATAAATTACAATAGTGGAATTATTTTGAAAAAGTCACTAGCTTCATTCCGTGTTTTTTTCTTCTTCTTCTTCTTCTATTTGATAGTTTGTGCGCTCGTGCAAAAAAAATATCTTTCGTTTTATACTGAATAGCTGCACTCGTAGAATATTAACCTCATCAAATGTTGCAATCATTTTCTTTGTATGTGTAAATACATTGAATTTTTGTATCTCTATCATTCTGTGTATGTCCAAGTTTTTTTTGTTGAACTAAAACGAGAGAGAGAGAGAGAAAGAATCAAATTGTTATTGTGAGCATGTTGCGCCAATAGTAACCATCTGATATCATTAGTTTTATTCGCTCAATTGCATATTCTCAAAAACTTAGCCAGCACTATGAATATCTATGGACGATGGGTTGTTTTTGTCTCTCTGTTCAATGTATATCTTATTTGTTTTATACCAAAAATTAATAAATTGTGGATGTAATCATATCTTTCGAATATCTTTGTGTTCATTTTGTTTTTAATTATTCTTATTTTTTTTCTCCTTTTGTTGATTAATCTTTGCTCATTGTTGTTTTTCTTTTGTTTATTCAAAATTCTTCTATCTTCTTTTTTTTCTTTATTCAATCGTCATGATGTTAAAACACGAATAAAACAAATGTGAGTGAACGAGAGAGAATAAAACAAATGCGCGCACACACACATACATACACATACGAGCTTTTGGCTTATTGCTGCATCTTATAAACACATACACGCAATTTCTCTCTGCACTGTAGACAATATAATACTGATTATAGTTCTTGTAGAAAAAAAAATACAAATTGTCTCTTTATATATACTTTAGCCGCTCTTCCACGTTCATCGAGTGTACCTAATCGAGGATTTACTGATGTCAATGGACATCATCCACATAATACAAATGGTTATACGCAGCAACTTCGTCGTTCACCATCGTTTGGAAGCAATTTTATTATGCAATCAAATAACAGTACATATACAAATCCGATAATAGCGAGAGATCAACTAATTCAACAAACATATCCATCACCAGTTCCTCCTCTACTACTTTCTCCTCATCCCCTATCGGTTCCACTACCGCCGCCGCCGCCGCCGCCACCACCCCCAATGCCACTAGAGCTATTAACGAGTGGATCATCGCCATGGTCAACCTTACAATTACCGAATAGTAGTAGGAAAGCACGATCCCGTTCAAATACTAATTTGTGTAAGTTTCCAAAAACTAAAATAAAAGAAATGAGAAACTGTATTTTTACTGGAATCACGAAAACAAGCAAAGAAACATCTAACTTAATATAGTTCAAAAGAGACGATCAATACTATTCGATTTTCTCTCTAGAATAGTTAGTAACCATGAGATTACTTTTGATGATCGTTAATTCTATAGCTATTTAAAAATATGCAGTACACTATTTGTGAGTTGCTGAAATAAGAAAATATATCGTATATTGTTGCACAAAAGGTGGTGCATGAATATAATGGAAGCGAATAGTGTTATTTGAAAAAGGACAAAGTTTGTCATTAATATGAAAGTCTTAAGATCAAAATCTCGGTTATTCTAATATCCTATTTCGAGGCGCTTTTACTGATTCCTTAAGAAACGTAGCCATCAAACACAATAGATTAGACATATTCAATCAAATTTTGACAGATTTTGTATCTTATTTTTTTTACATAAGCAAATATTCAAGCAGATGAATTACAACAAGAATTAGCCCAACGTTTAACAGATCGCATTGGTCTCATAAGTTCGAATTCGTCGAAGGAAGACATTGAACGATGGTTGGCATCAAAAAGTATTTCACCTGAGTAAATATATTTGTTTTCTATGCAAAAAAATTTCACTAGTATAAATTAATGTTTTCAGACTTGCTCAAAGTCTACATGGTATGAATGGAAAAGAATTGTTTCAATTAACTAAAAGTGGACTTGATCGATTTACCAATGAGCAAGAATCAGCTCGAATCTATGCATTACTTGCACAACAAAAACAATTATCTGGTGTAAGATTTGTTTTTCTTGTTAATATTTATCATTTAACTTTTCGATTGGTCTTTTATTTTCTAGTATCAACATAAAGATATACGCCCAAGATCGGCTAGATTAAATCATACCACATTTGGTTCTCTTAAATCAAGTACAATCAATGATGCAGATGGTAAAATACAAAAAAAAAAAAGAATATTAATTGTATCTAATTCATGAAAATATTCTAGATAATTTCTCTTTACGACCTGACGATACGTTAAGTCGTTCGTTAAAAATCAAATTAAAACAGCGACGCGATAAAATCGAGAAAGCAGAAACGGCGGATAGTACTGTTTTGTAAAATTTTGTTTTCTCTTTTCTTTTTGTATACTTCTTACGAATAATTTCTTTGTTTGTCTGTTTTATGTTTTATTTTATTTTATTTTTTAAATAAGTACACATTGAGAAATCTACAACGTTCTATTGAAAACAAATAGATGTTCATTCTATTTTAAGGGTCACGACTTGTTGGAATTTTTCTTGTTATATAACGTACAATAAATAATATAAGACGAATAGCAAACAAGCCACAGCAGATGATAAGTAATGCAAGTGTAAATGATTTATTTTTATTTGAAACATCTGTCCGGTTGGCATTTTTTGACATTACACCAGATAATCCGAATATAAGAACAAACCATGGTAAAAATGTATATGCCATTGATGAATAGAAAATGAAATTTTCACAAACAAAGTAAATAACAACTCCAACTAGAACAAGACTAAGTGAAGCTGTCGATACATCAGTTACTGACTGTGAATTTCTATTATAGATTTGAGATACCCAAATAGATAAATTAAGTAATGTTGCAAGATATAACCATGTTCCATATACAGCAAATCCATTGTGAACAAATAGACGTACAAGCCAGATGTCTGCTTTGCTTTAAAACAAACAAAAAACAACAAGAGAGATTAAAAATATAATATGAAATGAAATCGAAATTTACCGATTCGAATCAATATAATTTTGTCGATTGCGTTGAAGAAGTATATGTGTAATAATCATTGGAATAATAATCGTGACAAACATTGAAAACAGTACCAATAATGCCCACTAAATGAAACGAAAAATAAATAAATAAATATAGAAATTTCTAAGTTAACTTACGCCAAAGTATGTTCGATCCCAAAGAATAAGCCATCCTATATTTAAACCCATGTTTATTATATAAAATATAAATATGCTAAAGTGAAGCGTATTGGGCTCAATATATAAATAACCAGTATTGGATTTTCGAAATATTCGAGTTAAAGCATAGATTAACCATGCTGCTTGCCAAAAATAGATTAAACCCCATATGCTAAATGTCCAACCTTAAAAGAAAAGACAACATTATTTGTATGCTTTTGCTATGCATGCAATTATATTTATTAGCTTACCAGCGGGTGTAAATTCAGTTAGATTTCCATCACTTACAGATCCAGTTTTTTGATTAAATATACCTAAAAGAATTATTTTTTTGATCAAGAAAATTTTCTTCAATTCTTTTCTATTTCTCAAAAATTCTCTTATCTTGAATTTTCAAAAATGTTCAAATCTACAGAAAAAGGGACGCACCATTATAACCAGTACTGGATAAGCCATTGAAAACACAAGTGACAATAAAAGCAACTACGGCGAGTGTAATAAGTAAAATATGCCACCAGCGATGTTCAAAATGTTCTTTTGTATCTGTTTCGTCGACATAACGATTTTCTCTCATCGGCATGTTATCTAGTGAAAATAAAAATGTGAATGAAACGATGAGCGCAATAAAAAAATCGACATCGAAACTTACCTTTATTTGCTGAGGGGGTTTTCGACATTGGATATGTTTAGTTAATTATTTCTCCTTGATTTTACTATCGTCACCGCTTGTATATATATATATGAATGTAATCTCTCCGATGTATTATGCAACTTGTGTCACCAAGATTTCATAGTATAAAGGTGATGTGTTCTTTGCGTTCTCGCTTTTTCTCGTTATATATATATATACACTGTTGTCGGTACTTACATAACCGTGATCGACAAAGCGCAAAAATATGTCTTTGAAGGACTAAGTGAAGGAAAGACGAAGGAAAGAAGAAGGAAAGACGAAGGAAAGAAGAAGGAAAGAAGAAGGGAAGAAGAAGGAAAAAAGAAGAAAAGAAGAAGGAAAGAAGAAGGGAAGAAGAAGGAAAAAAGAAGAAAAGAAGAAGAAAAGCAAGGACATCGACAGATGTGTACTCATTACATATTTCTAAAAACATGGATGGCAAGCAACAATTGTCTGGTTAAAAGTATTTCAATAAGAGTAAAATGAAAACAGATTAATTTTATCCATGATAAAAATGTTTCAATATTGTGTTTTGATACAAAAATATAAGAACACAGAAAAAGCCGTTTTAATTACTAGTTTTAGTCGTCATATAATATCAATCGATTTTTAAATTTTCAATGTATCATTAGTTTTATTTGTTGTATTTTTATTTTCTATATTGAGAAGTAGAGGTGAGTTCTTTTCTTGGGTGTGGGAAAATATGAAAATAATTTGCTTTTACTCTACTGATATTGAATAGGCAACGCAGTCAAGTTTGTATCATATAATCATGCATTTGGTAGAGAATCGATTGATATAGTAGAAATCGATTTAGAAATGATGGATGTAGCTCGGTAATATTTTTGTTTCAATGCGAATGATTACGTTCGAGTATATATTGAAGATGGTAGGCATTTTATAAAAAGACAACTGTCAAATAAATACGATGTGATCATTATCAATGCATTTACAGTCAAGAATCATGCTCCGAATACGGTCCACATGCTCGAATGCATCAAGGCGTATTTACGCGTTTTAAAATCAGATGGTTTCGTGGTATCTAATTTCTTTTCTGAAGACGAAACTCAATATCGACAAACATATGCCAGAGCATTATTCAAACATATTTATCGAGACATAACTAAAGATAATTATATTGCTATTGGACTTAACCAACAAGCACCAGCTCTCAACAGAAATGAATTACAATTTAGATTCAGAGCTCTTCAACAAAATAAACTTTTAGCTGATATGAATTGGATTCAGAAAGTAAAACATATTCACAATACCAATGATGATAAATGAAATAGACCAACAGCTATTTTTACGGATAAAAATCATGAACATTAGTTTTAGTTTATCAAAAATGAAACCATTAAATCTCAATCACTAATAGGAAATAAAATATAAAATAATTCTTTATATCAATCCATACTCTAATTATGTGTATTATATGGCCTTAATATTAACACGTGCATATGTGTAGGATGAGACAACTAAAAAAATGATCAACAATTTAGAATATATTTGCTATATCATTCACGTCAGTGTCAATGTTAACTCAGAGATGGATGGAGCAGCTAAAAAGTCGCCTCGCCACCGCCCCGTCTCGCCCCGCCCCGCTTGTCAAATACATTTTAGGAAGCAAGTATTGATAGTCATCTTTCATAATTTTTATTTTATTGCATGCCATCAAAAGGCATAACCCAAATTTACATCTTTTCACAATAGAAAAATATAATAAAAATAGAAAGGTACAATAATAATATAAAAACAAAAAGAAACGCTCAGTTTTTATTCACCGATCTCAAAAACAAAGCGTTATTCACTTGCTCAGGATACAGTCGAGTACGTCTTACGTTAATCATTAGACCACTGTCGCTAAATTGCCGCTTCACATTGGCTGTAGTTGCTGGTAGGGGTGTTACTTTATCTTTATTGATTTTTATATTAAAGAATAAAGATAAATAAAATCTTTATATTTATGTTACAGGGGAAATTGAAATGCAGGGCTATTTAAAATAGCCCTTAGGGGAAATTGAAATTTTAATCTCCCCTAGGGCAAATTAAAATTTTGTTTTTTCCGGGTTCAATTTATGAGAAAAAGTAAAGATTTTGACTTCGAAACGTACTACATTCGCACCCGCATCAACATTGGCATCTAATTATCAAGTTCCATCACATCAGTCTTTTCCAAATACCTGAATTCGCGCAAAAGACACTTATTTTATTTGTGGGTATGGATCTAGCGTGTACATGAGGGTGTGGGTGTAGGTGCTGTAACGATTAATACGACTCAGTTGAGTCTATATCGTATTGACAAACTGGATAGAGGTGGAGTAGCTTACAGCCACTCACGGCAATGATGTTTATTCGTTTATTCACATATCCAGAGTGTAACGACACAACTAGAGAGTGTCGCCTATGCCCGTCGACATGATGGTATATTGTGTCATCTGACATCTCTAGAGTGTAACAACTTCATACATAACACACGTATATATAGGAGAGAGATAGAAGAGAGACAAGAGAGAGAGATATTACACCAATGGAAAGAGAACAGAAGGAAGAGGAAGGAGAATCATCGAAGCGTGCAATCAATATCGGCACAGGTGCGTGTATGGGTGCTAGTATTAGTGTGGATATGAATGCAGTACGTTTTGAAATCAAAACCTTTACTTTTTCTCATAAATTGAGCCCGGAAAAAACAAAATTTTAATTTGCCCTAGGGGAGATTAAAATTTCAATTTCCCCTAAGGGCTATTTTAAATAGCCCTGCATTTCAATCTCCCCTGTAACATTTATAAAATAAAGATAAATATAATCTTTATTTGTAAAAATAAAGTTAAAATAAAGATTTTCTACAGTCACTGGTAAATAGATAAATAATTAGTATAACAACAGAAAACATTGATTGTAGTTCTTGCTTATCATCACTGATATTGCAGTATGAAATAATACTACCCATGTATTAAAAACCGCATGAAAATCAGCGGTTAACCGCGGTTTTACCGATCCGGTTACCGGCTCCCATTACCGCAGAGCGGATAAATACCGCGGTTTACCGCAAAAAATGATCCGACATTTACCGCGGTAAACCGCCAGTTTTGATTAATACCGCGGTTACCATTAAAAAAAAGCGGTTAACCGGTTCGTCTATAATCTTTGACAGAAAAAGTCTTCCAAATCATCAATTAAACTATTTTAATCATCCTTTTTTTACTTTTACATGTGATAAACTTGAGCAAAAAACCGCCGGTTTACCGCGGTTTACCGCAAAAAATGATCCGGTATTCGCAACATGGGTAGCAAATGGGGGTGAGGCATAAATCATTTATGGAAAAAAATTTAGTGTTCAAAATTTTTTAGCCTTGAACTTCTTAATTTTCTTCGAGCTATCGGGAGAAGACCAAATTTTGGGTTTTTATGGAAAAATATTTTTCTTTATTCTTTATTTTATCGTTATTAAATAAAGATAAAGTTACTTTTTCTTTTTCTTTATTTTATAAAGATAAAGATTGTCGTTATCTTTACTTTATAAGTATAAATTTTTTATTTATCTTTATTTTTTGAATATAAAGGTTTTATTTATCTTTAAAAAGTAAAGTAAATATAAAGTAACATCCATAATGACACTGCAGATTATACTTCTATTTAATGTTGACATCAGAGATGGATGAGTCGCGGTGCACCGTATTATTTCGCGGTTTTCCCGTCCCGCCTACTAATACTACTGTTTTTTGTCACATTACATGCAAATCAACAGAGACATCTTTAAATATCTTTCATGAATGTTTTTCGCCCTTTTTTTTGAGACTGGAAACATTAGCGACGAATTCGAAGATGACACTGCTGATGAATTAAGCAAGTATTTGGAGCAGCGGATTGAAATTGAACTTATTGATGAAAATCTTCTTAAGTTTTGGTACGAGCATCGACTTATTTACCCTACTTTATCAAAGCTCGCACGTTCGATATTTTCTATTCCAGCAACTAGGGGTGTTACTTTATATTTACTTTACTTTTTAAAGATAAATAAAACCTTAATATTTAAAAAATAAAGATAAATGAAATCTTTATATTTATAAAATAAAGAATGAAGAATTTATGAAATCTTTATTCTTTATAAAATAAAGATAAATATAATCTATATCTTTATAAAATAAAGAAAAAGAAAAACTAGCTTTATCTTTATTTAATAACGATAAAATAAAGAAAAAGAAAAACTAGCTTTATCTTTATTTAATAACGATAAAATAAAGAAAAAGAAAAAGAAAAACTAGCTTTATCTTTATTTAATAACGATAAAATAAAGAAAAAGAAAAAGTAACTTTATCTTTATTTAATAACGATAAAATAAAGAAAAAGAAAAACTAGCTTTATCTTTATTTAATAAGGATAAAATAAAGAATATAGAAAAATATTTTTCCTTAAAAAACCAAAATTTGGTCTTCTCCCGATAGCTCGAAGAAAATTAAGAAGTTCAAGGCTAAAAAATTTTGAACACTAAATTTTTTTCCATAAATGATTTATGCCTCACCCCCATTTGTTAGTATTATTTTATACTGCAATGTCAGTGATGATAAGCAAGAACTACAATCAATGTTTTCTGTTGTTATACAAATTATTTATCTATTTACCAGTGACTGCAGAAGATCTTTCTTTTTTCTTTATTTTAACTTTATTTTTACAAATAAAGTTTATATTTATCTTTATTTTTTAAAGAATAAAGATTTCATAAATTCTTTATTCTTTATTTTATAAATATAAAGATTTCATTTATCTTTATATTATAAATATAAAGGTTTTATTTATCTTTATTCTTAATTATAAAAATCAATAAAGATAAAGTAACACCCCTAAGTGTCATCCTGCTAATAGATTTTCGAATGAAAAAAATTTAATAACTAAATGAGAGTTCTTGATGATCTCATAAGCAAAACGCTCTATTTAAAAGTAGTTATAGATGTATACAAGAACGAGAATACCAACAACAATACAGTTCTTTTAATGAAGATAAAATGATTTTAAGTTTCTCGAAAACGAATGCTCTCTGTACAAATGTGAAAATGCTCATGGTTAAAAGATTTATTCTTATGAAAAAATTATCGCAGAGAAAATGAATAACACTTCTATTGCAAAGAAGAACTGTTTGGATGACATAAGCTAAGTTTTTGATTCTCTGATAGAACAACATCAATTGTGTTTAGTTTAAATAATTTATTAGATATATGCAATAATTCAAAATTTATTATATTTAAACATTGTTAATTGATTATAAACTACTTAATCTTCTTACTAGGTTAGTTTTATTACCTCCCCTGCATACGCCATGCATGTGCTGTACATAGAAGATTAAGAAATAAGCCTACAATCATTTAGAACTTCAAATAAGTATTTGATTTCTTTATTTTTTTTATTAACTTCATATCACTAATTTATTAGATTTGCAAAAAAATAATTCATCTCAATATTTGAAATGGCATGCAGAAACTAAGAAAAAAAATCTAGTTGGCCTGAGTATCGTAACCAGACACAATTCTAGCAGATACAGAGTCTGTAGAACATTCAGAAACGTAAAGGAATCGTTCATGTTATAAATTAAAATTTTTAAGACGAGAAAATTACAGCAACTATTCTAGAAAAGATAGATAACATGAGTTATACAGAAAAAGTACACATGTGAGATCCAGATTCTCTGAAATTAAAAAACAATCACTCTCGTCAGTTTGATTTCAATATAACATATACCTACAACTGATCAAAATATATAGCATTAGATATTTCTTTATTTTCCTCGTATGATATGGTTTGAGTTCTTTATTATTATAAAGTCTTATTCTACAAAACCTAATGCTTTCCAATTAAAAATTTCACTATGACGATTTCAAATTAGAACACACCATGGAGCCATGCAAAACACCTGCAATTAAGTCTTTTAAGTGCTTTAAAGTGTTTCAAGCGTTCAATTATTATTCATATAAAAGAAAATCATGTCAATAATATATTTAAATTACCCTGAAAAAATTACAAGATCAAGATATTGAAACATATATACAGTAAAACCTCTATTTGTGAACACTCTTCCGTTATGAGGAACCTGTTATACCGAACATTCTCCGGTCCCCCCGACAGAATTTTGCTGGATTTGCACTCCTCTTTTATGAACACCCCTGGGTTTTGAATATGAACGCATATTTTCGGTCCCGTCTGTATGTATAACCTTATTCATGTGACCGTCAACAGAACGCGCCACTTGAATAAATTAAACAATTGGACCAGCGATTGGCGATTATCAAGAAATAGATTGGCTCTGATTTTTATTCAATGATATCGGGAAAAGAAAACAATGGACAAACAGATATCGTTGTTCTTAAACGTGTAACGATTGGTGGTAGTGTGTTGTCAGCTGCTGATTTTGCCGTAAGTTTTTCATAATCACTTTGTAATTTCTAACAATAAATCCTTACAAATTTCATTTCTGAATATTGTAGCGTGTAGACGAAGATGCACCGGTCTTCAATCAATGGAATGATGCTAGTGAGAAGAGACTAGGTGTAGATGACATATCAAATGATGATGATTTAGTTATTGAGCAACCATCATCACTGTCCGAGTCAATGAAGATTATACGTAGTTTACACTTGTTATCAACTAATCAATATCCTGAATTACATCCATATCTTTCACAATTACAGTCGAGGTTTATCGATATTTAGTATTTAGATTCAAATATTTCTAAACAACGATCTATTCGAGATTTTTTTAATTTGATTAAACAGGACTTAGATCTGATGTTTAAAACGTATCTATTAAAAGATTATGACGTATTGAAAGTAATTAAAAAAACACAGATAATAGTAAAAAATACTTAAACAAAGACAGAATGTGATAAAACAGATGCTTTTCTTTGAATTTGCTTGACCTCGTTTATGAACGCCCTGTTATACTGAACGATTTTCTTCAGTCCCGATGGTGTTCACATTATAGAGGTTTTACTGTATATTCTATCGCGTATAAAAAGTTTCAAGATGGCGCTAGATACTAGTAAAAACCTTTTAATAGTAATTAAAACAATTTAATGTTATTTTAACCAGACTATTCTTTAAGAAAATTTTTTTTTGATTTTTTTTAAATATTTTTTCTTTTATGTCGTAATCTCTTTATGTATAAAAGTCGTCTGACTAACTGCAAAATTTATCTATAGTATTATACATTTATCTATCTATCTGTCTGGTCTGATCTTTTCTTCTCAAACATCCATTGATGTGGTGAAATTACGAATCGAACTGCTGTTTCGTCTATTGTGTATCATGTTTCGCTGAATAATAGATTATATCATTGATACGTAATCATCATCACTCTGTATGTGTTTCTTTGAGCCAACTTGACTAGTCATGACGCGTTTCTTATTTGAATAGAAAAAAGAAACAACTGACTGTCGGTTGCTTTGCGTAGTTACTGTTGAGTTGGGTAACAGAATGTTATGAAGAATGAGTTATTGCCATCTGTAGCTGACTTTTTTTTCTTCTTCTCGATTTTAAAAGTAGAAGTACACTATATTTTCTTCGAACTTTCACTAGTGTAATTGCTACTTTTAAAAGTTTTATTTATTTTAGTATATATATATATCACATTCAAAATCGTCGTGCATATTCTAAAATCATGGTTAAAACAATAACAAGTCTTGAAGAGCTTAAATCTGAACTTAAACATGAAAATAACAAAGGCAAATTGATCGTAATAGATTTTTTTGCCACGTAAGATTTTCAGTTACTTGATCAAATGAAACTAAGATGTTTGTTTTTATTAGATGGTGTGGTCCTTGTCTTCGTATAGCACCACTAATTGAAGAATGGAGTAAAGATGTCTTCGCAGATACAGTAGTTTTTCTCAAATGTGATGTCGATGAAGCAGAAGCTGTTTCGCAAGAATATAACGTCGAAGCAATGCCAACATTTGTTTTCATCAAGGACGGAGCAGAAATTCATCGATGTGTTGGTGCCAATGGCGAAAAATTAAAAGCTGAGATTGAAAGCAAAAAGTAGTGAAAAAAACTTCATCCAAAAAGAAAAAGAAAAACTAAATAACAATCCTCTTTGTTTGCTTCGAAAATTTCAAAAGTCCTTTGTCTTTGTCAGTCAGTTAATGATTCTGTTAAGTGTAAGGAATATGTTTGTTGTAAAAGCTTTATTTGTTAAAAATAAAAGAAAAGTATATAGTAGTCGTATTAATGTTGCTCCTTATTATTACTAATTAATAAAAATAAAATATAGTCTTGACTTTTTCTTATCACCAAAAGGTAACGTGTATTATCTAATAATGCTAAACTTTGATTCTAGACAAGTGCATTTCATGCAATCATTATTCAAACGAAGATAATTTATAATGTCAAATACATGAATATGCATACCTGATTATAATTCAAAAAAAATTGATAATAAACTAGTCATCAGACTTTTTAGACATCATACAGAGGCAGTACCTTAATAATATTTGTCATTGAAATGGTCTTTATCTTTGAATAGTACGCAACATCCTCAAAAAAAAAACATTTTTACAATAATATTCAAGAACATTTTGGATGATTCGCTTTAACAAAAAGTGACAGTTCGATTACGCATTTATCTTTGGTAATAACTTACCTATATGCACTAATGGGTTTTTATTCGCATCGATTGGTGTTTATTGTGAGATAGATACATGTACGTGAAGAAAGGATTCATGCGGGGGTACATAAAAAATATCTTATTTAAAATAACGTTTGATTAGTTTGGTTCGAATACAAGTGTCATATAATATTTTTCTGCTAGAAAAATAACAAAGAATCTATTACTCACAAGTTAAGTTTTTTAAGAACATGACCGCTTCTTACACTATGATTATTCACCACTGAGTCATAACTCATGCGCTGTACTCATTAACTGCGATACGAGTTGAATTGATGTAGATTTATCCGACGAGAAACCGTACAATGATGTCTTCTCTAGATTGTTAACAAAGGAACTTTCTCAACGTGAAAGTCTCTTCTGAATCTCAATCGAGATTTGAAATTCTGAACAGCTTCACTACAGGTTAATAGTTATTTAACTAAAGCGTGTTTGTACAGATTGACATAAGATTATTCGAAAGAATATTCAATCCAAGAGGAATTGCTTTTCTATAAAACACGAGTTCCTTGAATGCATCGTAGAATATCAAGGGCTTATGTGAAGGAAACTTTTTGAACAATCTAATTGCAAATGATACTTCCCGATAAGAGAAATCATATTGCTTATTCGTTTCCAATTTTCTCGCTCTGATTACCATTTATCTTATGGATAAAGTATCAGTTTAATAGCAATTTCTGATTCAGGAAAAAAAGCCTTTTGTCAAATGAAACGATATGCAATCGTTTCATTGAAATTCTTTTGTCATTTAAATAGATCGTTCAATCAACAGAGAAGAGTATATGCATCATTAAAGAAAATTTTAATAGAATAAATTGACTTTTCTTTTGAACTCTACGAAATAAATTTTTATATATCTTATTCGTGACTTTAAAAAAAAAGGAACACAAAAAAACCAACAATAAAATAATAAATATGTACATACAAACATATACAAAAAAAATCCTCTGGTTGTTTTTTTTCTCGTTTTATTAAGAACGATTATCTCGACAATTTGGACAAAACCATTTTCCTTTTGGTTTAGTTGTTAGATTAACACAATTGAAATGAAACCATTTTATTTCACACGATTTACTATCGCATAGAATCATGGAACCATAGGAAAGCTAAAACAGAAATGAAAATTGAGCATATTTTGATACTCCATTAAATGACTTACTTGTGAGCATAAACAATATGTTGGTTCATCAGATGGTGCTAATGATGAATCATTATTTAATTTTAATTTTTTATTATATCCACTATTAGTATTTTGTGTGTTAGAATTAGTATTTCTTTGTGTAGGTTTTTTTCTTTCACGTGGATCATTATTATGTTCTGTATTTGTAACACATTTCCGCTTAAGATTTATTGTTGATGTTGATGGACTATTTGTTGTTGTTTTTCGTTTCCATAATGATGTTGTTGATGTTTTTGTCGACAATGAACGAGGAATATTCATTTCAGAATCAAATTCATTTTCGGAATCGACTTCATTTGTATTACTCTCTGATGATGTTGATTGTTGATTTATTGATTCAACTACAAAGCGAAGATAGAAACATTTCAAAAATAGTTCGTAGGAAAATAACTGATATTTTTTACCATATTTTTGATAAGCTATTTTAAGTTTTTTAGATTGTCGCTCAGTAGTGTCAAGCATTTGTTGACTTAATTGCATCTTCTTATCACCGATAGCTTTAGCTTGAATTAATGTATTAATTAACAAATTTTGAATGTCCGATTCAGATTGCTGTATAAAAAAGAAAAAAAAATAATGTGAAATTTATTTTAGAGAATTTTAAAATTATTTTTACCGTTCCATTTGGTTGTTTATTACGCAAACTATTAACAAGTTCTCGAACACGATTATAGCAATCTGGCGAGGAAAACAAAAACAATAATTCATTTACAATATTAAATATTTGAAGAATCCTTTATTAAATTGTATTCATTAGAACAATAGCTTCTGATTCACGAGAAGTTTTTACATAATTTTAAGCGCTATCAATTAATGTTACTTTCGAGTAAGTCGACACTTGAATTTTAGTTTACTGATATTCAACGAAGAAATACTGGCGATTCCTATCGGCTATCAAATCGAACTCCTTCATGAAATATGCAATAGAAAAACCTAATAGAATACTTTGTAAATAAATATCAAGTTGTCGAATTTGTGATAATTCATTTAGATCAATGCCATTTTCTTGATAATCAACAAATTGTCGCATATATTCATAAACTGTTGTTTCATTATTTAATACATTTGATGGATTGTTTGTTGTCGTTGAAGAAGTCATTGCTTGGGGAAAAGGATATCTGAAAGAAATTAAAAATATTCTTTTTCTCATATTGAACATTCTAAATGATAGTATTATTATTGCCAACGTTGTAAATCTGTTTTTTCGAATGCAATATCAAGACAAGCTAGATTTAATCAAATCGTTGTTTGTCTGCTGAACAAATAAACTTCTACGATTTTCTCCAAGCCAATCAAAAATAAGAGTAGAGGTTCGTGTACCTGAGTACCATTGGTAGATCCGCTTTCAAATGATGATTCATTACATGCCGTAGTTACAAACAACCAATCACAATGCATCGTACGTTACATTACTTATTTTTTGGGGCAGGTGTACCAAAAAATAATCTGAATAAACGGAACGTATTCTATTTCTGATCGACACAGTATTTTCTGTATTAATCAGAGGATATTTTTATATGCAGGAAACTTTATTAAAAAGATTAATAAGTTCTTTAGTATAGATTTTGCAATCGGTTGTTGAGATGGGGAAAATTCGAAAACTCAATAGGATTGAGTATCTAGTATGATCTATCATAATTTTTATAGCACTCCTATGTCAATGCTCTCACATGTATTACTGTATAAAGTTTACTAATCGCATGTAGAAGATGTTGGTAAGCATGTTTTATATGATCTATACGATTTTTATTTACTTCCTAAATATGTTTTCGACTGTCTTAATCTATATATTTCTTCAAGTCGTTAGACTCAAAATAGAAACTATCCTTAAGACACTGGAAGAAAAAATAAAATTGTATATTTTATTCTGTTAAAACAACAAGCACTAACATGACATGCACTCTAACAAACGCTGTGGTATTCACTGAATGCTTCCAAGACTCTTAAACTTTTACTAACTAAATAACAAGCTCAATCACAATTTGCTTCAATAATAAAATCCTATCTATCTTAAAAAGAAGGACACCAATAACTCATGTATTATAAATGATGATGTAAAAATAAAATCAGCTCTTTCGAATATGAAATAAACTTTCGCGAAACTGAATATGAACAGAAAAAACAAATAAATTCACAGGTGTATTTGTTACAGCTATCATTTCTTGACTAGACTATCAAAATCATATTATAAATAGGTCTAGTAAAGATAATTTCGTCATTGTGACTGAATAATCTATTTAAAATATCTACATTGACTTCAAATGGATACCTGCGAGCAAATGAATAAGAAACGTTTTCTGGAAAGATGATTTTTTTTCAATGCAACAAAAACAATACTACAATTAATTGCAATTAATATCTATCCTTTAAAAAGAAAACAATTTTATTGTTCGGTGGTATGATTTTCTAGATTATTTGATTGATTACATAAATATATTTTACTCATTGTGAAACTGTATTCTTTATCTATACTTTACTAATAACAACAGAATTTAGTAAGATTTATAGTTTTAGATTTAACTTGGATGAGGTTTCAGTGGGTGACAACGAAAACGAGGAAGTAATTCGATAAAACTTGTTTCGAAAATGAAACAAAATAAATTGCATGAACCACGAAAAAAACTAATTTGTAAATGAAAAATTTTAATTTTCAATAGATGATATAATAAATTTTGATTTAGTTCCTATTGAATTTCCTACACTCGTTGAAGAAGAAACCACATCACAAGCAGCCTCTTCATCTTATACGTAAATCATATAAAAATAATTCGAAAATATGTTTTCGAAAATCATTACTTTTAGATTATTAGATTTAGGTGAAGAAGCAATATTTGATTATCAAGGAGTAACAATAAATCTTGCACTTCAAGCATTAATAGAAATTAAAATACTTGGAAGTGGAAATTTTGGAGATGTTATGTTAACTGAAATTCGAGGACATCCAGAAATTAAAATGGCTGTGAAAGTGAGTAAGATATAGTTACATTAGAAAAATTATGATCTATAAACTAATGACATAGTATTTATATACTTCTCCTATTCAAATCATTATTTATCGATCATAATTAAGGGTATGCGAGTGTGGTAAAGTATCATTATAACTAACGCAGCTTACTAGATCCTGGTAATCTTTCGGTTCATAAATTTAACTGAAAGGGATCTTTTTTTTTCTAAAACTTTGATTCATACTATAAGGCTATTTTAGAATTTATCTCTGACAAAAAAAATACTAATATGTGAAACCAAGCAGTTTAGGTACCGATCGAGCCCTGATTACTTTTTTTTATTGATCTCTCATGATTACTAGTCTTGTATCGGTAAATCTAGTGAAAATATATTGCAGAACCTAAGAATATAAATGTGTCAAACCGAGTTTTTTTAGTGTTGTTCAGTCTGACGATAATCATTTGTTTCAAAGGCTAAAACCTAAATTGTCATTAGAGGTTTAGAAGAAAAGTCAAAAGAATATTTTATTAGAGGATATCACTTTTCCAATAGCTACCTAGAATTATGAAAAATCATATCCTTTGATTAATTCGTATAGAAAAATCTGTTCTCCTATACAATGTTAAATAATTACACAGGATGTAGCTTTTTTAATATGGACTATGAACCAATCTCTCTTTTGATCTGCTCCCATCGATCTAGCAGAATTAGCGTAACATAGGATTAAATATATCAATTTAAAATTTTGTCATTCAATAAAAAATGTTAAAGAAAATGATTATTTTATTCTAAGAGTGTTTTTGTTTTCTCATACAAATAGCGGTTAACTCTAGTGTCAAGTCGACATAATCCAAGTGATTTTACAGCCAATACTGATCTTCGAACGATTCGTACAGTTGGCTCAGGTGTAAACCCACATGTGACTAAATATTATGCTGCACTGCTTGATCGTGTTTGTAGAAAAAAAAATATATAGTCGCTTTTTTACATAATTATTTTTGAACAGAGCAATGCACAACTACTTATTTGTATGGAAGCATGTGAAACATCAATAGATAAATTTTATTTCACAATGCATACAATAGAAAAAACTCAACATATTGATTTGTTGCTCAAGCGAATAATTCATCATGTATGAAAGTATTTAAAAAGACCTGATCGATGATTTGGTTATTTCTGCTTTCTTTTTTACAGATTGCAGATGCTCTTCTTTTTCTTAAAACACAACGGATTCTGCATCGTGATGTTAAACCATCTAATATCTTAATCATTCAAAATCCTATTACATTTAAACTATGTGATTTTGGTATTTGTGGTGAATTGATTGACTCAGCTACACGTACCATGACAAAAGGAACACGAATTTATTTAGCAGTATTGTAGTTAGTTGTTGTTTTCTTTCAATATTATAGCATCTACTTTTAGCCTGAACGAATCGATGCAAAATTATCTCCTCATGGATATGGTATACGATCGGATATGTGGGCGTTGGGTCTTTCGATAGTAAAACAATAATATTTGAAATTTTTCTGTTTCTTTACTCTTTCTCGTAAGATCGAAATAGCTTTAAATCAACATCCATTTAATTCAATGAACGAGACCGCTATTCTAAATAAAGTAGAAACGTGGACACCAGAACTACCTTCAACTTTATCAGCAGAATTACAACAACTAATTATTTGGCTGTAAGTTATTTCAGCGTAGTTTTCTAATCAGTAGACAATTTCTCATGGATACAATAACTACGAAAACTTCAAACAGACTAACTGCAATGTTGAACATCTCAGATGAGCAAACATTAATATGAAAATTCATCACTAAAAATCTTTTGTTCAATCATTGAAATAAACCTATGAATAATATCCTAATTTCAATTAGTCAAATCGAACCGGCTTTAAGAAATTCTATAGGCTAGCTGAAACATATAATAATGAATAACATAATTTACAATAGATTCCCAAAACTTGGTTCAAATCTAGTTGCCATGAATAGAAGTACATGATTTTGACATACGCTCTTTTTTTCTTTCATTTTCATCGTTCAAGTGTATCATACGGTGTTCTAAACGTATCGAGCATTGAAATTTTCAGTATTCAATAGGAAATATCAAGAAAAACATACTCGAAAACATATTTGTAAAATTGTCTCAGCACGATACTATTCTTTGTTTGACATATACAGAATCAAACAGCGGAATATTTGTAAAACAAAAACTCGCTCGAATGAATATTGAATGACTTTGATTTCTTAGTTATGAAACGAAACGAACCGATAAAAAAACAATCTGATGAAGATCTGATAGCAACATGAAAATCAGCTCTTAGTTTTCTTCACTGATATGACCTTTATTTTTTATGCAATTAACAATGATGATTAACATATTGCGTTTGCTTATTTTAGACTAAAAATACAACAAGCAGACCGACCAGAAAACTATGAAGTTATTTTAACATCTTCTGCCTTACAATCATTACCTGCAGAAATAACTAATGAAGAAAGGGATATGGTGAAAACTATTATCGAACATATACCTCTAGTATATAGTTGCTAAATAATAACTGCGAAATTTTCTTCCTTTATCATATTTATATAAATTGTTGAGCTTTTTTTTTCTCTAAATTAGTTGTAGAAAAGCCAAAATAAAAATAAAAATAAATTGGTTCATATTCACACGCCATCTGCCTATCACGAATTTATTTGTATTGGCTTCTGAAAAACCTCGTATAAAATGTCTAATTTTATTTCCATTCTTTTGTTTGTTCGGTTATGGGATTTGTCACCATATAAAATCGTTCTTCTTCGTTTGCCGACGTTTGCATTTTCTTCTTGTCTTTCATACGATCGAGCTTGTAGTACGAGAGTGTATAAGTGCCTTGTTATAACTTTTCAAATGCAAGATATTTTTTCCCTCTAGTTGTGGCTTTTCGTAACAACACCCAATGTATATAGATATCGACCGAGAAAAAAATTGGTATTCATTTTTTCCCACTAATGATAATTATCATTTGAGCGATAATGAAGGCAGAAACATACGAGTCTTTTCTCGTCACCTTTTTCTAATTACATACGTCAGGTGAGTTTTGTTTTCGAATTTAGCATTGAATTATTCATAACATTTTCTATTGATAGATCTACTAAAATACAACGATTAAAAATATTTCTTTACTAAAAATACACTAACATATTCATTAAATCGAACTTTGATGTATTTTACTATGAGATACTTGATAGAGCAAAAACTAAAAATAATCCATTTATTTTCTTTTTTCGTATGCATGCAAAGAGTTAATTTATTCGCTGAAAATGTTATAATTAGTATTAGATTGTATGTTGAAGACTGTTTTCTAATCTGCATTTTCACTGATAGATGACAAAATATTTTCAATTCGAAGAAACGTATCAATAGAAGTATTCAATGGAATTAATTCTTGTTTTTTCACAGGTAGCGCCATGGTTGCGGACTCATTGAAAGAAATTCCAATCATCGACAGATGAATAAGTTCGATGGATTCATCGATAGAGGAGAAGAAGAAAAAAAGGAAAAAAGAAAGATCGATGTAATATAATATTTTCTTCATTTTAGATTATTAGCTGATATATATTTAATCAATAGTATGGCCCCATTTACGTTTACTCTGTTTGCTCCCTACAACAAACAAGCAGCATTACTAGTACGTTTCGTATTTAATTTCTCATTATGTTTTATTCATGTTAATGTCTTTTTTTCTAGTTGAAAAATGCAAGTGTTCGAATGTTTGGTGTTGATATTCGTAAGAAAGTTTATCATAAAAAAATCTTTTTTTGGTTTGGAAATATAAATCTTGTAACATTTTAGTTATGGAAAAAGATGAATCGGATGGCTACTTTCGAGCAACTGTTGATGTAGCAGATGGCATTTTTCATTATCAATTCAAAGGTGAAAGAATATTTTCTTTTTATATAAAAAGCCAAGAACTTAGTCTTTGTATAAATAGTCCAAACAAAATCATGGTTTGAAAAAGAACCGGAACCAGCACTACCCGACTATGATGACGATGAATTCAAAGAGCTATGTAAGAATTAGATTTGGGTACTTCGATTCTACTCGTTGAATACGAATAATTGAAGAAGAGTTGTTGTTATTTTGTTTTTCTTATTCTAGCTCACGAAGAAAAACAAGAAAAAACTGAAGCTTATACAAAAATTATTGATGAAATTCGAGAACGAAATCGACAACGTGAACATGAAGCAACTTTCACCGAAATTTGGTACACTTTTGTTGATCCCTATGCAACTGATGTTGATGAGCGTGGAGCTGGTAAATAATGACATGTTCGATGGAAAGTTTTGACAGTCTATTCAGAAACATTTCCGTGATACATTTTATAGAACGTACTTGTGCAATTCATTATAATTGGTATCTAGAGGATAAATCGATAATAGTTTGACATTTGAATGACACATTATCCATCGATCGACGATTTCTCGATCGATACTCTCAAATCTTCAATCTATTGCATTTATATGAGTTCGTTCTGGTGAAATTTTTAATACAACTATTATTTAGTGTAACATTTCTGAAGACAGAGGAAATAAATTCTTTAATATCTAATTTTGTTATGTTCAAGTTAACGAAAGTTAATGATATTGTTGATGTTTCTGAAAATTGCATTTTCTCTGATTCAAAATTTCATCGATCAGATAATATCTTCCAGTTCCATGGATAAATAAATCAACTATTCGTTTTTCTAAGTATTATTTCAAGAAAAACAAATTTATAATATTTATTTATTTATCTCTGGAGAAATTTACAAAAAGAAACTATTGATATGTACTGAATTTAGATGATGCAGAAAAAGCTGTTGGTGTGTTGATAATCAAAAATGGGAAACGTATCATTGGTATGTATATGCAAGTCTATTTTTTGAGTCAATAAAATGAAATATTTTCTTTTATTAGATGAATATGAGTGGAAATATGAAAACTGTGTGTTACCACGTGACGAAGAACTTGTTATATATGAACTACATGTTGGTGATTTTTCTGGTGGAGAAGATGATTCAAATGCTCGTGGTACATTTAAGAATGTAAAAAACAAAATTGAGTATTTAAAAGCATTGGGTGTTAATGCGAGTACGTTTCGTTTTCTTGTAAGAAATTTATTGTATCAATTAATTTGTTATTTAGTTGAACTTATGCCAATTAAAGAATATCCTGGTAAAAGAAAGGTTGATTCTATGTAAAAAAAAGATTATTTGTTTATTTTTCTCTAGGAAATCATTCTTGGTGAGAATAGTTTGTAATCTTAATTTAGAATTCAATAATTTTTCTTCTCGTATCTTGAATCATCAATAATTATTATTCTAGGGGGTATGACTATATTCTCTGTTATTGATACATTCGTATATTGAAATATAATCTAGTTATAATCCACGATATTACTTTGCTATTGAAACTTCTTATGGTCCAACAGCTGATTTGAAAGAAATGATTGATGAAATGCATAAAAATGGTATTCGCGTGATTATGGATGGTGTAAGTGAATAGATTTGTGTTAATTAAATTTTTAGTTAAGATTATCGATGATTTATTTATATATATATATATATAGGTGTATAATCATTGCGATTGTACTTCACCATTGACACAAATCGATCATGATTATTGGTATCATCATAATCCAAAAGATATCAACAGTAGGAAATTTATTTTTTTTTTGTCGTTCCTAGAAGAAACCCGAAGTGATAAATGTATGTAATCGTTCTAAAAGCTCTTCCACTAGATGAAAAAGTAAAGTTTCATATTAGCTCGAATAATCAAATGTATCGCGAGAAGTGAGACATACTATTAGCTGAATGATAGAGATTTTACATATCATTTTAAATGGAACTATAGAGTAATAAATGCCGAGAGATCGGATTCGCATCCGATTGTTATGTGTACTGCAAAAACTGAGTCGATTTATACATGTTGTGAATAATTCTGAGAAAAAGCGTTTTTTTTTGAAAAAATCCCTGTACCCCCTCAAGGATGGTCTGGTCAAAAATGACAATTTTTTCGATAACTCAGCCATTTCTTGACGGATCCTTCTCATCGTCGAACTCGACTGAGATATTGATGAGATCATTCTGTGTACAAAATTTCATGGCAATTGGATGAGGCTTGCAAGAGTTATCGTGTTAACGGACGGACACACTGATCGAATCTAGAGTGTACTCACTTTTTGAGTACACAAAAAGTATCATTGTGTCCTATGGATATCACAGGAGATTCTCGCATGAATTAGAATAAGCTGTCATGTGTTCTAACCAGTCTAGTCCATTGTAGGAACTTTAAAAACAGATCAAGTCAAAAGCGACAACGATAGTCCATACTTGGTTTGTTTAATATAGATAGCTCTGAAATACATTCAAGTTTTCATCATTGAAGACTCTTATTTATATTGATGAGTTTTCATTTAGTTGCATTATGTGAATTCTTCTTTATTTTCTATTTATATATCGTTACGTTATTTCTAGCTACGCAGTTGAAGCTGACAATCTGTCAAATTTATAGCGTTTTGAATCGGTAGTCTGAGCTTTTGACTATGTTTGTAGTTATTGACATGTTGGTTTTACCTACTTAGATCGAAACCAGGAATTCAACAGCACTCATTCCTATGAAAAATCTGATTGTCGTACTGAACGTACATGTATAAAAATTGAGTCATTATGTTTGGTTTAAAGTTATAAGAACTTACCTTCACATATGTCAATAATTTTTAGTGATTAATTCTGGAAATCGAAATTTTCACTGGAGAATTGCAAAGCAAATTCTGAGTATATAAAAGTGAAGTAAGTTTAGAAATTGGAACAAAAATTAAGTTGTTACATTCTCAAGATAGCGACTGAGAAATGCTAATCTTTGCTAAAATAATTGACCTATTGATGTAGCTATGCTTCTGGATTGGAGCTCTTCGTGCTGAATTGTAAAAATGCTTCTTTCTCGAAGAATTTATAATTTTCTCTACATAAGCCATCCACTATAGCTTAAACTGTGTTGTGCACAAGTCTACCATAGTTCTTCGAAGTAATTCTTCATACATTAGTTTATCTGACATTCATAGGAAACAGTAAAACAAAAATCTTGACTATTTGTGGGGTTTGATCGTTTTAAATTTCCATTTAATTCTTTGCTTTAATCGATTCTATGTTAAATTCATACAATGATGATGACTTTTGATTTCAAACTTATCTTTTTATTAGTCACTTTAGCCGAATTCTAAGTTTAGCCTCCACATGAATGCTTATCGTTACTTGAAAATTTTGTTTACTTTTAGTGTCATGGGGACCTGAGTGGAATTACAGTATGTAGATCCATTTAACTATAAAAAAATCCACATATTTTCTTTATTAATTAGCCTTTTATGATCCAAAATATAATATTTGGCCAGCTCGAAAATTTATCGGTGATTCAATTCGTTATATGGTAGAAGAATTTCATATTGATGGTATTCGTTTTGATGCAGCCCGACAAATTCAAAATTTTGATTTTCTTCATTGGGTTGTTCAAGAAGCTAAAAAAGCAGCTGGACCCAAGTCATTTTATTGTGTCGCAGAATTTCTACCTGATGAACCATGCATAACGAATATTGATGGTCCCATGGATGGATGTAATATTGTCTTAGATTTCGATTTGTTTTATTATTCTCTAATAAAAAAATTACATTGTTTAGGTTGGTACGATACTTTCTATTGGACAGTACGTGATCTATTATTAAATGATAATGTTGATTTTGATCGATTAAAAGCTAGTCTTGATTGTCGACAACGCGGATATTTAGGTGTTACCAATGTCGTTAATTATATTGGAAATCATGATCATGATCGAATGCTCGTTGAATTAGGTAAATTTAATTAACTAGCTCATTGAAAACGAAAAGATCATTGAATTTTATTCTAGGTAAAGAACGAAATATTTTTGGTGAAGAAGCATTTAGACGTGTGCGTCTTGGCGTTGTTTTACAAATGACAAGTATTGGTATTCCAATGATTTGGATGGGAGAAGAACTCGGAGAGTATGTTTATTGATAGTGTATCTATTTACATAAAAGAAAATTTCTTCCAGATATAAAGAAAAAACAGCAGGCGCTGCAAAAATAGATTGGTCCCTGATTGCTGACCGTACAGATAATTCAAATCAATTAAATAAATCATTACTAGGCTTCTATCGTGGTATAGTTCGTCTTCATAAAAATAATAAAGCATTTCATACAGTGAATCTGGACTTCATTCATGAAGATTATGATGCTAAAGTATTAGTTTATCAGCGATGGTAATTTATAACACAAGAAATGTTGCCATATTAATTATTTATTTATTTATTTATTTATCTATTATTTAGGGCTGACTCTGGTGAACGTGTTGTAGTTATTGTAAATCTATCTGGAAGTTTTCTTGGTAAATATATAGAAATAATTTTGTTTGATTGAATAAAAAAAACTTTGTTTTCTTTTCCAATAGCTCAATATCGTGTACCGAATATGCCAGCAAACGGTTGGTGGCATGAATGGACATTTAATTATAATGTTAAAGTCGAGAATAACGAAGTACATCTTGATGTAGCTGAACATGAAGCAAAAATTCTTGTTTGGCTCGGTGATGATTGGCAACCACCTGCAACTCCGCCAGAACCAATAAGTGAAACCTTGCCTACTGACGAATCAAGTAGTATCAGTCAAAAAGAAAATCAAGTTGATCCTTCATCAAATCAAACTTCTGAATCGAATCAACCTGAAACTCCGTCGCAGCCATAAATTTTCTCGACATTTCATCCGACTTATTTTTATCCTGATGAATAATCTATTCTTTTGACATTATATAAGTCAGACAGCTTGTGAGAAACGATATGCGTCTATTCTCGCTTTTCTTCCACAAAACTGCCGAGTTTCTTTTACATTCATATTAATTTAGAAATATTTCGTCTTTCGCATTTATTCTCTAAGATATCATGCACCTCTCTCTTTTTTCAAAATCAATTTGTCGCGAATGAAATCAAAGTCAATTAAAGAAAAATTTTAGCAATACAAAACTTCATTCCCACCTGCACTTCACTGTAATACAAATGCGTTTTTGTTCGATTTTTTTATTTTATCAGAGTATCTATTTTGATTATTATTCGTGATAATAATAAGAACTACGGAATGATGAACATATCTAATAATATTTTTATCGTTATTTTCATGGAATTATTATCAAATTGAATAAAATTCAATATTTTATCCTGCTAGAATATTTGCATTTTGTTATTTAATCTAGGTAATAATAATTCTTTCAATATGATGAGATTTTTACATATTCTTAAAATGCAACCATAAGCACTTGTTTTTATAGATTGGATATTTATATTACTAGGAAGACTATAATTTCAATTTAAAATAATTCATTTCTAAGTATAGTTAAATATTGTGACAAGTAAAAATATATGATACAATCTCATGAACTTGTAGCAGATCTATGGTAGATTCATTTTCTTGGAAATAGAATTCTTGATTCTACTGGTATTAGAATATATTAGGATTACATTAAAGCTACCGAAAAACCACTTGTTAATTCACAGCAAAGAACTGCTTTCTTCTTCAATACTTCTCGGCGTTAATTCAAAATATGGGAATAAAACGAAAAAAAATGCCTATAGATTAATACGTCGAGGATTGTTAGAATGGATTAAACTCTATATTTTTGATTGATTTTCAATGTTTTTATAATGCTTGACGAGTTAATTTTTCCGAATATATTGATCAGATGCATGAGTCATAACGGTCTCTGAGCTCTATTACTCTATAAATAGCTGCAGAAATGTACTTACACTGAATTATGTTTAAAAAAAAGAAATACTTGGAGATAATGCATAATGAATCCTAGAAAATGACATGCTTATTGTAATCATTCCTCTGAAAGAGCGACTTTATTGACAATATGATAAAGGAAATTTAGATTTTAGTCTTGCCTATCTCAAAATGTTAGAGTACATAGATAAAAATGTTCTTATATTTTTAAATTATCTTTTTCATTTTGTTTATCTCCTCTATTGATGATTAAATGTATTGGATTGATAGCCCTTGCAGTAGTGCTGAAGGCTATAAAAATGACTACTGAATACAAAGATCATTGGCAAATATTGCAAAGATTCATTTATTATTAACTAGAAACCGTATAGAACATGAAAGAAGAAGAAAAAAAGGCTATACGCTATTATCACTAAAAGAAAATGAAATTTCGTTGCACCTATAGTTAACTATCACACAACTACAAATAGTTATCAACAAAAGAACTACTTGCTAATATTGTCTTGCATCACATTGAAAAAAAAGACAAGAGCAAAATGACAAAAAGAAGACTACTATAATTATAAAAAAAAAGAACTGTACATGGCATTTAGCTAAAGAATTTATGTTCATTAATTTGTTGCTGATTGACTATTATTAATATTGGCTTGATTCGAGTCACTCGGTTCTGTTATTGATGGCTCCGGCATACAAGTTAAATCAAAATTTGCTGTTGGATCAATCATGGCAAACTGATATGATGGCATTGAACATATATATTGTGCTGATAGAACAGGAGCTTTCTATATAGACAGAAGAAAATAAATTTCCTAAACAAAACAAAAAATCGACAGTCCCATTCTTACTGCTGGAGCTGCAGGTTTCTTTAAATTTTTTAAACCAGTTGTTTTTATTATTTCTTCTTCATCCGGAAAATCATCATCATCATCCGATATTTGTAATTCATCATATTGGGTATTTTTCTTGACTGGTTTGGTATTATTATTATTATCTTTTTTTGCTCCATCTAATTTAACATTGTCAAAAAAGAACGTATAAAGAAATTACATTCAAACCATAAATCAGTAAAGTTACAAAAACATCGAAGTAGTAAAAAGAGAAATATTGAAAAATTTTTCAAAACTACACTTTCTGCATAAATGATTAGAAAAACTCTTAAGAAAATGAATACCATTTTTAAAATGTGAAATTAAATATAGTAGTTTTCTTGAGTGTGAGTGCGTGGGGAGAGGAGGCTGACGATATTAGCTGCTTTCCATATGAAAAATTTGCTGTCGAAAGGATGTTTAACGCATCGGTTAGAAAATTTCCGAAATGCCGACATTTCTTCTTCAACGTTTTTCTCGTGAGTATTTTTCTGAATCGATGTTTTGCTACTTAATGAAAATATTAGGTTTTACATACCTGCATCTTCATTTTCTGCATCTTCATTTTCTTCATCGTCATCTTCATCTCCAACTAACTCTTTAATATGATCTGTTATTTTCTTTCGTGTTATATTTCTGCCTTGAGTATATAATCGACGTTTATGTACTAATCTATCATAATCATCATCATCTTCTTCAGGCGAGTCATTACTATCACGGTACTTCTTCAACGATCTACGCTTTGGTGCCGGAAGTTGAGCGCCATCTTCATCAGAAATATTTTCTTGTTGAATTAACGATTTCTTTTTTGGAGCTGGCGGTCGTCTTGCTCGTCGGGGTTTTGGCTTCTTAGTATCTTCATCTTTATCAGTTTGATTTTCAACAACTGGATTTTCATCCAATCCATTGTCGACATTTGCATTCTTACTCAACGGTTTATTAGCGGTTCGAGGTTTATTCGAGGTTCTTTTACGTTTCGGAGCTTTTTCCGAAGGGTTCTTAGCATTCGTAGCAGTATTTACGGTATTGATGATAGTTGGAGTATTGTCTAAGGTATTGTTCGTGGTTGGATTTTTACCAAACGAGTGGTTAACAATTGGACCTGTATCAGATGTATTTCGAACAACTTCGTTAGCATCAAATACATTTGGACGAATTACATTTTGATCAAATTCAGTAATTGGTTCTGATTTTACTTTGACCTGTGGTGAAAAAGACTCCATATGAATTTGAGAAACTAAAAAAGAAAGCGAATAAAAAACATTTCAGTAATTGTCATATATTGAACAGTTAATTCATCTTGATACATCTTTTAAGCTCCTTTTAATCATTAAAAATCCTATCGTGATACAGCGTATTTCAAAGATTATTTACAATGAGACTTGATTTAAATAAATAAAACTCTTTTTCAAACATACTGAAATCCTTAACGATTGATTGAGAATCATTCGTTTGAATTTAATTAAAAAGTGTGTAGAATGAAGCAAAACTTAGAAATTCTTACATCTACTAGTATTCGAAATTTTATTAGAAATCTATACATACGCATACTATCGTCATCTGATTTCATAGTTGACTTTCGATTATTGGTGCGACTATACCTTGTTAAAGAAAAAAAAAGCATATAAAAAAGAGGAAAATCAAAACATAATATTCTTACGTTGCATTAGATTTCTTTTTAGATGCTGATGAGGTAGATAATTTTCGTCGATTAATCCAAGCACTATCATCATCACTCATACCAAAATCATCGTTGTCATTGTCTTCAAAATCTTTTGCATTACTTCGACCATCTTCATTTATAGTTCTAAATTGACGGCAGAAAAGAAAATGAAGATTCTGCTTTCGAAGAAAAAACTAAGTACATACCGACGACGACTACTGCTTGGTACATATTCACGATCATGTTTACTATCTGAAGCATCGAAATCTTCATCTAATTCATAACGAGCACGTTTCTTTGATGACTTTTTTCGCATTAGAATATCGCCAGAATCGTCTAAAGTAAAATAAATTTTCACAATTTGCAAAACGAACAAACTATTAGTATTTTTTCTCTGAGATCGAATTAAATTTGCTAATCATCTAATTCTATGACAATGATGTCACCCAATTCCTCAGACACGTAACTTAGAAAGCAGCTCATATATTACGATCTGATTCTACTGATGTATTTACAAGGCTCTATAAACACGACTGTTATTTTTCTTATCGTTACGAAAACTCCGTAATTACGAAATTCCGAGAGATTGATAATCAAAGATGATTCAGAAAAAATTTCCCTATAGGAAAGCAATTAATCTATTACAATTGAATAACAAACCTGAATCGACTTCAACTAATTCTTTATTAGCTCCAGAGTTAATTATAGCTTCCTTCATTTTTTTATCATAATCATCAAAAGAATAGCTTGCAGCTTTTCGTCGGCATGTTCTAACACTACGTTTGCCTGTTTGTTCGTGTTCTTCCTCTTGACTGGATGGTTTACGATTTTCATCATTATTAAATATAAAACCACTATATGCCCGATTAGTTGAATTAGTTTCCTTCTTTTGTTTAGATCCGTAAACGCTATCTTCATCGCTTGTTGAATTAATTTTGTTTTTCGCTTTCGATCCATAAACACTATCATCATCACTGGTTAAATTAATTTTCTTCTTACTTTTATCTCCATACACAGTACGTTCATTATTTGTTGAATTAGTTTTCTTTTTCGATTTCGATCCATGTGCACTATCTTTATCATTAGTTGAATTAATTTTCTTTTTCGACCCGTAAACACTATCGTCGTCAGTGGTTGAACTCGATTTCTTCTTCTGCTTGGATCCATAAACGCTATCTTCATCGCTTGTTGAATTCATTTTCTTTTTTGCTTTCGTTCCATAAACACTATCATCATCACTGGTTAAATTAATTTTCTTCTTACTTTTATTTCCATATTCATTACGTTCATTATTTGTTGAATTAGTTTTCTTTTTATTGCCAAAAACACTATCTTCGCCGTTGGTTGAACTATTCTTCTTTTGTCCTTTACATCCATTAACACTATTACCATTATTTATCGTACGAGTGTTTTTCTTGTTTTTGTCTTCACAAACACTATCGTCATCATTTATGGAATTCTTTCTCGTGTTAATTCGAAAGCCAAAAAAGTTCTCGTCATCATTTGTTGAATCAGTTATCTTTTCATTTTCCTCGTCGTCACTTGACACAATCATTTTTCTTTGAATGTCATTTCCGGGTTGTCTGACATATCGATCAACATTGACAGCAACATTTGTTAAACGTTTTCGTCGTTTCGATACGTACAATCTACGTTTCATTTCGTATTCGTATTGATCTTGTATAAGTATATGTAATTTTTCAATTAATCCGTCGCATAAACGTTTATGGTCGCACAATGGACAATACCAATTATCAAAAGGTACTGCAAATAATTCTGGTACAAGACATTCTATATGATATGCATCATCACAATCTTCACATAATAACAATGAGTCTGGACGAGTAGCTTGTGAACATGTAGTACATGCTTTAAATGATACTTGATATTTTTCCTGATATTGCGCAACAGTTCTAGCTTTTCGTTGCGAAATATAATCATTATCGTCGTCGTCTTCGTCAAGTAGATCTCCATTAAGAAAAGCATCTAATGCTGTATTATTTGAAAGATAATCATCAGAAAAATCATCATCATCATCATCATCATCATTAAATCGTTGTTGTTCATCAGAAGTTGATGATGACTCTCCATTCATTGATTTTTTACCACCACCAACACGACGACGACGATTACTACGTTCACGACGACCATTTCCTTTCGACAAATAACTAGGGCTTTTCCATGTATTATCAGCAGATTTTCTTCGTCTTAAACTCTACAAATATCGAGAAAAAAAGTTGTAAAAATTCAATCATTCGAAATATCATATCATCACAGCAAAACTTTTCACCTTATGAATTAAGTCTCTGTCAACCTAAGGAGTTTATCAAACTAAATAAATGATATCTAACGGAGCTAATTGTGAAATATATGCTGGCTTAGTCACTGCTTGTCGTTTTCAAACAATCACAGGACGAATTAACTAAGCCTTGATTCATTTTTGAAATACTTTAATCTTCATTTTTTTGTTCAATATTAGAAATTATCTCAACTGGTTCAATCTAATAAAATAAAATGTCCTTACTTGTACACCAGATTGGCTTGTGCTTGATGGACTCGAAGAGAGCTCACTGATAACACTCTTGTGACCACGTTTTGTTCGACGTAATGCAATAGGTAAATCTGCATTAGTTGTTGATTGTTTATTAACTGAACTATGATGAGAATCTTCACTATTTTCATCTATTTTTCCATTATCTTCCATTTCACTTTGACTTTCACTATCATCATACTCAACAAGTTTACGTTTTACTCCTTGTTCTAATGATGGTTTTAACATGATAACTTGTACATCATCATCACCCTCATCAGCGTTATTTGTCGACTTCTTTTCAATAGTTTTGATTGAAGTCTCTACTACATCATTTTCTAAATTATTACTTAATGAATGTTGTGAAAAATCAAGCGAGTATAAATCATTGGCTGTATCGACAGATGATGAAATTCTTAAGCGTCTACCAGTAATTTCAACAGAATTTATTGATTCACTATCAGATGGTATATCTTGAAAGAAAATAGATAAAAAAAAACGATCAAAATGAATTCGTTTTGAAAATGTTAAACAAACCTAAATCATTTTTTTCTTCTGTACCGTTTGCCATAGAAGGGGATACTGGTGTCGACGGCGGCAAATTTCTATTAAGATTAACAAATGGATCGAAATCAACACGATCAGGTTTAATCAATCCTGAAAAGCGAGAAAAATATCAGGAAATACTTTTGTCAATTTAAAAACAAATATTTTTACCTGAATGAAATAGTACAAACGACGAACTCGATCCATCCGAGAGTTCATTTTTGTTTTTGCAATGAAATAAATTAGACGCATAATGTTCTTCAAATTCATGCGACGTTGATAAAGAATTAAAAGAAGGATAAGAAAATTTCCATCCTGAATGATAACATTCATTGTTATTTTCTTTTTATAAATTTATTTACAAGAAAATTTTACCCGGAAATTTTTTTCGTACAACATGATCAGCTATGAGTATTTTTATTAAATTTTCTAATTCAGTTTGATCTCTACGTCAAAGAAATATTAATAATGATTACGAAGAAATAAACTTCGCTTACTTCGCTACACTTTTCCATGTGCAATTTCTATCAATATTTTCACGGAATAAACGAAAAAAACAATCAGTATCCTATGAAAAAAAGAAAAAATACATATAATATCAATAAAATGTTCTCGAGTTCTGTATAATACTCTGTTTTAACTGCAAGCTAAAGTAGTTTAAAAATCTGTTTATGCATGAGCATCAAAGAGAGTACACAAGAAATAGTCGCTAATGCCTTATCCTAGTTTTCTTTCATGACTATGTTCAATTATTACTAGCAATACGAACAGTTTTCGTATCTATATACAATAAATAATGTTCAGTTGTTGTTCATGCAGAAAACAATAGATAATTCTTTATATCGTGAAATGTAGTTATGAGTGCGTATGTTCATACATATAAGCAAATTAAATGCCATGCCATTGAAGAAATAATCTTTTCTAATTTATATCTAATGAATTATCTCTCAATCAAAAGAAATATATGATTTAGATTCTACACGAACCAATATTGCAAAAACATAGTTGAGAATATTCAATGGAAACAAACGAATAGGATGAAACCTAATTTTTATAGAACTACTATAATCAATTGGAATCGATTTAAGGATTATACGATGATGGCCCACTGATCCGTCATATAGCTGTCAACTCATCTAAACATATGACTATAGTCTGATTGTGAAGATGTCATACGGGCGATTAAACGAAGCTGGTTATCGACTTATTTTTTCTTCATTCGGAGGGTATTTCGTGACAATAGTGGAATCTGATAGAATTCTCGTTCGGCAATGACGTAATTCTCATACTTCATCAATCGTGGATAAGAGTCAGTTATTTCCTAACCATCAGCCCCCTTCGAACAAGAAATTCTCAAGTCATAGGAACTTCATCGTGTTGTCTCTGCTATTATATACACGTGTGCCTGAATCAATCCAGTATCTTACATAAGACCATAGAGAACATTTTCAATTGAAGGTGCCATTCAATTCTTATACCTAAATGTTGCGTGAAGAGCACTATGGATCTATTCGGCCAAGTTATCTGAAAGTTTCTTGCTTGTTAGCAATCTCGCTGACTTTATATTACAATGTTGTCGAAATGAACTGCTACTTTCAAGTAGTTTTGCCATATAAGATGTCCGATAAAAAGACATCCACAGTTTTTTCGTTTGAATTAACGATAAGCGCTAATGAATATCTGTTGCTGATTTATTAAATTAACACTCCGGCTTCCATTCAATACTCGAACCAACATTAATTTATTATAAAACATTTAAAATTCACCATTCTATCTCATCGTGTATAACCTAGTTAATCGTGTCTTTTCCGTAGACGTCTTAGAAAGTAGTAGAAATAAGAAGTTTCACTGATAAAAAAAAGCGAAACAAATATTTTCCTGAAAAATCTTGTGGTTATTAATCGAAATTTAAAATTTTTACCGTATACAACCAATACGATGCGCCATATCGATCTCGACCAAATGGTTTTGAACGTATTTCAATAGCTGATTTACTGGCTACAGCAGTTTTTAATTTTTGATCATAGTCAAATTGTTTTTCTAATAAATTCTAAAAGAAAATTTTTTCCCAATAAACTTTTTTTTAACAAATAAAAATAAAATCAATCTACCTTTAAAACTCGAAGTTTAATATCAATACTTGTTTTAGAATATCCACGTTCATCTAACTGATTTCCATCATCATAATTAAAACGATAAGCAAACTAAATATAAAAGAATGCGCTTAAAAAACTACCGTATCACTTGATACGCTTTACTTTTGCCATGGTTGAAATAAATTGGTCCGCTTTTATTGTTCTACCTGAATTAACTCTTTTAAGTAAAGCTAGATGAAAATCAATGAAACGATGACTAACTACATAGAAAAGAAGAGGAAACATTTTTTTTAATAGAAATTTTTTTGATGCTTACGTTTTTCTTGTTCACTAATTAGATTATCCTCTAATATGCGTAGCGGATACTTTTTTATATTGATATATGAACGAAACTTATCAATGAAACAAAGAATTGTACCATAATCTGGATTATTTAATAAATTTGAACGTCGTTGATCACGCTTCAAACAAGGCTTTTCTTTTTCTTCATCATCATCAGATGAACATTCTTCACGAGAAAAATACGCACCGTTTAACATCATTTGAACATCAGCTTCACTCAAAATCGGTAATGAAATAACTAATTCTTTTTTTAATATTTCTGGATCGATAATTCTTGGATCATCATGATCTAAATCCATCATGTCGACGCTCATCCTTGTTGTTTTACTTAATTTTTTTTTCGAAGTTCACTTCACTCAATCATTTAACTGAACATTCGTTCATTGGTGTACACCTTGAGTCTTTGTTTCATTCGCGTGACAATATGTGGCACCATCTAGACGGAAAAACTCAATAAAACGAACACTTGCTTTTCTAATATTACTAATTCAACAAAGTTTCAAAGTTCTTTTTTATGACCCTAAGAAAATACTCTTATAGAATGTGAATTTTAATTCTAATAAGATGTCTGCAAAGTAGCAGGTGAATGTATCCTACTGATAAGCCCATAGCGAGAAAGAGTCAGTAATGCACTTGCTGATGTCCAGACTCTATTCAATGTACTCTATACAGGAACTCATTGACTGAAATAATGATATGCACATGTTACATCAAGGATATTGATAAAATCAAATGATTTCTGTTACCACAGTCATCTATCTATATAATTGAACAGAATGGTTTCATTTCGTTACTTTCGTTTTAGATTTCAAGCTCGTGATCATCTTCATTATTCAATAATATTCATTATGAACACTTTGATACGTAGAAAATCAGTGAACTGTTACTACTTCCGAATGATTGTAAAGTCTTTTTCAAGTACAAATACTAAAATTAGACCATTGCTATAGTTCATTTTCAACGGATTCTCAATAATCAAATAGATCTCGCCATCTAGAGGCTATTATATTTGTGTAAACTTTTCACTGACCGAACCTGTTAAACCGTCGTTTACTGTGTAAATCTATTGTACATAGGGGTGATGTGATCACAAGGAAATGTAAACAGCAAACAGTTTTGTTTTTATGAAAGTATACTGAAATCGAATGATTCGACAAACAAATGCTTGATATAATATATTCTTTTTTTGGTTGACAGTAGAAAAATCAATTGGGATTCGAACCAATGATTACACGTTGAAGGAACATTTTGAAGAAAACATCTCGATACGAACTACAGAGTACAATTATCAATGTGAATCAGTAACGAATAATCCGAATTCAGTAGTACCCATTATTACGTCTCTACCATATTTTCCAGTATGTTTTTGATATCTTCGAAAACCTATCCGGTCTGTTAAAAAAATGTCGACTAGAAAAATAATAGTAATTTAGTCATATAAATAAGTGATTTTTACAAATACAAACAGAAAACTGAAGGTACAATCGAAAAGAACCATGATATTTCTTATAGTCTATAGCGATAGAAGATGAAAAACAATTAATAGTCATATTAACATCAGCAACTATTAACCAGATGTTCACATAGTACAAACAACCGAAACAACAGTTTTCAAATAGGCCGCTAAACAGAAAAAACATCAAGCATTCTTATCTAGAACAGTTCATAGGTCTAACATACAACATTGAAATATTGTAAATGAAAGGTGTAACTGATATTTAATCTAAGTAAATGTGACCCATATTCACCTTTGAAAGGTTTATAAATTTTCCAATATCAGCAAAAATTAAGCTGGTTGTCATTTTTCATATATAGTATGTCCTCGATAGCATCATTTCTTAGAAATGTTTTTTCAGGATATTCTCATAAGATTTTGCGGTATGTTCTATTTAGTTGTTAGGAATGTTTGAGATCATAGAAGAATCTCTGTTTATTTACAAGGAGTAGTCGAACGACATCATATACCGACTACCCCTATGCACGTACTTAATAGATAGCTAGTAAATATTATCTGTCAAACAGTTGAAAACTTCTTTTGTTAAAACATAAACGAAAACGATAAATGTCTTTCAGCTATTCTGACAAAATTTTCTACACATTATATTTCGCTGTTGCAATCACTCCATTGGAATGTGAATGTACTTTGTTGTGTTCATACGTTTCTTAGAATATGACCTGCTAGTTCAAATCTATCTTGTATGAATATCAATCATATATTCACACATCATCATCATCGGTGGAATCATTCTAAGATATTTTCAAGCGTCAATCTATTCGGTATTTCACTGTTAAGAAGTACTAGTCTTCTGGTAGAATATTGAACCTGTTATTATAGTCTGAAATAATAGTTAATATTAGAAAAAGTGTATATTAGTTATTTCGACTGTATTCGACAAAGTTGAAGAAGAATTTTAATTGAAAATATTCAAAAAAATAATTGAACGAAACTGTGTACAATACTCGAATGTCATGAAGAGATTTCGAATTCCTGCAAAATACGTCGATCGAGCTCAATCATGCCTCTTATTTAATTACAGAGCAGAATATATTAAAATATAATGTTTCATCGAAGTAGGAAGTAGATTGCAATTGGCTTTTCAGGTTCGAGAATATCCAAATACTAATGGTAAAGTGATTTAATTGTGTGAGCTATATTATTATCCTTTTTACAGTAACGTCATCTGTACCCTAATTAAAATATATCCCTCTCAATGATTTGCTACACAAAGAAAAAAAAATAAGAACCAAAAAAATGATTTGTTTCGAATCTTTGATTTCATTTAAGATTTGAAATGTTTCTGAATAATAATTGATATAATTTTGTTATAGATGTCATTAGGGAGGAAAAATAAACTTACTTCATAAATGTAGGAAGAAACAGAACTGTACATTGATGTTATTGCTTCATTGATAGACCTGTTTTTTTTTGTTGTTTTCTTTTACACGAATATATTATTGTATAGGAAATAATTTGACTTTTATTTTAAAGATGAAAATGCAACTTACAATAAAAAATCTTCATAATGAACAATTTACAGTTGAGTGTAATGACGAAGAATCAGTAAGTTGCTGTGTTTTTTTAATAGCTACTATATTATTTTGCATTTGCTTTTATTTTTAAAGGTTAAAGTACTCAAAGATACAATAGCTGCTAGAGATGACCTAAGAGAAAAATATGATCCTGAACTGTTGAAATTACTTTATAAAGGAAAAGTTATGGATGATGAAGATTCAGTTGCATCGTATACTATAAGTTCAGAAGATTTTCTGGTTCTCGTTAAGCAAACACCTGGAAAACCCAAACCACCCGTAAGTAAATTTCACTTCGTTAGTATCATCATTCATTAGTTATTTTATTTTTCCAGCCAAAAAAGAAGCCCAATCAAGGATATAATCATGCTGCTAGGTTAGTTTCAATCTAAAAATTTATTTCAATAGAATTTCTTGCTATTTTTAGTGAATTTAATTCCCCGTTTGGCATGGGACACATGTCGAATTCATTTATGCAACTTCCATTTAGTCAAGACCCATTCAAGCAGGAATCATTTCAACCAAATTCATTTATACAACAACTATCTCCAAGTCAGCTTCAAAGGAACCCACGTATTGGTGAATCTCTAAAGCAGCCTGAATTTCCAGCAATTAATCCAACTACTAATGTGGCATTTCCAGTACCACCACAACCAAATTCACCACCTGAAGGTTATGAGAAAGATTTACAACATTTAGTGGACTCTGGTTTTGATCGTTTAAAAGCTGAAAAAGCATTACGCGCAAGCTCTTATAATTTAAATTTTGCTCTAGATTTTCTAATATCGGTATTGAATCAATGAAATTTACAATAATTGTCTAATTCAAATTAATCTATTTGTTCTCTAGGGTAATGTTCCTGAAATCGATGATATGCCTCTTGTTGCACAAGTACCTATACAACCACAACCTACAGACATCCCAATTGATAAACCGAAGCTACCAAACCCAAATCCTAATGAAACTCAAAATGTTGGAGGTTATTATTAGATAATTCCTTTTTCTTTAGTTAGCACATACATGAGAGTATGATGAATGTAGCTTGAGTACAATCTAAATCACTATCTTAACGATAATAGTTGTATATACTCGATTTCCTAGTCGGGTGCTTTGTCTATTTAATTGAATATCATACTATTGTAGAATTCGAGACTAACTAAATTTCATAATAATTGAAAATATAGAAATTTTTTACTGTCAGCTAAATGTTTCAACTGAAACAGTTCTTTCGTATGTAGAACATTGTACCATGTATGTAAGGATGTGTTATAGAAAGACGTTCGATGTATAAACTATCATCTACGTTGGTTAATTAAACTATCGAATATTTTATTTCGAATGAATAGAACTGACTTGATCAAAAATCTAAAATGTTCAACTCGACGTTCTCTTTCATCATCAATGACTTTAATCAAACTTTCGAATAAGAAAATTACTAAAACATCTAATAATAAATAACTTCTCATTACTTGATATTTTCATCTAATAACTAAACGAACCGACTAAATGAAATTTTCAGTATGATGATTTCTATTTCTTGAAAATCTTTTCAATCTTGCATATTTTCGATTTTAGGTATGCCTATGAATCTAAAAGAAATGAATCAAATGCTTCAACAAAGTCCGGAACAACTTCAAATAATAAAAGCTGCACTAGAAACAGCACAGCCTGACATAGCTAGAGTAAATATATTTTTCTTTTTTTCCGATAAATCTTATTTTTGTCTTTCTTTTCTTCTGTTCAGCTGATTAAAACAAATCCACAAACTTTTCTTGATTTAGTGAAACAAGCAACAGATAACGCTAATAGTCCATTGTCAGCTGATGACGCTCCTAATACTGGTCCAAATCAAAATCGAAGCACAATAACAGTTGAACTATCGCTTGAAGAACAACAAATAATAAACCAAGTTCGTATTTGTTTTATCCTAATTGACAAAAATGAAATCGATAAAGGATCGAATCCGACCTGAAGCACGGCCTATGATGATGAACCGTTCACCTTTATCGGAAAATCTTTGACGATCTGAACTACATGCACTACCATCTGAGGCCAATTTTATTTAAACGAACTAAATTACTTTTCTTGATAAACAAATGTATAATTTTTGTATTTATTTTAGATGCAAGAGATGGGCTTTGATCGAAATCGTGCTATTGAAGCATTTCTACTTTGCGAACGCAATGTAGACTACGCAATTAATTATCTTTTTAATACTCAGGACTGAGCCAAGGAATCCAATACTTAATCGATTGACAAAATTATGTCTCCTGTGATACGGCAAATTTAACAAAAATCCACAAAACATAATTTTCTATTTTATTTTATGTTGTATTCCCTAAATTTTATTTGTGTGCTTCTTAATCATTGATTTCCGGTGTGGTGTACTGGCTAATATTTTTAATAATATCTATTTTATAATAAATATGTAGAATTCACGACAATAAATAAAATATATGTCTGTATACAAATTTCACAGATTGACATGACTTATTTTGCCCCGAAATCAGAACAAGAATATAAAGAATATTTGGATAATCTACTCGTCGAATATCAATTCGCTTGTTTTAGTGAAAAACTTGGTGATGGTATGTTCTTTGAAATTCGTAACCAAAATTTAGTGTTCATTTTGTTTTATTTATTAAATTTTGAAAAAACCACATTAAGGTTGTTATCGACTAGCGAATTATCATGAAGTTATTAAAAATGACCATGCGACAGCAGCTAAAATATATAAAATGTCATGTGATGAAATGAACTATGGACATGGATGTTATCGTTATGGTACTTTTGCATTTCTCGGCCGAGGTAAACGTAAAGAAAGAACATCGATTGAAAAAATTTGAATTCTACTTTTAGGCATGGATAAAAATGTTCCGCAATCAACAGGCTATTATGAACGTGCATGTAACTTAGGCTTTTTAAAAGCTTGTCATAATACTGGAGTTGCTTATATGCAAGGTGATGGATGTGAAAAAAATATTAATCGAGCTATAGACTATTTTAAAAAAGCTTGTTCAGGGTCTATTTCTGAATCATGTTTATCTCTTTGGTCAACTTATTTTAATGGACATCATGGTGACATTGCACAAGATAGACCGAAAGCACTTGAGTATGCATCGAAAGCATGTGATTTAGATCTATTTCAAGGTTGTGTTAATGCACTCATTATGCATCGACGTGGCGATGGTGTGCCGAAAGATCCTGAACGTGAAAAATATTTTAAACAAAAAGCAGATGCTATAAAAAGGAAATATAGTGAACCTGGTGTTGTGTTTGGTGAAACACATCAAAATTTAGAATAAAATTTCTGTCTTTTTTAGTACAATAGGATGTATTAGGATTTTTTCAAATAATATAAAACAACAACAGAATGTGAATGAAATTTTAATTTGTGAAGCATAATCAGAAAAGCGCAAAATTGTTCTGGCATGAGGCAGATTTTTAGGAATCATCCATCAGGCATACTTGTGGAAAATAATGAATGAAATTATTTACAGATTGAAAACAGAATGTTGCTAATAATCTTATAAAAATAAATGTACAAGAAGGAATAATTGTTTAAAGATGCCTGAAAAATAAATCAAGTTGCATTTATCAAATAAACTTGTCATTAGAGGACCCTTTGGAATTCTAGATCAACAAGAGAGATAGTATGATTCAATCAAGGTTTAGACAGTCAGTGTGTTTGTCTTCAAGTTGAATATTTTTATAGGCTTTTTTTTTAATAATGAACTTTCGAGAAGCTTTATCTAAAGAGAGTTTTTCTTCGCATCAAAACTATGGCTTATTTGAATATCTTATCTTTTTGGCACTGATAAAAATGCAATCTATCTAAGTATGTTCTTCGTAACGTAAAAGATTAGCAGATGAAAGATAATGGTTTTGTTGAGTTGTTTGCATTCGAATAGATTTAGTTATTATTGAATGATTTACTAAAACTCTGTTTGTTGAAGATTTCAGTGTTCTGTTTTTGACTATATCAACAACAACAACAACAACTGTTTACTGAGAATAATCAAATATCAGTTAACAGTATTCCATACCAATTCAAATATTTGTTTTGATTTAATCTCTGTAAAATATCTCTTCTCATATTAATTTAGCTACTATGATTGACTGGTGATGTTGTTAGACACGTATCCTCAAGTTAATGTATGCAAAATTTAGCGTTACTAGCCACAGAACTGCTCAGGACAAATTTCAAACAGCTGTTTCCCTTCGACCACTCGTCCGATGTCATTCAAACTACACAATATCATATACCCAATTCTGTGGCGTCAGCCTGGAATTTTTGTATAGAATTACAACTATTTATAGGCCCGAGGAAGATATGTTACTATATAAGCTGTCACTAGAGAGTATTTTGTATCACAAGGTAGATGATGAACAAGGATGTTCTTTTTTCTTATATTAGTTTATTTTTGTTTCACATACATTTCTCAAAACGTTTATCTGTTTTTTAATAATATATATTTATTAAAATTTTTTATACTTTATTTGTATGATTTTAAATAATAGAAATACGAAAAAAAGAAAGAACGAACTAGTTATAGAGACATAAAATGATAAATTTTAAGAGAAGAAAAAGAAGTAGAGTAGTGTGATTTGCGCATGCTCTATTGAAAAGACAAAGAAGAAGATAAAGAAATTTGTTTGTTTTAATAGTAAAGAGAAGAAGAAGTAAAAGCAAGTTATATTCTGTTGCCACCACTGCGCACACATACAAACTCACACAAAGGTGATAATGGGTTTAATAGACAAAAAAGAAAAGAAGAACGCCTTAGAAAAGCAAGATGTGTGTTGATATTCCTGCTGTTGCTGCGCTGTTACCACAATCAATAAGAATAGTAAAGTTAATTGAAATTTTTAATAACCCGACAATTCGTTCAATGTCATGTCGAGTTCTTCGCTTACGCTCTTGTACTTTTCCTTTTCGGCAAGTAATTCGTCTAAAAGAAAAAGAAAAAGAAAAATTAAAATTAAAAACCTCTCAATGGCAATCATCAAAGAAATAAATTTTATCACCAATCTACACTTTATGTTTCAAACATTTACTTTGTATATACTCAACTAGCATACTGTCTCAAATATTCATATGCTTCGAATTAACATATTTAATATTCTTTGTGAATCACTGATGCAAACAAATAACAAAACATATTGTTCATCGAAATCGTTACCTTCAAGACGATCGACTTCCTTTTGCAATTTAGCCATGGTACGTTCAGCTAAATCAGCACGTTGTTCAGCCTAGAATTCATATTACATGTGTCTCTGTGTATTTCGTTCTGATAAAAATAAAATCTAACTTACATCTTTAAGACGTGATGTTAAATCACGGATTTGTTCTTCATAACTTTCTTCACGTTGCATAGCCTGGAGATAAATTTATTTTTTAAAATTAAATATTTTTGTTTCTAACAAAATCGAGATCACCTCTTGTTCAGAAACTTCAAGTGATTTCATATTGTTACCAACAACTTTGAGTTCTTCTTCAAGTTCAAGAATTTTTCTAAATAAAATAATTAATAAATATTTTAAATTGAATTTATTAACAATAAGAAAACCAAAGACAAACAAAATCATGCATACGTGTCATATTTTTAAATATGGCTTTCAAATTTAGTTTCACATCATTTACATGCCGTCGAAAATAAAATATATAATCATCATGCTGAAAATAGATTGTAAAAAAAACAATAGCAAACTTCATCGGTATCAAAAAATCAACAATAGGAAGAAACCATGAATATAACTTACGCTTCGGCAGCTTCAGCACGATCTTCAGCACGTTCCAAATCGACTTCCATAATGGCAATACGACGTGCGACCTGAGAATGATGGAAAAAATAAGTTTTTTTTATCAAAATTCTACTTTACAAAAAATTTACCTCATCGTATTTTCGATCGGAATCTTCAGCAATGAGTTGTGCTTCAGCCAATTGTTGTTCAAGTGTAGCAATACGTTCATCATCTTGATATGTACGCTGTTCAAGACCTTTGCGACCACTAAAGATTTAAAGATAAATTAAATTAAATTAAATTTCAGTTGTTGGTTTTTGTGTTGAAAAATGTTTATTTTCACATTACCGTTCACTTTCATCAGCTGCATGTGAAGCTTCATCAAGTTTTTGTGTTGTTTGTGTAAGACGTTCTTCAGCACGTTCGAGATCTTCCTCAACTAATTGTAAACGACGTTGAAGTCCAGCTAATTCGGCTTCAGCCTAAAATTACAAATTATTATTTATCATTAAAAAAACAATGTTCTAAAAATAACAGTTATTTATTTCATATTTTAACAAGAGTATGATTTTCATTTCTTATTTATGAAAATACTAGATCTATTCTTATACTACACATGGATATGATAAAATATAACCGGAAGCCATATTGACTAGATAGACGCCGGCATACGGTAGGATTGACAATGTCGAATGTTCTCGACGCTTATGCGTTTCTAAATGTTTACCTCTTTTAATACATTTATAATATCTGTTACTTCGGTTTGCATAATGGAAATTTTTAAATTGAATGTTATTTGAGACGAATAAGGTGAGACTTGATATTTTTCACAACCGGGTTTTACTGGACGACGAGAAGTTTTTACTGATGAAGAAGAATTTGATGCTGATGAGGATGATGACGATGAAGAAGAAATTGAACACGTCATTTCATTATCATCTGATGATAATTGAAATGTGTCATCATCATTATCATTCAAACGGTAATGACGTAAACGTTCATTATCATAGAATTTCTGACGGATTTGTTTGATTCGTTCATTATGTAAAATATTCGATATAATATAATTTGATCGTTGTACTGGTTGTTGATAGGCTTGCAAACGTGATTTTGATGCTGAGGAACGATTTGTTTTATTTTTATTTGTTTTTGTTGTTTGTGGCGGTGGCGGTGGTGGCGGTGGTGGTGGATGACGATTTTTAAATAAGTTATAAAATTCAATGGCATTTATCTGGCCTTTAGCCAATAGTACACTTAGATTATCTTGTGTCATGATTGTTAGTTTGTTTTTTTTTGGAAAAATCTTCGTTCTTCTATACGGATTGATGTTATTTCTCGGTTATAAATAGATAGATGTATGTATGTATGAATAGATATACGCATATTATTTCTGAGGAAAAAACGCGAACAAGAGTAATACTCTCGACAACGACTGTTCGGATAATCGGAGAAGAAAAGAGAAAAGAAAAATAGATAGAGAGAAAGGTTTGGTATATACGTATAGAATTGAAGATGTATGTCGTGAGGCGAACGTAAAAAGAAAAAAACAGAAACGCAAAAGAAAAATAAACGAGGCTTACATCGGTAGCAGCTTTCTCTTTGGCTTCAAGTTTTGCGTTGGCTTCACCTAATTGTTCTTGAGCAGCATCAAGTTCAGCTTCGATCTGTTGGATTTTTTTTTGTAAAGCATTACTTTCTTCTTCGGACTAATAATAATGTTAAACATAATCAATTATGTATTAATACAAAAGAAAAACAAGCAAATAAATGAAATTGACTAAAACTTACTGCTTTAAGTTTTTCTTCAAAATCCTTTTGACGTTGTTCGGCTTGCTCGGCACGATCGACGGCATTTTCCTTTTCAAGTTTCATAGCTTGCATTTTCTTTTTGATGGAGTCCATCGTAGCAGTTGTATTGGCGTTTGACGACATTTTTTACCAGTGTGGCTTTTAATGATTATAATTTAATTGTTAAAAAGAAATTCAATATTGAATTAGATAATTACACTTCCAACAGATCTTAAAATAAGAAACAAGTATATATACATTACGATGAAAAACTAAGCAAATATAAAATATTTTTGCAGTACAGATAACTGAAGACTAATGATAGGATAAAAAAAAAGAAGAAAGATATTACTCTACTGTATAAACGGAAACGATTGTGTCCAATACATATACAGAACCTACGAGAAGAAAAAAAGCCGATGCACGGTTCGTGATGCCTACGCTGTAGATGATAATAACAACAACAACAAAATCGCTAAAAATGTGGTATAAAGGAGTACTCTCTTTCCTTCTAGGGCGCCTTTACAGACTAACATCGCTCTATGTAGGCGGTAGTGGTAGGCACTGATGATGAAGAGAAAAAAAATTGCGGTTTATTAGTTACGTATACATACATATATATATATATATATAGATAGATAGATATATAGATATAAGGACGCATCTGAGTATGGATAACGAATAGATTTAGCATCTTTTGCGTTTCTCTCTCTATGTTTACTTGTCATCAATAGAACAGCCATCGATGGCGATATAGTTCTTTGTACATTACCATTTTTCTTCAAACTATATTTTTGCCTTTTTCTCTTCTCTGCTCAGTATTGTACAAACGATAGATGTTATATAGAGGAGGAGAGAATCTAAAAATATTTATACTGCAGAACAACGGCAACGGTGCCGACAGCGTGTTACTTAACGATGCTAACATTTTCTCGATTTATACTCTGCATTTGTCGGATAAGATCGAAAAAAACACATTGGTACTAGAAAGGATACGATCTAACTAAGAAGAGAAAGCGAGAAAAATTCTTATGTACGTAATGTTATCATTTGCTGTTAAGAAGAAGAGAAAAAAAATGATCGAGTCTTCTTCTCTTAGCTATTGCAACTACTCTTGTCTTAACTATGTATCTACGTGTCCATATATTGATATAGGGGGGGGGGGGGGGGGGGAAATCTCTGTTGTCGAACACAACATATTACATTATCATCCTAATAGAAAAAAATGCACTTATATTTTCTAATACGGAACAAGAAAATGTACAAAACAACGAGTATACGAGAAGCATCTGATAATAGAACACACAAAAATATGGGAGGAAAAAGAAGAAGTTCGTTTTTTTGTTTTTATCGATGATTAGTTGAATTATAATAACCATTTGTGGTATTTTGTGTGTCATAGAATGATGATAATTGATTTGAGTAGCATGGAAATGGTATAGACGATGATGTCATAGTGAACGGATCATGAACAGGTTGTGTTATCGTAGTTGTTTGAGGTGGTGGCGGTGGCGGAGGAATCCAAGATGATGTTGATGCAAATGAATAATCTTGATGATAATGTTGTGGATACATATTTGATGTTGTTGTTGATGGTATATGATCATAATCAAATGAAGATGATGTTTCTCCTTCGCCTGAACTACTATTTGTTGAACTTGATGCATGTATTAGTTTTGTTGGAGATAATTTTGAGCGTATTTTAAAACGTGTCGATCGACGTAAAAAGCTCGTTCCATTACCAAACATACTTTTAGCATCTTGATGTAAAGCCCAATAATTTCCTTTACTTTTATTTCCCGATGATGAACGACTGTCTGCTGATGTTCGTGAAACTTTAACAAAACAATCATTTAATGATAAATTATGTCGAATTGAATTTTGCCAACGTTGTGCAGTTTGTTCAGTAAAAAATGGATAACGATCTTGAATAAATTTATAGATTTCTAATAAACAACAAAATAATATTGATGAAAATTTTTCGAAATATAAAACAAAAAATATTAGATGATTTACCATTCAGTGTCATTTTACCATCTTTAGAATTTTCAATAGCTAATGTTATAAGAGCAATATATGAGTCTAAACAAAAGGACATCATAGAATTATAGTAAATATACGTTGTTATTCTTTTTCTATTCTTACAGGGTGGTTTGACATCAACACCAAATCGTCGACCTTGTTGCGACAGTGTTGATGTACCTAATTCAATAGAGTAAAAATAATAAATAAATAAAAATAGAAAATCTATATTTACCTGATAATTTCGATACATCAATGTCATTTGTTTCAGTAACTAAACCATTCATAATTGCTTCTTTAGCCTCTTTTTCTGTAATTTGTGTTTTTGTTTTCGATGAACCAATTTTCATTCGATGATGTTTTCCATTGATTTTCTTCGTTGGTTTTTCTATATGAAATTCTGGTAACGAATAAGACAAATAATTTGTTGAACTAGAAGCTGGCTCTGATAGTAGACGATTATGTTCATGTAAAGGACCATGAGAAAGATAATAATTATCGTTCATTTTTATATTATTGGCAAATATATGTATTGCAAACGAATAATGAATATTGAACTACCGTAATTTTGGCGAGAGAAAAATGTGATTCTTTGAATAAATATTGACTTGTAACAATATACATATACATATATATATATATATAGTCTGTATTTTTTTCTGTTTCTGTTAAATAGCCAATAACTTACACTTGAAAAATTGTCACCAAATGTCACGATTGGCTAACTGGAGAAGAATGTGAAACGATTTTTTTTCTCTTCTATTAAAACATCAGTCAAGAATTGTTTTTTCTCTTCGTATACTAATTTAGAGAAATGTTTGTTATGGATAAAATATTGTGATGATAAACTATTGATCCTGGAGAAGTTCAATAATTTCAAGTAATATTTAACTAGTGGTCTCTTCAAAATGAGAATTAACTTGCTCTTGTCTTTGAAAATTTTCACTTTTCCTCAACAAAACCGAACAATGTTCTTTGCTTGCTTTCGTTCTTCAATGCTTGCAGCAAGGTTCTATTTTTTAAAAGACTTTGTTTTGAAAGTTTCTTTCCTACAAATTGAATGAATTGAATTGAAAATTTTCTGTTCAACGAAAATTTCATGCTCGTGAAAAAATCTCCAAGATATTGTTTTCAATTGGTAGACACAGATTAAATTAAAATTGCTTCGAAAACAAAAGATTCATTTTCAAACAACATGTTGATCTTGATAAATAGATTTCGTTTTCTACGTCATAATTTGATCTATAATACAAATCGGCTTTCGTTCTCTCTTGTTTGATAGTATTTCATTCGACTGATCACTCTGATTTGATCCCTCTTGTTTCATTTTACGCACACAACAATCCACACGTTTCTTTTACTGTCTGTTAGCCGACAACAAATGATTTCATTTAATTTCAAACGATTCGGCAAAGTCAAGTTCGTTTTTTATGAATGAGCAAAGTGAACAAGGATATAATACAAAATTATCGGTCGGCTTATTTCGGTTAAGAGGAGTTGATAGAATAATGGTGGTAAAAATGGTCCTTATTTTTAAGTCTATAAATGGGTGAGCACTTTTCTCTCTCACTCTCACTCTTGTTCATATAGACTAATCCTTATTACGTCTTTGATGTAATAGATGATGTGGTGTAAGTTGCCAGTGAGACAAAATTGCTTTCCTCACTTGGAAGAGGATAGCAACAAGGAAAATGGCTAACGACGCCTAATTGCTGTATACTTCCTGCTAGAAGTGTTATGCATGTTCGAACACTTTCTCCTCCTATTGTTATGAAAAATATTGTTGTCTCTCTAGAGAAAAAGAAATAAAAACAACAAAACTGTCAGTTCGATCAGGTGAATAGAAAGAGTTACAAACAAACAATCGATCAATTTTTTTTCAATGTGTGATGAAACAACAATTTTATTTACGACAATATGAATTTTCAATTTAAAACTTCTATTATTATCTAATTATTTACTTTCACCGGGAAAAAATTTATAGGCAGAGATGTATTCGATTTCTCTCATGAATACCCGCTTTTCGTATTCGTTTTGTTGTAGCCATAGACATCCATCATGAGCCGCAATGTTTACGTAGCATCTTTCATACAGTTATACATGTCGTTCCGAAAATGATCCATCTCTCACCTCACTCTTCTTTTCTCACGTGTGCTTTATGCATGTTAATGTCGGGTGCCTAATTCATATTCGTCATATAGAAAACAATAAGAAGCAATAACGATGATTCCTTCTTTAAACATATTTCTCTATTGTTAGATAGAAGTGAAAACAAATTGAATCAGACATTGCTATTACCGACGTACTGAAATAAGATAATTATGATATTCCATTAACAAAATGATAATTCGAGAAAAAGAATTCTTCTCTCCGATGCTAATAATAACAGTCATCGAGTTCAACTAATGAAAAGTTTGCACAAGTTTTTTGTTCTATGTTATCTTGTTACCTGTAGTATGTTATCAAATCTGTTCAATACTGTTTGATGGCATCCATAAAATTAACGCTTGCAACAATGCTGTACGTTATGGGAATTAAGCAAATAACAAAAAAAAGAACAATGAAGACAACTTTAAATGTAGATTTACTTTCCTCGACTGAACGTGATTAGATTTTGACTTATTTTAAAATGTATCTTTCGAGGTATGTTCTACTTATGGAGCATAGATTATAAATTAATATATGTACCTACAAACAGTAAAGAAACAAAACAAATGGAACAATGTCGCTGATGTTGGAAAATAATTTGAGAATTGCTCTCGCTTCTCAGCTAGAGTACATGTATGATTAGATTGGAGAAGTGTGAATTTCGTTATTTTTGACGTCGACATCGTCTAGAATAGAGTATTTAGAAACTACAGTTCTATGACAAGTTTTGCTCTGGTTTCATGAGTTTATTCACTTTGAAAATGTTTTTCTACGCGCATTGAAAACAAATGGAAGGAACCTACCTAATTGTGAAATTATAAATTTTGCATAGTCTTTATCATAATATCTTATACGATTATATAATTTCATTCTAATAACTTCTAACAAGAATACACAGTGATGTCTTTTGGCGATTACTTTTAGCCAGCAAAATATGTCATCGTATTGTTTTATTTTATTTTTTTCTCTAAAAATAAGAAAGAAATTTAAGAAGATTTTTTAAATAAAACTAGAGCAAGTACTTTCTTTCGGGCAAATAAACGAGTTTGAAAATAAATAATACAATTGCTCCACTTCATTGTATAATTAAATTCGACGGTTTCACAACAAGAAAGCAGAGAGAACGAAAAGAACGTAGCTCGATGCATTAACGCATGCCTATTTTTAACTTTGTACTTTGAAATTAGCGTCGTATATAAATTATTGCAGTAATAAAATTTGAGATTTTGCAAATGAATTTCTCAGGAGTTTTTCAGTAAAGCAAAACGGTGTCGCTTTTGACAAATTCCTCGTTTAATTCTCTAGTAATTTGAATCGACGAAGCAGCAACATTTAGTTCTTTAGGAACTATGGAAATGAATTTATTTAGATCAACGTAGAAGGGGCACCTCTATAATTACTTGTGCTACTTATTGAGCCTGTGTATTGATCTGAAAGATTTTATAATCAATTCTAAAAAGAGATTTTCTTGACAAGAAAACAATATTACATACGAATCAACAAAATACGATGAAATATTCTAGAAATCGTATTTTCTCAGGGGTTCTAATATTGATATAGATATGCAAAAGTATTACGTCAGAGAAATCTTGCATCCATGTTCTTTTGTTTTTTAAGCTGAAAAAATCATGAATGATTAAAGTGCAAGAAGTTGCTTTTATATTTGTATTTATTGGAAAAACTAAAATTTAAAATAATTTAAAAAGATTAAATTCAATAATAAAATGACGCTTCGAGAGAATATTTAACTATTTTACTCTTTTTTTTTGAGAAATTTTGGAAAGATTTTACTTTTTTCTCTCATTCATGACCAATTTCTACTAATTATATCCTTGGTGTAAATCTTTTACATTTAACCATCTATATTTTTAGATAAAAAAAAATCAAGGTTCACGTCAATATTAGATTTTGTTACAATAAAGGTATTAAATTATCAATCAATCATGCTAGAAACAAAAAAGGTTCAGTTATTAGTAAAAATAGAAAAATCAGAAGTAGAAACAAAAAAGCGCACAAATCATAATAGCGTGACAGCAGTTATTATCGTGATTCAATGTTATCAACATCCATGACATGTGTTGTCTCTACGTCAAATTAGTTACAAAAATAGATAAAAAAAACTGAACAAGATATGCAAAAAAACGGAAATAAAGATCTATTGTTGCAAAGATATAAAAAAAAACGTAACTGTAGAGATGAGTAAATATAAACGTAACTGGTCAGATAAAATAAATCTTGTTACTCAATAATATTGTTCATCATAAGATGATCATTATTTGTCTGCCCGTAGGATTATTGACACAAAAAGAACAATAGTTTTTCTCCTGTTCATGTGATTAAATACAGAACAGTTCAATTGTATGAATAGTATCAAGTATTATTTAGAGAAAAAAAGACATCTTTGATAGGATAGAACCAGAATTTCCTCCGTGTGTTCATTAAATTTTATCTGTATTCTATTCTAATCTACAGTGCGACACGTGTCGTTCCTTTTATCTTTCTCGCTTCCTTGTCGTCTGTAACAGATTGATTTCATTTAATTGTATTATTCATGTTCTTTTACAGCTTGCCTTTTGTGAATGCACATCTCAACTATATGCAACACTTTTTTACGTACATATGCTCGCTCTATTCCTTCTTACTCGATACGTAGTAGCTAGCATGATAAGAAATAGACAACAATACAACAAGAAAAAAGGAAGAACGAGAACAAGAGACAAAAAAAAGAGAGGATAAAGAAGAAGCGAAAGAGAACACTAGTATTTTTCTTCATATAAAGTGATTCAATCGAACGTACTTTTTTTCTTTTTCTCTGTTATCATACTTTAACATAGATATCTCTTGAAATTTTGTTGGTCATTTTATTCAACACTTTCATCAACATAAAACGATGCCAGATATAAAAACAAACAGTGATCAGCAACAAAAGCAGCAACAACAAGCGGAAATCAAATATGGCGAATTAGTAATTCTAGGGTAAGTCAATAATTTCGCCATGTTTAACAACAGAAAATGATTGCACATCTAATTTTTTGTTTTCCATGGCTTTAACAAGTTTTTCTTTTGGTTCTAAATAATTTTCATTAGCTAATGCCCATGTAGCCCAATGTATACCAATTGATTTTTTCGATTGAATATCAATATGAATTTGTACAGCTTCATCGGGTGATACATGTTGTGATTCCATCATCCAACGAGGTTCATATGCACCTATGGGTATAGCACTTAGATCGAAGGGGCCGTACCTTGTTCCTATTTGCCTAAATATGGGTATATTATGAGTATAACCAGTATCACCAGCAAAGTAAAATTTATGATTTTTATTCCATATAGCATATCCACCCCAAAGAGTTTTATTTAAATCAAAAGCACTGCGACGAGACCTTAAATAGATCAAAAATGAGCAGAATATTTTGTTTAAACAAGACAACACTACCAATGCTGAGCAGGACAAAATGCTATTGTAACATGTTCTTTTTTCTAAGTAAATAAAAGATTAAAAGAAAATAACTTTATTCATTAACCCTACTGGATGTTGATGTTCGTCCCACCAGTCAAGTTCAATAACATTCTCTACATGACAATCAAGAAACCATTCTCTTCCCCCTAGACCACAAAACCATGTTAATCGATTTCCATAACGTGCATTTAAACTTTGAACACTAGGATAATCCAAATGATCATAATGATTATGTGATATAACTATAGCATCAAGATTTTCAGGTAGATCATCTACTGTTAATGCTGGTGGACGAAAACGCTTTGGTCCAATATTTGATGCTATACCGCATCGATCACTAAAAACAGGATCCGTTAGAAATAAAAAATCATCCATTTGTACAAGACATGATGCATGTCCAATCCAAACAAAACGTAGACCAGGCGAAGTTTTTAATAATTCATCTGGTTTAGGTTTTAATACTGGTAATGTCTCGTCTAATAGTTCAAGGTTAGCCGGTAAATTTGTATTATTTGGGTAACCGAACTTCCAACGTAAAATTGTTCCAAATTCCGGCATTTTAAATTCTGGATTAAAAGAATTAACAAAAAGATCACCTTCTCTGCGAGATTTGACAAATACTTCATCGGAAACTACATTTTCTGTAGTAATCGTACTTGATGATGTTCCCATTGTTGTATTTGATTTAGTAGTCAATGTAAGATAATTTCTGATGAAATAGATAGACTAGGAGAAAATGTGTTAAATAATATATTTATATCATCTGTTAGAAAATTGATTAGTAATAGTTGTTATCTCTACATTCATATAATATTAGATCTAGATGAAAGAAAAAAAAATCCCGTGTAGCCTTGGAGTAATTTCAACAAATTAAGAAACATAAATTGACATATATTCAAGGTGATAAAAATAAGATATTCTTTTGTGTGACATTCTCAGTTGTATGGATGTATACTCTTACTCTTGTTATTTTGTCTCTCTATTACTTCAAGTTGAAAAATACTTAACATATATGATCATTTTAATTTATTTATTTTTAAAGATATAATCGGCAAATTCCAAATGGTGACAACGATAGACTTAAGAGCAAATTTCAACTACAACAACGCCCACAAGCAAATGGTCTTAAACCAAAACGACAACACATTTGTAAAAATCAAGATGAAGTGGAGGTAAAAATACCTTAGTGAAGACAAAAAAAAATCGTATTCAGCTTTTTATATGAGTAATTGAGAAGACAATATTTATAAATATTTATGTCAATAGACATGTAATTCACTAAAGTATGCGTGTAGACACAACATTAGCTGGGGAAAACGAGATGATGAGTTTTTCTTATGATGCAATCATGGATGTGTAATCAATATATACAATAATTATGGGATGAGTAGTGACTGATTGTACACATACTGCGTGTGAACAATCATTGAGGAAACAATGAGCTTCATGTAAATAATCAAATGATTATTTACATGAATGTTTATTCGTGTCAAAAGTACAAACAATGTTTAAATAGTAGAACGTGAATATTGTAATATATATTTATTTTAGAAATTGACACAAGCTGATTTTCATTCTATTTCCTATACATTATCACGAAATCAAATTGTTGTTGTTCAATATGCACATGATGAAGATTCTGATATGTTTCAAGTAGCTTTCTTTTGTTCTATTCTAATGAGAGAATAAATAATTTTCAGATTGGTCGATCAGCAGAAAGTCAAATTGATTTTATTGTTATGGATACAATTGTTGGAGGAAAAACAATTGATGATTTGAGTGTTTCACAATCGACTATATCACGTTATGCATGTCGTATTGTCGTATTACGTCATCCACCATATACAGCTCGTATCTTTGCGGCTGGTTTTGATAATTCAAAAAATATTTTTCTCGGAGTAGGAATTTTTATTTACAGTAAATTGTTTTCTTATTTACACGTTTGTTGGTTTGTTCGATAGGAAAAATCAATAAAATGGAAAAATAGTCATAACGAAATGGATGGTGTAACGACAAATGGCGTTCTAGTAATGCATATTGATAATGATCAATTGAATATGAATTCTAAATCAACGAAATGGAAAGAAGTATCTGTTTGTGGAAGCGTATTTGACTTAGGTGATGGACGATTTAAATATAATTATCAAACAGCAGTAAATATTTATTTAAGATGCATAAGATTATCAGGCAAAAAAAAAAGAATTTTATTTGTTTAGTTGCCTTCTAACACAGATAATATTCTCAAAGATGGCACTCTGATTGATCTATGTGGAGCAACTCTACTATGGCGTTCAGTCGAGGGCCTTAAACACACACCTGTAACTAGAACTATTTTATCTGATAAACTAAAGCATTAATTTAATTTTGATTAACTAGACTCGTCGTTTTCTTGAGTTTGGATTAGAAGAGCTTAATTCAAAAAAACCTCAATGTCCTGTTAGTTTAAATACATTAGTGGTAAAAACTGAATCATATTCATTGGTGTCATCGAAGTTTTCAAATCCATATGTTTATGTTCTATGTGGACATGTTCAAGGTAATCATCAATGGGGAATGAAAACCGATGATAATAATCTACTACGCGAATGTCCACTTTGTCGAACAGTCGGTTCATTAATACCAATCGTACCTGGCCTAGAATCATCATTTTATGTTATACCAAATAGTGATAATGAATCTACAACATCACACGCTTTTCATCCATGTGGACATATGACTTCACAATCAACGGCTTTATATTGGTCAAAAATTAAAGTACCATATGGTAAGAAAGCTTTTTGAAAATTAAAAGAACTATTTTCAGTGTCATATTTTAGGAGCAAAAGGTTTGAAAGCAGTATGTCCATTTTGTTCGCTAGCTTTATCAGAAGTAAAACCGTATGTTCGTCTGATTTTTCAAGATTCTATATACAGATAATGATGACAGTAGAAAAAGAACAAATTATTATTATTTTTTTTGATACAATATATGTTATTTTTTTGTTATTCGTATTCTATTCATGGGCGGGCCAGCGTCTTATATGGAGGTGTGGCGATAGCTAATAATGTCTAATTTTTTTTTAAAGAAATTCATGTTTCGGATGTAGCGGATGCATACCCATGTCGTCGAAACCGTCGCAATTTAGACGATTATTCACGATTTTTATCAAAATGGCTTATAAATCGCGATTTTCCGGAAAAAATCAGTAAAACCAGCAAATCTCAGCGATTTTATCGCGATAAATTGTCAATTTTCACTTAACTACTCACAATGGGTAATATTATGTGAAATCACATAATGTCATTCATATTATCGTCAAGCTAGCTATCTGTGTCCATCCTCAAGCTATTTGGTAATGTTATTCGTACTTTTTCTAGTGACTACTTTTGTTACCTGCTTATTCAGCTCTTTTTTTAGAACAAGAAATATAAAGAAAATGAGCTTGAAGAGGCCCAATGATAAACAAGTTGATGTCATTAATCTATTTCGTCAAAAATGTATTCTTGTTTGATGAATCTTGATTTTGTTGGGAAAATTGACAAAAATCATCAGTTTTGACGATATATCGCACGATTTCGTCACGATTTTGATGGCATGGATATCTTAAAGATAGATATATAGTCCCAGGTCGAACAGGCCGGCCTGGGAACGGCCGGTTCCGGGTAGTTCCGTTGATTTTGTGGAAGCAGTATTCCGGTTGGAAAATTTTCGGATTTTTTTCCGATGATTTCCTGCCGGAAAGCACCGGAACTTGGCGGGAATCCGCCGGAAAAGTCCGGCTGTATTTTTGATCGGAATACTGCTTCCATGTTCCAGCGATTTCCCGTATTTTCCTACAGGATATGGTGACTTTCCCGCATATTTCCTGGAGTATCCTACGGGATCCGGTGGCCGGAATGTTCGACCTGGGCAACAAATAATATTTTCAGATGTGTCAATTGTCTCGTAGTGGCCCGTCAATGATTCTATTCATTATGATTGTTTCAACACAATGTAAGTTAAAACCATTATATTAAAACTATACAAAAATTTAATCTTACCTGATTTTTAAAATATTTTCTTAATGAAATTATCATTAGCTAAATGAAAAAATCTAGAAAAACCATGGCCTGTTGAAATTGTTTTGAAATGTTTGCCTAAAAAAACTTACATTACAACGCAGAAAAAGCAGGAGTTTGACATGAGTCATATGCCATCTCCAAATGTATCTAGTGACATCTTCTATCAAATAAAAAATATAGTTGAAAACTATCTCTCATTTTAAGAAAGTCATTATAAAAATATTGTATAAGACAAATAGTTTTTTCATATAACTCTTCCATCAGAGTGGTTGATATGGAAAATTTAATTCGTAGTAAATAAATTATGGAGTACTACAACTACAAGTGATTCTGAAAATACAATAAAACAACAATTATTTCGATCATCACATTTTTCTTCTCATTCTCAATGCCAATACTCTCAATAGAATGAAAATTTTTATGAGCTCTAAAATAAATGTCATCGAAAACCAAACAATTGCTTATTAGCTATCGAGGTATCGATGTAATCAAACAATTGTATCTCCAGATTTCCCTCTATGAATTGACACAATGAGTTCAATAATTGTTCATTACTGTATTCAGGAAATAATATCATGCATCATATAAATCTGATTCATCAAATGATGAAGACGTTTATGTATAAACAAGATAGTGTAAAATTTATTAATTATCGGTCAAGTATCTATCAATAAGATATCAAAATACAGCCTAGAAATAGTTGTTTATTTTGATTCGTTTCTTTGTTGTTACTTGATACCTTACTCAAACTTGTTTATTCGTGTACTTTACTCGATCAAATCTTAAGATGTACCGAAATTCTACGGCTTTGCAGCTCAAAAATGACATGCATGTGTGAAAAATAAATAAACCGGTTCATGTAAATTTATTTGCATTAAGAACTTCATCTTATCATAAAAATGGATTCGTCGAGGTAAAAAAAAAAGGAATCGTTCGGAATTTACTCTTATTTTTCATTTTGCTTTCTATTTCAGATGATTTATGAACTACCGAGTAATCCTTTAGTTGTATAAGTATAAAGATATCAAGGTTGGAATATGTGTCACGACATTAGAATATGATGCAAGCATCAATTACGTTGGCATAGGTCGACATGGTGCATATCGCATTTTTTTCTAGATAACAGTTCATATTGAGATTCAAGTGAGGAACATGGTTTTTAATGTACTTTTTTCTCTTTTCTATCGAATTCTTTTCATTTCTAGTTAATTTGGCAGTACATGTTATGGTAGAACAAAAATAGTTTCATTATAAAGACAAAAATCAATATTAAGAATGAAAATTTATTAGCATATAAGACCGCATTACTGGTAGAAAAAACAATTCTTTTTTAACGATTTTTACTATTTTTTTGTTATAATCTATCCCTGAATTTTATATATATATATAAAAGAAAATATAGATATATACATGTATACATAGAGATTGATATCAATCGTGATAAAATTATTTTAGTATCTATTGTTTTTTTGTTTATTACATCAATGATTGATTAAGTTTACTTCGATTCAGATTATTATTCTTGAACAAGACAAACAAATCTGCTAAAATTAAATAGAGAAAACAATGCTATTGTAAGTTTATTTTAAATGATTTTTTTAAAACTAATTTCATCCTTGATTTTGATGTTGGCATTTTAGCAAATGTTACTTATATAGAATGCATAATAATAGATGATAACAGTAGGTTATTTCGTGTTTTTTCTATGATATTATAAAAAAAGAATGAAAAAACAAATATCCTTGCTCTGAATAGAGTAGGTTATAAATGCATAATAATATTTCACCCCAAGATTGCGAACATTTAAAATACACTTTCGAAAAATATGTATTTACTAAATGAAAATATCTCCTATTAATCATGTCTACTGTTCAACTTGTTTTTGTATTTTGTAAACAGGAAAGATATAAACGAATGCATGTCAATGTTAAATATTTTCTAGAAACGAATTATCTCATCATGTAACTCAGTGAGAGAAATATTTTAGCATACTGTATATTCTAATTCGGAAAGATTGTGGACTAACTTGTATAGTTCTATTAGTGTAACCGTTTATATAGCTAAACATATATTCGAATTCAAATGAATTATATTTCTAAAGTTTGCTTTGAGACATCTATCCGGAGATTTGGATTTTTAGTTATATCATATCAAATCATCAGAAGTGTATTTGAAGTGTAACAATCAATTATGTCCATCATTTACTTCACTATCAGGTATAGGGTTACTTTGATTTTTAAAACCTAAACAGTACTAGTTTACTAAAAATTCAAGTCTTCTAATCGATGCCATTATAACATCTCTTCCGAATGTTTAGCCTAGAAAAATTTTTAAATATAGAAACTACTTTAAAACCGTTATTTTAAAATTATTATCGTAGTTTCGTGAAAAGTTTGCTTCATCATGATTTCGTTTGTCAACATCTTTAGTGTGTTGATAGAGTATTTTGAAATTCAGTGCAGTATAGATAGCCAATATTCATTGAAGTACAGTAAACGTAACTCTAATAATGATTTCTATTAGAGTCTACTAATTGTTGTTGATCGTTCGGTGGGAAAAAGGGTTTTCTTATTCAAATTGATAAAAGGTGAAGTGATATGACGAACTATGACAACCGAGCACTGAAAGAAAGAAAAGGAAACCTACATTTCTGATAAGTACAAATCTATTTTAAGAATATATGACCTTCATCAAGTGTAAGATTAGATTTATACTCGGATACATCTTTGATCAGTTCTGTTTTTCTCAGTTTTATAAAATATGAAATTTACAGATATCTTTTCGGAATACAAGGGCAAATGTCATTCTTTCCATAGACCTTGTGTATTTTAATAGAACAATCTTTCATTTAGATCAATCTATATGAAAAATCATATTTACATTAACTATTAACATATTCGGCATGTAGGTTTTTTTTATGCGCTTTCATATTCATAGATATAATTAACTAAAGCAAAATATTCATATTAATAACATCATTTTTATCACAGTAGGAAATATTCTACATGCATAACAGAGAAAAACAAAAACGTCTTTAAACTACCAACTATTATTTCCTTTTATTTTTATATATCTCCGTATTAAAATGTTCAACAAGAGAGAAAATATAACATCTTTGCTTAAATGCTTTATAAAAATTTCATTGCTATTTTATTAGAATTTCGATTAGATATACTAAATGATATGTATAAACTGCTTTAGTTCACACGACTTGATTTCTTCATCAACGCAAGCCGAATGTTCACCATCATATCGCAACCTTCCAATGCCTTCCAAAGGTAAGGATTTCAAGAAAAGATATTTTATTTAATTAGCTACCAATTTTTCTCATATAAATTTGACATTGTGTTCTGTCAATATAATTGATTTCTCGTGTCTTGATTATGCACAGATTTTCGTGAATTCAATCATGAACTTGGTTTTTCAAAATTATTATTTTTAATGACGGATAATATCACCCATAGCTCCATCGCGTGATATCTAAACATACGATGTAATCGAAAGAGGGAACAAAAAAACGAATGTAAAAGAGAAAAAAAATCGAAGAAATCAATACGAAAAAACCTGAATCAACAAAGAAATGATGCCACTGTTGATATGTATTTATCAACCTTATATATGCTGATCGGTATCAGTTTTCTGTTTCAGTATACAAAGATATTTTCTGATAGTTTTACAAATGTTCAAGAACATGTCATATTTTCATATATATATATATATATATATATATATATATAAAGAGAGAGAGAGTGAGAGAGAGAGAGTGANTATATATATATATATATATATATATATATATAGATAGAGAGAGAGAGATAGAGAGAGAGAGAGAGAGAGAGAGAGAGTGAGTGAGAGAGAGAGAGAGTGAGTAAGACTAACTTTTCTTGTCTTTTTTTGTGCCATATATCAATACTTACTGTTAAAAATCAATTAGATGTTATGAATAATACTTGACAAATAAACATCAAGAGATAACATTAATGGGTTTTTATAATATCTACCTATATGAATTATTAACTAGTTCTTCGCTCTTACGAAAGCAGAAAAAAAAACTAATCATCAATCTTATGATTCGGCACTATAATAAGCTGTCCTATGAAAACTTCTTCGATTTTTTCTTTTTGGATGTTTGTATCACTGAATGTTTTTCTTCAAACAGATACTAATCTTCAAATCATCATATGATAAGTATATATATATATATACTTAATGTCAAGACAATAACAAGGAGAACATTGTTTTGAAGTTTTGTTGTGCTTTTTAGTAAATAAAAATATCGACGTATAATTGTAAAAAGAAAAAAAGAAGAAGAACAAGAAGAAGAAGAACGACGAGAGAAAAACTAGGAGAAAAAAAATCGACGATCATTTTTTTTTTCTAATTGATGTATCATTATTGTTGTTAGTGATTGTGTACATCGTGAAAAAAGTTCATATAAAATAACTGATTGTGTGTATATGAAAGTAAAACATCTGCCAATATGTCTTGTCCACTCCCTTGTCTTATAAATCAAAACGAAGTAATGTCAAATCAACAAGGAACTATTGCAGAAAAGAGCGAAGAACAAGACGACAATGTCTCTGAAGTAGAACTTCGAAAGGACACAATGGCTTCTTCCCAAGAACAGACGGCTAAAGTTGATATATATGCATGGCGAAAACGTCCATCATATACCTATCAGCGGCATCCATTATTGTCAAGAAGGATAAGTCAAGGTGAGCTATGAGAAAAATACATTTAAGTGCCTATGTTGTAATGGTTGTAGTGCCGTTCGTTGTTTGTGTAGTAATATGATCCTATTGCTTGTTAGTAAAAATGAATGTGCATCTAAGTAAATCGTAAAAAAAACAGTAAAATAGATAAACGAGTATCATTTAAAATTTGAATAATTTTTTTTCTCTCAATTTTTCAGCATGTCGAGATCGATTAGTGCGCACGCCAACTGTGATTGTATGTATACAATTGCTTTTGTTTTTGTTTTAATTGAAATATGTTCATTTTGGTTCATATTTAAGGCAATGTGTGGATTACCAGCACGAGGCAAAGTATGATAGTTTTACAGAAGAAAATTTTGACTCTATTTGTTTTCTATATAGACGTATATATCCAAAAAATTGGCACGCTATTTACAATGGATTGGGATCAAAACGAAAGGTATGAATTCGATATTTTAAAATTTTGCAATACAGAATTTATTTAATGATATCTATTGATATTTTGAAGTTTGAGCTTCAGGTATCAATATTATTGACTTTATCGGATACTCAAAGCCATTGATGATATTATTTAAAACGAGAAGAATAAAATAAATTTTTGCGAAGGAAACCACTCGAGAAATAGTAAGACAAAGAACTAAAACTCATTGTGCAGAAGACATTTTTTAATTAAATATATTCTTCTATGCAAATAAAGATCACCAGACCCTATCATTTTTTATTGTCTTTATTTTTAATGATTTAAATATATTATTGTATGACAAAGGTATTAGTAAAACGTCCTTGAATAGAAAAATTTGAAACGAAAAAAGGTATCTATTAATCGATATTAATTTTCATGAATGAAAAAAAGCATAGGTCATAATAACCTTTATATGCCATGATAATAAAGATCTGTGGTACTGCGCAATTGAATGACGATTTGTCGTCGTTCTTTTTATAAGATACCAATCAGTGTTTATTGAATAGACATTATTTTCCGCGTATATTCTTTATTAAATCTATATCGATTTTGTCAAGTATTCGTTTTTTTTAATTGGAAATATATTATTCGTCTTTCGCTTATCAGACATCAGTCATAGATAATAGAGAAAGAACGAATGCTTTCAGTAAAATAATTGTTTGACTGCCGTAGGGTTTTCAGAACTATTGGGAATATATGTCATTACTTAGCTGAGAGAATCTAATTTAATATTGAACAATACTCTTAATTGAATAATAAAAATTGTAGTGGTTTCAGTACGAAATTAAAAATAGGAAAATTAAGATTACCGTAACTCGAAAGTTAACAGTGATAATATCTTACTTATTTTGTAGAGAAAATTTTCGGTATTATGTAAACATACAATATATATATAATCTCATTAGACGACGACATCGCACGGAATTCTATTAGCACATGTCTAATAAACCATATTTATTTTCCTATTAAATAAACATACATGCTTGCTAGTGATTTTATACAAATTTTGTTTTTTAAAGAAAATCCAAGGGGAAACAGCGGACTTGAAGTAGCTTGAAGTAGTTCAGAGTATCACTCAAGTAGCACAAAGTTAGAACAAGTAACCTCAGATAACTGCAATAAATATGAAGTTGAAAAGTAGGTGAAAGTAAATTACTTGAAGTAGCTCAAAGTAACTTCAAGTCCAAAAGTTCGTCGTTTCCTCCTTGAGAAAATGAATTAAATTTCTCTTGAAAATTGTCATTCATCTTGTGAACAATGTGTAGTTGAAAACTGTTCTATAATAGCAAGTATCATGTAATCATTCAAGAGATTTTTCGATCGATTACTGTAGTGTTCTGATAAAAAGACTACATTATTGAGGCTTCGTAATGTACTTTTAGACAAATATCGCCTGATTTACATCTTTATATACTAGAAAATACCATTTTTTTGTAAGAGAAACATTTGTTTTTAAATTTGAAAATAGAAGTTGTCTGAAAATTTCGTGTTCTCTAAATCATGGACATGTTAAACACTTAATAATTTAGTTAGATCTTATTAGGAATCCTTATTATTCTAGAGAATTATTCACTAGAATATTATGCAGTATCTACAGATAGAAAAATCCTATGGATATTATTGTGGAACACCCGAGAAATTCTCTTTGTATCGATCATCTTCTTGAATCTCATTATTTTAGTATTTAATGTTGGTGAATATCGACGTGTTGCTGTTAAATTCTATGCAGATAAAGACTTTTTTGATCCTGATAATGCTGAAGCATTAGCTGTTCGCAAGTATAAATCTAATTTCTTTCAAAAATCAAACAGTAGCAATTAAAACAAGAAATAAATATTTCTAGTCAATGTGCACAACAAGCTCTTGAAGATATGTGCAGTTATTTATCTGATGACGGCGAAGTAGCTATATTTGATGCAACAAATACAACACGTGAACGCCGTCGATGTATTTATGAATATTGTTCACAAACATTTTGTTTTCGTGTATTTTTTGTTGAATCAATATGTGATTCATCTGACATCGTTAATTTAAATATTCGTGTATGTTAGTTGGATAAAAACAAACAACAAAGCAAAAGTTCGAATTTCTTTGTTTTTGTATGTAGGAAGTAAAACTAAAAAGTCCAGATTATAAAGACGTTCCACAAGAAGAAGCTGTAACAGATTTTCTGTCACGTATTCAACAATATGAAAAACGTTATGAAACAATCGATGATACAACAGAACGAAATTATTCATTTATTAAAATATTTAATTGTGGTGAACGTTTTCTTGTGCATAAAATCGGTGGTAAGCAATCTAAATAAGGCCTCTTCACAGTTTAGTATTTATTTTCAACATGTTTAAAGGTCATATTCAAAGTCGTGTTGTATATTTTTTAATGAATATTCATATTCTGCCTAGAACAATTTATTTAACACGAGTAAGTTTCAATTAAAAAGTAAAAAAATAGTGATTTTCAAATTTCATTATTTTAGCATGGAGAATCAACATTGAATCAAGATTTGCGTATTGGTGGTGATTCATCATTATCAGCAAATGGAAAATTGGTATGCAGATTTTTCATAATCATAGAATGGAAATATTCGATCTTCGATAGAGAGAATGTTACCTTGTTTTTTCAACCAAATGTAGAGTAATATTTCATAATAATTTTCGAAATGAAAAGTGAACATCCGAAAATTTCGATTTTATAAATCGTTTGATTACTAAATAGTTATGATTTCTCGAAATGTTATACTAATGTTGATCGATATCTTCTTTAGAAAATTTGATTCAAAAATTTAGAAAATCTGCAATATGAGAGTCGATATAACTGTATCTCATTTTTCAATTGTGAAAATAGAAGCACTGAATCCGACTTCATTGAAAAGTTATTAGATAAGGGCCCAACCATCTTGTTTTTTTTAACATGAAATAGATACTAGTACCTTTGTGCCAATTGAGAAGAATGAAAGAAACAGTTTCTCAACTAAGTTCTTAAAGCAATTTATAGAAGATGAAAATATGAAACACGATATTGGTATTATTTGCATGGTTAAGAAGAAATCCGTTATGTACTCGACACATTCTACGTAGGATTTGAAACGTCAACAGTCCTTTCAAATTTGATTTCATCAAAGTAATATTGGAGTTTAAATTTAGTTTTATGGCTGTTATATCCACTTTATTTTATGTTAATTATTATTGGAAATGTCTCTTTGATGTTGCTTTTAATTTATTATTAAGTGAATTCTCACTTTCTCATTAACAAATGTAAATTAAAAATTGTTGCTATGTAAGAGTAAAACTATTGGATTGTTATATTGATGTTAATGCCACAAGAATTTCTCGTGACCACTCCAACATTAAACCTTACTTTTATTTTGAGTGGATTGAATTTGAGAAAGAGTTTTATTTTTCTATTTCTAATTTTTTGATGAATTAGATGAGTGTTCTCCTATGAAGATTAAAATTTGTAGATCTTAATTTTCTTTATATTCGAATAATTTGAAAGTTCCCTTTGGATTTTAGTATGGAGAAGCATTAGCACAATATATGGAAAATGGTAAATAGCGAAAGATTATATTTGATTTCTTGATTTTTAATTTCAAAACAAAAACTAGAAAGTATACCGGATTTAATTGTTTGGACAAGTCAAATGCAACGAACTATTCAAACAGCTGCTAAAATCAATGCTCCAAAAGAACAATGGAAAGCATTAAACGAGATAAATGCTGTAAAATAAAAACTCAACTAAGCTAAATTAAATTCAAATTAATTCTATGATCCCTTTAGGGTATATGTGAAGGTTTAACATATATGGAAATAGCTGAACGTTTTCCCGATGAATTAGCAGCTCGTGATCAATCGAAATTCTATTATCGATATCCCGGAGGAGAAGTAAAGCAAAAATACAGTGTATATAAAATAAATATTAATTATTTTGTTTTGTTTTAATCTTCAGTCTTATCAAGATCTTGTTGCACGCCTTGAACCAGTTATAATGGAATTAGAACGAGCGGAAAATGTTCTTGTTGTTTGTCATCAAGCTGTTGCACGTTGTATTCTTGGTTATTTTCTTAACAAGGATGCTGGTAAATTGAACACGCAATAGTTTAGTTTGACAAGGATAAACGATTTAATTAATTTTTTTTTTATAGATGATCTTCCGTATACGAAGGTCCCATTACATACCGTCATTAAATTAACACCCATGGCTTACGGTTGTTTAATGGAATGTATACCATTACATATCAACGCTGTTAATACGCATCGTCGAAAACCAAAGGTAAGAAGCAATAGAATCTTGTTTTTTTATTTTAATCAGTTTTTGTTTTGTTCTATGAATTTCAGAATTGTCGACCTGATCGAACAGCACACGAAGCATTAAATGATTTTCTTGTGACGCCACTTGATCCAAAGCCGGTTCTACGCACGAAGAGTGAAATTTTTTACAACAGCGATGGAACGAGAATTAAAACAACCGATGTCGATGGAAATCGTATTCAGCGAAACGACAGCACGAGTACTGATCCAGGATTAAATAATATCTGTTCGTTAGTTCATGATCTTCAAACAACCAATGGAGAATAATAATAATAATAATAAAGAAAATAAAATGAATTTCATAAATTTATGTTTACTTTTAATTAGTGCGAACTGTACATCACCACCTTAGTTTGTGAACCACGTTTGCATTATTTTCTTTCATTCTTATTCGTATCAATTTTTCAAGAGATTCCAATTTCTTTTTTCTTTTGATCTGTGAGACAATTATACAAGGAAAATAATGAACAAACGTTTAGTAATAGATTTCTAGATGGATTCGAATGATAAGACATCAACGGAAACTATTGATGAACCAGTTCGAAAACGAATGCGAACAGGTAAGAATAGATCAATAGAATAGTTCATTTGTTTCCATGGCTTTCAATCGAATATAAATTCGACGATATTACAGTGTAGAAATTTCTAGGGATAGTTATTTAATCAACTGGTTATGCTATTGATTTTTTTTTTTGGAAGGAAATACTGGCCTTTGAATACTTCGCTCTTAGAAGATGAACGTTATATCCATGTTAGAATCAATACGATCGAGTATGAACTCAACAATGGAAATAGCTAGTGACCCGTCGTGTTCAGTAGTCAATGCTGAAACATATTTTTTGTCTCATAATAAATGAAAGAGATTTATTTTAGAGCCCCTAATTTCAGAAAATGAACAAATTTTGTTTAAAAACAGTATTCTAATTCGAATTGGGACATTTTTTCAGAGAAAAAGACTGCCGTTCTTTCGTTTATATCTCATCAGACAATTCAAGTGATTGTTTCCTCATTGTTTCAAGGTTACGAAAACAATACTCCTTATCGATTGGATCAAATTATTTAGAATAATACAGCTTATTGGAAAATTTCTTTGAAACCAAACACCATTTTTGTATATTTTTCAAAGATGACGTAATTCAAAATTCTGTTTTTATTACATAGCAATAAATGAAACGACATTGGTAGTTATCCTCTATTGATTGCTGAACATATGGCTATTGTCTATATGTCGAGTTATGAAGATTCCAATCATATCGTCTTTACTTCTGATGTGTAATTAGTTCAAACGTTTAGCTAATTGAATTGATAATATCACGATGAGAATCTTGGGATTATGATGACTATCAGAACTATCGAAAAATTCGATTGATTTCTTCTCTTTTATGTATCTAATGCGAAAAATATCATCTAGATAAATTTCTACTTTTACTTAAAATTTCAAGATGAAGCAGACTTGTTCTACATAAAAGTTGATTTCATAGAACTCTATCTCGTATCATTTCCTGAAAACGTCGATTCTATATTTACATCTAATTAGAAAAAAAAAACTTTAAATGATCTTAGAATTTCATTATTAATATAGACAATTCATCGGTCACTAATCCTGAAGAAACTGTCGGCATCACTCAATTCTTATCCAATCATGAAGGTTTCGATGGTATAATTAAGTATCGGTAAGATTTTTGTTAGAAAATGCATATTTCTAATATTTGATAAATAGTTATTCAGATTTTCTTGTCAATGAAATTTCATCTGACGGCGTTGTTATTCATTTAACTGATTTATCATGTCCAGATTTTGGTCAAAATAAATCAAATTTAACTACAGTTAATATAAAACAAACATTAGTTTTCTAGGAATTCTTTTATTTAAATATAATTTAGAACGTTCCACTTAGTGACGAAGTTATTGATCGCTTAAAAGCTTTATCACAAACACATGGCAAGGATCTTATTTCGATTCCTGTTGGTAAGAAGTAAAACAAAAAGAAAATATATCGAAGAAAAATTATTTCGTTTTTTGTTTAGATGATTTAACAAAAGAACAGCGTACATCAATTCATCATTTTGTTCGTTCCATTAATATTAATCTTAAAAGTGAATTAGTTAACGGTTCTATTCAAGTGACATATCAACGTGAGTGAGTGATTTTTATTCGATACGCATTCATCAGTGTCTTTGTTCTTAGCTATTGCTACTCAAGTTCGTCGTGCAACTGAACAATGGCCGGACAAATCAAAACCATATCTAAAATTTGTACTTTATAAAGAAAATCGTGATACCATGGATACTATTCAAAACCTAGGCGCATGTGTAAAGTAAGAAAAAAAAAAGATTTTCCTCTTGTTTCATTTGATGAAAATCTACGGAAGAAATTTTTCGGCAAGAAATAATTCCTGTTCGGTTAGCATCATACCGTAATCTTCATCTATTTTAAAATGAGAAGAATTATTATTGTTTTTATTAATTCCTAAAGATCATGATCATCACAATGAGATATGTATCGAAAGCAAACCCTACTTTTGTGTTTGATTATTGAAATTCGCGTTCAGAAACTCAACGCAAAATAATAATCTTCGAATAAAAAGAGAAAAACTGATTCTTTGTCCAGTTATGATAATAATCTCATCGATGAACTAAAAATAAAAACTATTGAATGCAAAGATACTATCTATAGTTCTACTAGGTAAGAAAGAAGAACGACCTACTAAGGAAACGATAATCTTCAAGATAGTTGAAATAAAATCTATAGTAGCTTCAAAAATAATAAATAGATTTTGTAATCCTTCTTTTTTTTATCTGTAGCATGAATGCCTCACTATTTCAATATGCTGGTATCAAGGATAAACGTGGTAAAACATGCCAAGAAATAACAATTCATAAGTAATTATACCGTTCAAGAAAACAAATTCTAGTTGTTTCCCTTAATAAATCTTATATTTATAGAGTACTACCGAGCAAGTTTAAGAATATAAATCAACGTATACCATCATTAAAAGTAGGTAATTTTCAATTATGTGAAAGTCCATTACGTCTTGGACAATTACAAGGAAATCGTTTTGAAATATTTATTCGGTAATTTAAATAAAATTTAGAAAAAAAAACACTTTACTCGAATGATTTCATGTAGAAATATTACAATTGAGTCTGACGAAAATATAAAAAGTTGTGTGAATAATTTTATTGAAAAAGGATTTATTAATTATTTTGGTTTACAACGTTTTGGTTCACGTACATTAGCAACACAGACAGTTGGAAAGTAAATTATTATCTTTTAATTTGTTCATATAGTTTTAATCATGTTTTTCCTTTAAGATATTTACTTCAACATAATTGGTCTCAAGCAATCGATGCTATCTTAGCATATGATGAAACAATAACACAAAACTGGCTACGTCAATTATTAAATCAATGGAATAAAACACATGATATAAAAACAATTCTTGATGGCACAATACCCTATCGTCGTTCCATTGAAGTTGATCTTCTTCGTGGATTACAAAAACATGATCAAACAAATTTAATTGGAGCTCTTTCATCTATACCACGAAATACTCGTTTGCTTTATCTGCATGCCTATCAATCCATGATATGGAATAAAATTGTTTCAAAACGTTTAAATACATATGGAACTGAAATACTTGTTGGAGACCTTTACATGAACGATATTCATAATGATTCAAATGTTTCATTTGTCACAGAAACTAATCGAAACGACATTAAACTTGAACAAATTGTTTTACCATTACCTGGCTATGATATAAAATATCCATTGAATGATATTCATTCTTGGTATCGCGATTTATTAAATGAAGACGGAATTAAAATTGATCAAATGAAATATCAAGTTAAAGATTATAGTTTACCAGGAAATTATAGACAATTTATAGTACGTACTGGCCAAGTTGATTATCGTATTGTTCATTATGATAATATGAATGATGATCCTTTACAAAGTGATTATGATCGATTAATGAATCGCGATAATAGTAAAGAATTTTCTATTCTATTCTACCTAATTCATTATTTTATTTGTCTAGATTTAAAATTAGAATCAAATAAATATAAAGGTTTAATTCTTGTATTTTCATTACCAAAATCTTCCTATGCAACAATGGCATTAAGAGAAATATTACATCGAAATGAATCAACACTTCAAACTCATCATAAGGAAGAGCAATTATCATCAACAAAAGAAACAATAACTAATCAAGATGAAGAAGAAGAAGAAGAACAAGAACAAGAAATTGAAGATGTTGTTTGATGATATTGTTTATTTTTGTTTTTTTTGTGATTTCCTTAGAGAAAAAAAGAAAATGAATAAATTGTGTCAATCGAGAAAATACGATCATTTTGTTTATTGAGTCAATAGCTAAGAGCCTTTCGGGTAAAAACTCTTTCAAGTCAAATAAAAGCGCTCATCTAATGAAAATAATCAAGATTTTTTTAAAAATATTCAGCGACTCTTATCTATTCTAGTTTGATGATGTGATAGACTTTGATGCGAACATATCACTATATTGTATCTAGACATTTCTTAATGATTGAAAATCAAATGGTTTGAACGAAAAATAGGTAATTACAAAAAGGGCTTCGGTTATCTCTTGATGAATGATTAAATTTTCCTTTTGGAATGAAATATTGAACAGATAAGAGTATTTATTTTACAAAAAGAAATTAACACGATGTCGACACACGCCAGGATAGTTGTCTTCACATCTTTCTTACTTCATGTCGTGGAATAATCTTGAATCAATATGTTATATAATAATGCACTGAAATTTGCATACACTGAAATATTACAACAAATGAAACCTCAATGATTCACGTCCACTTAAAAGCTAATTTACATAGAATCAAATATTCATATTTAAAAAAATTTCTATTTTTACAAAATTTAAAAAAAAAGCAAAGTCGTAGAAATCTGATACCTATATAAGAGAATAAAGAAATCAACATTTCGCATTTTTCTTTAAAATACTGAACTATGAAAATCTGTTTCGTATTTTCGAACTTGATAGATTTGAAGCCAGAAACAAAATTTAACCAATTCAAACTTGTTTTAACATAATTATTTTATATAATTTGATTCTACGTAGAGTGAATCGTTGCAATGTATTTCCAGAACGATAAAAAAAACTCGCAACTGTTTATTCTAACGGTTATTCTTCTAATCGACTAGAAAATGTGTGAATATTCCGTGCTAAGACTTTCGCATCATAGTTAATGTGAAATTCTTCACCTTATTATTTTTTCTTCATGCTTTAGAATATGACTTGTCAACGATGAAGATGATAATATTACGTAGTATAAATAATGTCGGTCATAGTCACTGTATTTTCCAGTAATAAAACTACTTCGTACTAAAATTTTCCCAGCTATTTCTTATGTGTTTCTTGTTTATTAGATGCGCATGATCTCAATTAACATGTTATTCTGTCTACAGTTTGTTTTCTTTAAAGAAAAACTTCAATGAATAAAGCCTATATAAATATTACTGTAGAATAGAATCAGTTCCTTTCGTTGATGATACTTCATAATGGTTTCATAATAAATATTATCAAATCAACACAAATCCGTTTATCATATTTTACTCTTTCTCTCTGTCTCACTAATATACTGATTATGATAAATTATTTCTGCTTTTGGGAGAATTTATCCATCGGTCAAATATATCTCTATACAATATGTTTATCTCGCGCTTGCCTCTTCCTCTGTTTAATGAATTGATCGCTCGTGATGATTGCACATGTCTATTTATTTAGTTAATCTTATTTTCTGCTTTGAATAATTCTTAGAGTATTTCTAAGCATCTACTTCTCAGTTATATATTCTAAATCAACAATAAGTATCAAGGTAATCATTAAAAATGCAGATGTTTTAATCATTAATATACTGGTAAATACTTTCAACAATCAAAGCATATAATTGATAAACATCTGGCTCTGAAGCGCTTAAACTACATAAAACGCTTACGTAAAGAGTAAACCATTCATGTAGGTTTTCTTACAATCACAAAAAAAAGAAAGAAAGAATTACAGTCGAATTAAACATTTAAATGTATTCATTTAAAATAATACAAAGTATCAATTTCATCGTTATCATCCATCAAAATATTAACAATTCTCATGCATGTTTCAAGCAATGAACTACAAAGTGATAGTCTTTCTCTTATTCAAAAGAGCTTCTTCAAATACCGACACTCAAAAACAAAAAAGAGAAAAAGGAAATCAATAAAAATCAAGCTGATTCTATATGCAAATTCACACCCACACGATGAATATACACGTGGAGAGATTCATAAGCTATAACGTCTTATTGATATCTATCTCTCCATTTATAATGACATGTTATCCGCCTCTTAATCCACTTTGCTACCTACTAAGTAAAACAAAAAACATGTGTATATATTAAAGTTAAATGCTACACTTTGTCTACTACAGTGATCGTGTACAACAAAAAAAGAGTGTCTTCACACATTCTTTCTTGATTTAGTTGAACTGATGAAGAAAAGAGACAGCCGATAATATTCACGATTGACAAAGCAAATGATTGAAACTCATCGAAAGTAAGAGATATGTCAAAGTGTGATGATTGTCATAGTATAACATATACATAGTACGCCTGTCGGCTGATGTTTGCACAAACCAAAAACTACTCATTGAGCAATCTTTCTCCATTCATTTAATTTCTTTTACCTATTTTCTCTCTCTCTCTCGATTTCTTTCTTTCGTGCATATGCAATTGATGAGTGAAGACGAAAATTTTGAATATTTGTCGCGACAATAGTTGAAAGGAGGCAAGTGCGAAAAAAGAAAAAGAAGAAAAGGAGAACGCAGCGAACGAACGAACGAACTCTTCGTTTTTTGTTTATACAGTAGCTATAGCAGGCAAACCATCACGTCATACAAATTTTCTTTTCTGCTCTAACGTTCTCTGAACAACAATCGTCGTTCAACGAGTATCATTGTGTCTCTGTTCATACATTCGTCCAGTTCGCTTCTTAGATTAGACATCCTCTGTTTCTCCTATTCTATAGATATCATAATTTTCTATTCAACGAATCCAAAGAGAAAAGATCTATTAAGATAAAGAACATTCAATATTTACACTATGACAATCATAGATAAAGGTAATGAAAGTTCCCGTTTTATTGTTACTCTTTTTTTCCCCAATGTTTCAATTAAATTTAATAATAATAAAACTAAACAAAATATAATAATTTCTTTTCTATTTCAATATCATATAATTTTTATTAAAATTGTTAATACGTTCAGAAAGACTAGATCTGTAATTTTAATTCATGATATAGAACGATAAATCAGATGTTTTTACTGCAAAGTATATAGTCATATAGGAATCATCTTATTCTTGTTTTGATCTTAATTGAATTCTTCTAACTAAAGCTATTCTATCTTGTTGATCTTATTTTTGGATATCTTCTATGTATGTGTGTGTGCGGTTTCGAGCTGAGTATGCATATATGCATGCAATCATATCCATACTTAGTAACAATGTTGTGCTATTATCGTTAATTAAGTGCCTTTTCTCTATCGCTACCGCCGCTCATTTCTCCTTTTTTTTTTATCCCGATAAGCATACAATACTCATATTCAGTGCCTATAATAAAAAGAAAAAAGAAAAAGAAATCTTTCATCATGTTTCCGAAACTGAACACGCATACACATAATAGAAGCCTACCGTATTTGTACATTTAGTTTTGTTTTTTTAATATTTGATTTATTTATATCGAACTTGTCTCTTCAATGAGCAGCCATCTGTTCGTCTTCTCATTTTATTGCATCATAATGTTTAAGTTATAGTACGCATACATATGTATGAGTAGTGAAAAGTTTGTCAAGTAAAAAAAAGAACGAAGAGAGAAAACTGCTTGCATATTTCCGCTTGATTAGCTTTTCTCGTATAGGCACTTAACATTGATGATTGTAAACCATTTTTCATGTGGGCAAACTATTTGAACAATGTTTATCTGTTCACGCCCAAGGTAGAGTCACCCGCTAATCCAATTATCCTATTTCTTTTGCTGCTTTTTTTCCCACTCTTCATAAATAACTGTCATTTTTTGTTGTTTTCTTTCTCTATACATATACACATATTGAGAAGAGAAAATATGACTATCAAATTGATCTTGAAACTTGGCAGTTATATTACAGGGTAAATCATTGTTGAACGTTGGCCTTTTACGAACACCTCTCTTCAATGAAACACTTGTTATTTCATCATTTCTCTTTTTTTAAAGTTCGAAATGTTATCTTGATAATTCAGTAGTATATACATCATTTTCGCTCTTATGTTTTATGAAAATTGACAGAGATTTATCTTCCCTCCTCTTTCTTATTCGATATATATTGGATGGACGAGACACTTACGCATAGACATGATGAATTGCTTACAATATTTTTTCTATTCATTCGTTTACTGTTCTATCTAGAGTGTGTGCCGATACTCAGTTAATCTCGTCGAAACAACATTCAATAAAAAATAAAATGATTTCTCAACCGTTACCACCACCAACACAACAACAACAACAACAACAACAGCAACCACAGCAACATTCTCGTTCATCCAATAGTGATGATGATTCTGGTTGTGCTCTAGAAGAATATGCATGGTGTCCGCCAGGTCTTAAGGCAGAACAGGTACGCAGAAATTAGATTAATAGAAAATTTTATTTATTTTTTAATTTAGGTTCGACAATTTTTCAAATGTTTTCCAGAAGATAAAGTACCATTTCTCAATTCAATTGGTGAAAAATATCGAGCAGTAAACTATTCTATGAAATAGCTATTTTTTTGAATATCTAATCGTATGTTTTACTTCAATAGAGACTACTTGAAACACAACTACCACCACAAGATTCTGATCCAAAATATTGTCGTGCATTAACTGAAGATGAAAAAAATGAATTAAGAACATTTAATGAACAACAACGTCATAATGCATTTGGTCGTGGCGTTGCTAAACAATTGCTATTGACACAGTCTCCTTTACCATGTCGTGCAGTAAGTTGAAGAATATATTACTGTTTTCTTCTCTTTTTTGCTTTCATTCGTACGCACGTGCATGTAGGCAACTTGGGAGGAAGATTAATACATACGCACATTGACAAATAAATATTACGAAACAAGAATAAAGTGAACAGAACTTATGAGAACATGTATCATTTTTCGAAACTTGACATCTAAGGACAAAACTAACTAATGAAATTGAAGCTTTCAAGCGTAGAAAAGCGATGAACCGTGATGTAAGAAAATCACCATGAATTAATTGATCAGCTAGTTAATTGTGTTCAATTAGACCAAGACAGAAAGAAGAAAATAAATATTTCTTCATTTTCTTTCTCATGCAAAGTTCACTGATTCTAGTGAACAATAAGTGCGTATGACATTTGCTGTATATTAGACCGATAGCACTCGGTGTGAAATCAAAAACAGATATCGCAATATTGATGATGATAAATAAATATGTAAGACAAGACAAGACATAAACAAATGTTTTATATTATAAACGAAAATTAATATATGAATACAATTGATATTCAATCGTTTTTTTTTCTTTCTTTCATACTTTAGTGTCAAAACTTGATTGATTCAGGTTCAATATGTGTTTATGCGGAACGCGCTGGACGCACTGGCTTTTGGCATCCACAATGTTTTACGTGTATACAATGCAAAGAATTTCTTGTCAATTTAATCTATTTTCACAAAGACGGCTTTCTTTATTGTGGTAGACATCATGCTGAATTATATAAACCACGATGTACAGCATGTGATGAAGTATGTAGAACGAATTAGACAAATTGTTTAACAGAGAAAAAATTGGATAGATGATTGATCAACAGGAATAAGGCGGAGGAACAGTTGTCGCTCAAAAAGAAAAAAATGAAAGAAACTAATTGATTATGTAATCATCAGAGATAACAATATAGGTAGGCGTTTGCGTGTACGTATAAAACAAAGAACTATTTAGTATTAGTTGCCGTTTCTTTTTTTTCTTCTGTGTTTTTTGGACAATACATACATACATACATACATACATACAAACAAAAGACTATTTTCATGTTCACATCAGGTATCAAGTGATGACAAATTTTAAGTATTTGTATTATTGACATGCCAGACATATATTTGCTGAGCAAGTATGTTTATAAATCGGACTAGACGAATTGTTTGCGTCTCCTGAGTATTGAGAGAACATAATGTATTGCTGAGTAATAGATTGTCGACATCGTAGTTATTATTGTCGACAACAATGATGATGATGATGATGATGATGATGATGATGATTATGATAGTAACAATCTTTTTGCACCCGATTGACTACTTAGAACGACATAACCTAATTGCTCTTTTTTTATTTCCATCAATATTAGATTATCTTCAGTGATGAATGTACCGAAGCTGAAGGTTATAGTTGGCATATGGATCATTTTTCTTGTTCCAATTGTACAAAACGTTTGGGCGGTGAACGTTATGTTATGCGACAAAATCAACCATTTTGTTTAAGCTGTTTTGAAACTATGTATGCAGAATATTGTGATACATGCGGTGAACGTATTGAAACTGATCAAGCACAAATGGCACATGAATCTCAACATTGGCATGCAACAGATGCTTGTTTTTACTGTTATACATGTCGTATACCACTTCTTAATCGTGCTTTTTTTCCTCGCTATGGTGCACTCTTTTGTTCAAATGAATGTGCATTGAAACGCAACAATCGTTTTAATAATAAGAAATTTATTCAACAACAAAAATTTGATAAAGGTCCCGATATAATACCAACAACATATAAGAATACAACTCAACAACATGTTAAAGTTGTTTCTGGACGTCCCAAGAGTTATTATCAACAACAACAACAACAGCAACCAAACATTCGTGCACCATCTAGTCGACCAAAAGATCAAGGCGGTTATACTTCTGATGGAGCTTATATTAATAAATATAAACGTGATTATAATAATGGTTATTCATCTGACGGTACTGGTACACGACGATTTAAAAATATTCATCAACAATATCAAACAAAGTAAAGCGAAACGAAAGAAATATTTTTTTTTGATGATATTTCTTTTGAATTTTTAGTTCAACTTATGTAAAAGATAAACCACAAGTATTCTTACAACTACAATCATCCCCTGAGTCAATATTAAAAAATCGTCAGCAAGAAAAAATGAATTCATCAAAAGTTCGTTCAAGGGAACCAATACAATTTTACAATGATCTAAATCTTGAGCAACTCGATCGCCATGGTGCCACACTTGAAATAGCTCGTTGTTCAACTTCGAAATCGTCACGTTCATCGTTACCTGACTTAAGTAATAAAACCACTCGAATTAATTCAAATAAGTCCAATCATTCAATCCTATCTCAAGAGACTTTAATTGATTCGTCATCAACGAGTAAAACTCGTTTGAAAAATTTTGATTCCAATGAAATAATGTATCCAATATCACGACCAAAATCAGTTGCCTTTTCAACAGTAGCAACGCAATTTCCACGTTCACGCTCATTGAATGGCTCGGGACGTTTTACTAAGCAACATCATGTTCGCTTTGTTGATGATGAGAAAGAAAAACGAATTGAACCAACCTCAGTGAAAACGAATCGATCAAAAAAATATCATTCGTCATCTTCATCATCATCATCATCATCGTCGGAATCAGATGATGATGATCTAGACTCGATTTATTGTCAATATGATATTCATGGAAATCGAATAAAGAAGCCAATTAATGTGGCAAAAAAAATTAGCTATATCGACGATTTCGAATTCGGAAAGAATACAGTTAATCCTGTACTAATGAAAAAGCCGACTACACCAAGTAAGAAAAATAAAAAATCAAATAGTGGACAAAGAAAGAGAGATTGTATTATTAGTTAATTTTCTATGATAGTGTTTTGTTTTGTGTTTAAATATTATGGAGACTTGTTGTTTTTCCTTTTTTGTTTGACGATAAATAAAATAATATGTGCTTGCTATTTAAAATTATTCAATGTGTATGAAAAATCTTTTTTTTCTTTTGTTTTGGCCTTTTTTTTGTCTCTGTGAAATTTCCTATTTTTGCTTCTTTGTTTGTTTGCGTGTGTGTGTGCGTCTTTTAACACAACGGAGTATAAAGAGAAACATTTAATATGAAACTTTATGTTAAAATGATGCTATAGATATAGAATGAAGCGCATTGGGAAGGCGTATGCATCCGGAAAGTAAATGGCTTCGTTCAATAGGGGATTTTAATTTTGTGCTAGCCAATGAATTTTGTAATAGTATACAATCAGGAATGAACTTTTATATTTTACAATATGTGATGGAAAGTGTAAATATGCTTATTGGTATTTTTTGTATGATACTTGAGTTGATAGAAACATACTTTTACATTTGAGACTCGTTAAAAAATTAAAATCGAATTAAATTGATGTAATTTAGATAAAATTGAAATTCTAGTTTTGCACAAACAAAAAATAGGCTTGGACTTGACGCGAGTTCATACAAACAAAAAACAGTCAAAATATGAGTAGAATTTCTGTGTTTTTGTATTTTTGAGTTCAACAAGGCCTTTTTTATCTCGATTTGCGCACTCGTATTTATACAAACAATTCATTTTGAATAACATTCAATTGTACGAAGAAGTCTCATTGTTTTGTAGTGCACTTGCCCTTTTGAATGGTACGAGTGACCTAGGAGTGTGAAGTGTTGGTGTGTATATTGACACGCCAACTATAACATAATATGCTCTTCTGGTAATGATGTGCTTCACTGGTACAAAGTGAATTATCTACTCTTAGCCACTGGTGTTGGTAAACATTAAATTGGATCTACGCATTCGTTATGCGAGTTACAAGGTTTCACTCTCATTAGATCGGCATAGGTATATCTGTATTGATGCTAGTTGTTTACACGAGTTTTTTTTATTCATTCCATTCTTTGTTTTTCAACGACAGCAATTACTTGTATGAGTTTATCCTCAGTCAAATTGTTATTTCGTCTAAAAAAAGGCTTGATTTGTTGTTGTATATAGAATAATTACTTTAGTTGTGTTATAAAAAAGAAATCTGGCAATAAGTTGGATGCTGTTTATTGCGTTTTAATTAAATTTTTCTAATTTTGCTTTGGCTTGGAATTTATTTATAACCGCTTAGTTACTTGTACTAAGTGAACATTTGTTTTTATATTCAGACTTAATCTCATTGTGTTAGCGATACTTTTATGTTAGTGTATGCTAACAATAATAGCTAATTTCGAATAGAGTCGAAGGGATTCACAAATATTGATTCTTCACATTTAGTTAATTGTTATAACAATCACTTTTTTTTGTCTTTTGAAACCATTATTGAAAATTCTATTTAGTTACTCTTAATCGCTGAATAGACAACATCATCAAACAAGTCAATACTCAACATATATTTAGGTGCAGTGAAGAAATTTGTTTGTACAAAAATAAATCTTGAAGAATAGATATTTCACGATAAAGAGACCTGGTAGGCGTACATCTGATGAGAGTCATTTTTTGAAAGATGATTCATAATAATTTTCATAGCTAAAATTAGTCGAAGCAAACCAGTAGTGATCTCTTTGTATCGTATATTTCGAATCGAGAATGAATTTAACCAACAGAAACAGAACGACTAGAAAATTGATTCAGCAGCTATATGTCTTTATTAAAAGTGAAAAAGAAATTGTGTTGTGTCCAACTACGTTTAATTTTAAACATTTATACATTTTATTATCTGTTGTTTAGAATGGATTTAGTCGATAGTGAAAGACTTTATAATTTATTACGAAATAAATATGTTCTTCTTTGTGGCGATTCAATCATGCGTTCGTTAGTAACAGAAGTTTTAAAATTTTTCGAAATAGATAATATTTCTATGGTTTAGTATTTATAAAGATATTGTTTTACTTGTTCAAGGACAAAATCGTTTATTAACCAATGATGAATTGCGAGCTAAATTAGATGATCATGATATGTTAACATTAAATGATCAATTATTAGCTGGTGATAAAAAAACGAATGACACATCATACTATGAAAGACGTTGCTATTTCACAAACACACATTTAATAAAATTTGTTTTTCTAACACGATGTTTTAGTAGTCAAATGAGAAATGAATTACGTGAAATAGAAGAAAATAAATCAATCGTACCAGATGTTATCCTTCTTAACTCTGGTAAAAAGATAGTAATATGACAACAACCAAAAAAAACATTAATTTTATACTTTCAGCCATATGGGATATAACAAAATATGAAAAAAATAGTGAAAGAGATTATGCACAATTACTTGAAGAATGTTTTCGTTCTATACGTTCAGTTATTCCACCGCAAACAATTGTTATTTGGCTTACAGCAGTAAATTTTTCGAAATTTTCTACCTATTTCGTAGTTGTTGTTGTTGTTGTTGTTTGGTTTTTTTTCATTAGACGCCATTTTCAAAAAATGCTTGTGGCGTGTTAGATGAGACACGTTCCGAAAAGAAAAATTTTCTTCGTATTAGAATATTTGATATAAATACATTTTCATCTCAATTAGCAAAGAAATATAATTTTCAAGTCATTGATCTTCATTATCTGGTTCGCAAACGTACTCAACATCGCTGTAAAGATGGTATGCATTATGATGCGATAATTCATCGAGAAATTACAACACATATTGTACGATATATAGAATGTGGATTAAATAAAAATTTATCAAACTCCTACAATGACGATCAAGATAATAATTTAATTTGTAATGATGTTATTAAATCAATTATTAATAAAATTGATTATCAAATAACATCAGATGATAAAGAAATTCTTGATAAATATCGATCGTCAAACTTCAATTTTGATATGATTGAAAATTTGAATGAAAAAGAAAAGGCAGTTTTTTATTTATTGGATCATTATGAAAATAATTGTTTTCAGTGAAAAAAAAAACACTTTTACTTGTAGTTTTCTTCTTGCTTTTTTCTTGTTGTTATACATTTCTATTTAATGAAATACATATACAAAAGACAGTTCACTTGAAAATGAAAAAAAGAAACATTATTCCATTGATAAATATTCGCTTTGTTATCAAAAAGCTACATAATCGCATCCCAAGTCATTTATTTCTATTCTACGTATCAAATATAAATTTAGAGGGCATATGAACGGAACCGTCTGTCTGATATTCATAAACAATATAGAGTCGTGAGGAGATGAGATTTGAACCAAGTCTTCCTTCAAAAGGAATCTTTTTCATGGAGAAAGTGTTGGTTCTGGTAAGAGAATTATCTTGTCCATATTGATTCCATTGCTAGAAAAACATATCAACATAGATATTTCTTTCTAACAATGCTAGCAGATTTTTATACGATGGTATTTTAGTTTTTTCTTTGCTAAGTGGTAAGATAAAGTTTTTGTCGGCACTCTCGTAATATAAATCCAACCGTTTATTATTGGGTTGATGATGACATTTACAAACTCGGTATAATTGCCATCCAAGATACGCATCGACAAATAAATTAATTCAAAAAGATGTTGCTACACTTTTTAGTTTATAAATAATGAAGATTCGATTATGTCACCGATTTTACTTTGAAAAGAAGTTAGCTCATAATTCTTGTTGTCAATCGAATGTGTTAGTTTCTATTCAATATCAAATATCAACAAATTATATTTACTTAGACTAGATGCTGCAAAACACTTTATGAGTGTTTGATTCTATTTCAAAATCTTAATCGCGTAGGAATATCGTATTGAACTAATTAGGTTAGAAATTTGTAAGAATAAATACGCAATTGTATACAATCTTTTCAATAAAAGTAGGCTAATTGAAAAGCTATTATTCATTTTCGCACGTTCTTATGGTGCCATAAAATTTTATGATGTAAAATGGCAATTATCTACACGCTGGATGATAGTCATGGCATGTGTCACTGTCAAATTATGCACGATTTCCGTTTTTGACGAGCAGAGATACAGATGTGTAATTGCGATGGGGTAATGTTCTTCAATGATTCAAAGTTATTTATTCACTCAGGAAACTGACATTTTTGTTCAGCATCAGCATTGGTATCTAAGTCTACGTCGAAATAAGTCAAAATTCCCTATAATTCTATTCTATTTTACTGTTTCACACTCTGAGTTCTATTTCTATTAAGCAGCAATGGCCTTAGACTCAGCAGATGATATACAAAAAAAAAATCTAAATAGATCTTTTCAAGCTGGAAACGAAAAACAAATGTCCTTACTAAAGTGCTATCAACATATGTAGCAAAACAATCTTATGACGCTCACATTGATAATTGTTACTAGAGTCGTATGAATGATGATAATCTTACTATTGATGATTTCTTATACGGTTAAATACATTTATTTATGAACAAAATTATTCATGATGGCTGAGACAACGAATCGATCTTTTTCGATTCACAGCAATGTACGTGTAAACATGATTGCGCAATGAATAGAAAACTGGCCTCAAATTGAATAGTTTTCTCGGCGTATCAGACTTGATTCTTGAATGTTCAAAGAATTAATGAAGAATGTCGAAGGAAAAAATAGCGAAAAAGTTTATTATAATATTTTTAGACTGCTAAGATGAAGATTTTATATTGCCTGATAAAATTTTAAGTACATCAAAAAATGAAATGAATCAAGCATAATTAGTTGTAAAATTAATAACAAGAAAATATTTCTCTATGTATAAGTTTATTTCTTTTGTTTGACTATGGTGTGGGTGTGCCCATGTCGTGAAAATCGCCGCGATTTTTGTGATTTTGAAAAAAAGCGGCGTAAAGTACTGATTAATCATATTTTACAGAACAGTTAATGATTAAAACATACTTTATCGCAATGTTTGGAGAAAAGAACGATTAATCGTATAATCGCCAAAAAATCATATTGATTAATCGCG